AGTAACCCCTGCTATTCAGGGCCTGAATATATGTTCAGGGGTAATTACCCCCAGGATTCTAGGGGGGGGTATTTACCCCCAGGATTCTAGGGGGGGGTATTTACCCCCAGGATTCTAGGGGGGGGTAAATAACCCCAATAACCCCCCTTATATCCGCCACTGAAACGGAAAACAACTAAAAACACAAAGTGCAGATGCTTTTATTCTGAATTAAGTCAAATCAAATGGAAAAAAACCTAAAAATTCTATTCAGTTTATAAAGTTAAATTTTAGCCTTGTAATGAAGCAAAATGGAGAACATTTTTCGAGGGCGGAAGATATGAGGTAAAACTAATAATGTAAAAATTTAAAAGTTTTCTAAACAAAGCGTGCCCCAAGAAACATGACAGTTCGACGACGACAAATTTTGATAAAATTCTTTAAAGGGACCAAATCATGAGATTGCAGTCTTTAATAGCAGAATTTAAAAACGTCTTATCTGCATCCTGATATTTTATTATACGGTACCGCACTCTCAGTTCAACTACTATACTTAGCCACTACTCCCTTAAAAAAAATATAAAGAAGAACCAAATAACACTTTATTTTGTGATAAAAGGATTTGAGTCTTAGCTACAAACTCTGATTTTCTAATCCCTATTTCTTAGCAACCCAATGTTGTAGACCTTAGATATTTCAAACTATGAATTCTGTTAGATCAAAAAATCTAAGTTTGAAATATCAAAGGTTTACTCCATTTAGTTGCAAAGATATAGGGAATAGAAAATTTAAGTTTGTGACAAAGACGCAATTCCTTTGTTTGATATTAGAACAAGAAATTAATGTGTGATTCAAACTTTCAAGATACCATTAATCAAATGAAGTTGTCAAATTACTAAATTTAATATGTTTAGGCTGTTTGGTGGGGACACGATATAACTCAACACCCTGGATACATTCAATATGACAATTCACGTAATTTTTTTAAAATTAAATTTTTTAAAATCTGATTAATGCCTTACTCCTTTGCTTATGGAAAATGATTAATTCTNCCCTCTCAATTCACATTTTTAGAAATATCTTGAAATTTGAAAAATATTTAATTTTAGTTCGATGGTCTCCATCTGAAGATGTTACCGTGACGTAAAGAGACTTGAACGCCAACAAGTTCATTTTGTTTTTATTTATATTATTCGTATCTCAGTGTTATATATAATAAATATGGATTTACATAATCTATGGTTTAAACTATATAAGAAACATGATTTTTAAAATCCATTCCTTAAAATCAAGTTAAAAGAGCATTTTTTTATGAAATATTAAGTTTATCTCAGTGTTAAATATTAAAAAGGATTTACATAATTTGGATTAAACTTTATTCTGTATTTCAATTCAATCTTGCAAATTTACATTCGAAAACCTTCTATTCTTGACAACTTTTCTTTTGACTTATATTCATGGGTCGTCTTCATATCATTATCATCATCATTATTATCTAAATAATATAACAAGACATTCATATATGTGTTCCATCTGGCCGGCTGGATAGTCAAAAAAGTTCGAATTTTTTTTTAACATTATTATAATTATTATTAAATTTTTATTATTATTATAATCATTATCATCATCATTGACATTATTTTTCAAAACACAGTATTTATTATAGTGTCGTACAAAAAATGTCAATTGGTACTACCCAATGAACACAAACACCTTTAACAGAAGGAGAGTAGTATCTTCTGCAGGATACCCTGTAGAGGTTTATAAACGGATACAATAAACCTCTTCTGCAGGATACCTATAGAAGTTAATAAATGGATACAATAAACCTCTTCTGTAGGATACCCTGTAGAGGTTTATAAACGGATACAATAAACCTCTTCTGCAGGATACCCTGTAGAGGTTTATAAACGGATACAATAAAACTCTTCTGAAGTTTCAATCGTTAATAATTTAATCAGTTTAAATGCGTGTCTTTAACAATAGAGTATCATCTTTTATATACAGATATAAATTTTTTTGCTGCATATATTATGCACGCTATAAATACATAAACCAAGAAAGAAGTTTATTATTTATAAACGTTTAATTACCCTCAAAGAAAAATTATAATAGAGATGATATTTTGGTGTTAAAAACGTTTTTAAGTTATTTTCAAAAATGCATTTAAAGAAAGCTAAACCAGAGATAAAAAGATATATACGTTTAAAGCGCAGTTAAAAATCTGTGTTGGATAGTTAAAAAGGTTTATTTTAAAACTGATTCAAAAATTTGAACTGTAAATTCAAAACATTTGGCTTCTTTGATATCAGGCATAAGTATAAGATATTTTAAAGTTACACATACAGTCCAATTACCTTGCATTGTTCTATACTTTATCTCTCTTTCAAACAAACTATTAAACTAGAGATAGTAAAAGACATTTTTTAAAATGAAAAACCTGACTTAAATTTAAATTCTATGAGATGAAAAAAGGACAAAGGTCCAGAAAATAATTATGACTTTCTGTTGTGAAAAAAATAGAGCTCTTCGTTCATTTATATGTTTGCTATGGCTGGCCAAACGGCTGAATCAAATGGGCAGAATTTTAGTAAGGAAACTCATGGATACCCTTGGGGATGACATAAGCTAAATGAATCATAAGTTTTTTGTTTTAATTCGATTTTTAAATTACGCGGGCAACGCCTCTGGCACTTCAGCTAAAACCAATGAAAAAAAAAACAAAAAAATATTCTTTTACTACATACCTCCAAACTCAAGCCAAGCCAAACATTAGGATAAATGTGCATTCTAAATAGATTTTTCATTCGGACTTTTGTCTGGCTCTGGTCCACTAATACAATCTTCTTAGTGCACTGAATGAACAGCAAACTATTTTTTTATGTTGAGTTTAAGATTTGAAAAGTGTGAAAGCTCTAAGTTCTAGGGCCCCCTTTACAGGTCTAGGGAGGCACTGTATGGGACAATTGTGGCCGCAGCGCCGTCCCCCTAGCCTGTTCAAGCCGCGGCGCTCGGCCCTCACCTCATGGCCTGGATCCTAGCCACAGCGCGGCCCAGAAATTGTCTTAACCTAACCTATCCCTTAAATAATACAAAAAATCTTTATTTTGAGTGAATTAAAGGGCTATATATATTGCTCTTTTGAACTATTTTCATTTGAACTATTAATTAATGAAATAAACAAAAAATAGTTCGAATGAACATAAAAATAGTTCAAATGAACATGAAAATAGTTCAAATGAAATAGTTCAAATGAACATAGAAATAGTTCAAATGAACATGAAAATAGTTCAAATGAAATAGTTCAAATGAACATAAAAATAGTTCAAATGAACATGAAAATAGTTCAAATGAAATAGTTCAAATGAAAAAAATAGTTTAAATCCGGAGTAAAAAATAGTTTAAATGGAGTAAAAAATAGTTCAAATGGACAAAAAAAATAGGTTAGGTTAGGTTAGGTTAGGTTAGGTTAGGTAAAAAATACTTCAAATTAAACTATTTTTTGTTCATTTGAACTTTTTTTGTCAAAACTATTTTTTTGTTCATTTGAACTATTTTTATGTTCATTTGAACTATTTTTATGCTCATTTGAACTATTTTTATGTTCATTTGAACTATTTTTATGTTCATTTGAACTATTTTTTTGTTCATTTGAACTATTTTTTTGTTCATTTGAACTGGTTTTTTTTCATTTGAACTATTTTTATGTTCATTTGAACTATTTTTTGTTTATTTCATTTTATATTAGTTCAAATGAAAATTGTTCAAATGAACTAAAAAATAGTTCAAATGAGCAATATATTTACTCGTTTGAACTATTGTTCATTTAAACTACTCACGTGGTCCCACGTGCAGTAGTTGAAATGAACAATAGTTCAAATGAACAATAGTTCAAACGGCAGTAGTCCAAATGAGATAGCATCCTGATCTTTGATAAAATTTTTATGTCACAATATTTAAAAAAAGAATACAAATTTTTAGTTCGATTGAACTGATGAACATTATTTTGTTCATTAGAAAATGAAAATATTTCAAAAAATAAGATTTTTCATTTATAGTTTAGTTATCGTCTTTGATTAACAAAGATCAAGAAAATAACGAGGCAGCTGCGCTGTATTTAATTTCCAAGAAACAGAACGTTAAAACGTATTGTCCTAGATTCTGAATTCTTATTGAATCATTATAATAATTTTACTAAATACAAAACTATCATTTTGTTTAAACTAGAAAAATGGGTGACGAATTAGTACATGCTGTTCTGGCAGGGTTGAATGAATCTGCGTCCAAGGGAGGATTAATTATCAGGAAGAAGAAGGACGAAGGAGGCGGAGATTCAGCGTTCAAGGTGAATTCAGGAGAACCTTTACGACAAAGATAAGCTTTAGCTTGGACCGGATTTAATGAATATTAGCCAAAACTGACCTTGAGCCGCGATATACCACGTATCTTGAATCGAGGATTCATAATTTTGCCTTGTCCTTGATGTTAACTACAGATATAAACTTAATTGAGTCGGTCGTAGGTAGTAGGTAGTTTAGCATTCCCATAGCTCAAATTATTTAAGGTCTGGCCAATGTTTGGTAAATTCTCAGTATAAGATTTTTGTATCCCCCCCCCGGCTCCCCTTCCTATCAAATTGTATATGCATCTCATATGTAACGCGGGGTTAAAAATGGATTTGTGACTGCAGCGCCCGGCCCTCTAGTCTGTCATGCCTGCTGCGCTTGGCCTAGAAATTGTCTTAACCCAACTAAACCCTAAATTAATACAAAATAAAAAATAATACTTTTAGTGAGAATTAATTGACGGTTCATCTCCGGTCATATTACTGGTAATTCTGTTCTGTCCCGGTTGTCTGCATATAGCAGAGGTTGAAAACATGTAGTCAGGTTTTTAAAAACAATTTTTTTTCTTTCTTTTTGTTTAAATTAAGTTTTTGATTTCTAGTTGCCGACTGGAGGCTCGAGGTTAGGACTGGACAAGCTTGCTGTAATCAAGGAGAGGGAAAGGAAGGAGGCCGAGGCTGCTCTCGCAAAGAAACGTCAGCTCGAGGACGGGGACGAGGATATAACCAGTGACAAATTTAAAAGGTAGTCCTTGGTTGCAATCCCATAACTGAAAAAGTAAATTAGTTCTTTTTTCAGCAATAAATAGTAAATTGTTTTTATATCAATGAAACTTTTGAAGGGAAAACAATTTGAAACATACTTAGAAAAAAGCTTATTGGGAATGAAGGCAAAAATAAATTAAGAAATAGTTATTCAATTAAAATCGTAGAAATGAAGGAGTGTAGAAAAGCAAAGTCATTAAATCATAGGCTGATATCCTAGTAGGTGAATGTTAATATCAAACTTTAAAGCATTTAATTTGCCAAATTTCAGGAAAGAGTTAAAGAGGGATCGTGAGTACAGGGAGATTAAAGAAGAAACTCCCTCTCATACTGGAGGAGTGAGTGAGGAGGCGAGGAGGAGGGAGGAGGAGAGAAGGAAGAAGGAAGAGAGAGGAATTACATATGATTCTAGAAATAAGGATAGAGATGAAAGGAAAAGGGATAGAAATAACGATCGTGATAGAAAACGGGATCGTTACGACCGAGATCAGGATCGGGATCGTGATAGGTATCGTGATGAAGATCGTGACCGTTACCGACGCAAGGATCGTGGTGATCGATCAGGTCGTCACAATGACTGGGAGCATGAGACCCCCAGGTCGGATCGTGGAATGAAAGATGACACCCTGACCCCGTTGATCCGTGTGAAGAACACCCCCGGACACGCCGGATGGGAGGAGGATGATACTCCCAGTAAACTCTCAAGCTGGGATCTACCAACCCCAAACAGTGGACGACGAGACGATGATAGTATACGGAGTTCAGATTGGAGATCGGATAAATTCACCTCTAGAAGGGATAAATTTAACAGGTATAAACTGGCCTTATCAATGTAAAAAATTAATTAAGGATGCGGGATTCAAGAAAATTCATATATGAAAATATAGTACATTACCTAAATCTTTGAAAAAAGTCCAAAAACATACCTCTCAAGCTAAGGGGGGGGGGGGCGGTACATCCCACTTGTACAATTGGAGAAAGCGGAATATGGAGGGTATCATAAAGCTCACAGTAATTAAAATAAGAAAGAATTAAAGAGAAAAGCCAGTTATTATTTTCTTTTTGGGAGAAATCCGGAATTTAATTTTACCAAGTACTATGTAATCAAATCTTCATTAATTAATTTTGAAAAGTCCCTCTCGGCTTTCAGTCGAAAGGTCACTCGACCATGAATTGAGAATTTTCTGATTCTGTGTCGTTCAGGAAGTATGATAAAGAGACTCCTTTACCCACCCCCAGCTACAAAAAGAACAACTGGATGAAGGAGAACAAACCAGGGGTAAATATTTAATAAACAACCGATCCCCACTATTTTAACATTAGTATTAGAAAAAGATCATGAAAGACCCCCAATGTGGGATCGCCAGACCGACGTTCGAGTAAGGGTCTCAGTCAGGTGCTGATTACCCCACCAGTTCAAGCAATCCCGCTTCTTTTTCCTCTACCCACCTTTCTAGGTTTGCCCCTCTTCTAGACTGTGCGTGATTATAAGTGAACCAAAATGATGAAAATATCCTAGATTTTTCTTAAAACATTTTTTTATTTTCAATTGTTTTTTCTTTATGCTAAAGAGATAATAACATTTAAGGATTAAGCAATTTACAATTTATAAATACAACAATGTGTTCCTCAATATCAGATAAATATGTTTAAGGTACAGGTGTGAATCGGCATGACATTATTTATATTGAGAGTCGCAAGAAATCACGCCTATAGTCCCTTAAATTAGAAATATTATTTAGAAATTTTAACTTTTAAGTGATAAAATTTTTGTTGTTACATTGAAATTATAAAGTATATTTTAGTGAAATTTACTTTTTATCCTTTTTACATAAATCGATCTGTTTAAGCAGATAAAGAAGGAACGGGAACCTGTGGACATGGATCAGTACAACGAGGAGGAGAAGAGGTTGGACAGAGACTGGTACAACATGGACGAGGGGCAGGACGAGTACCACAACGCCTTCAGCAACATCTCAGAGGAGTACATCAAACAGAAGGTATTATTATTTATTGTTTTCTTACTTCTGGAATTAAGAATTTAAAGTTTTTCTTTTTCTAACAAAATATTAACTTTTGCAGTTTTCTAATTAATGTAAGGTTTTGTAAAAAAAAAAATATCGTTCTTTTAAATAGCTCTTTAGTAACTCGGCATATGTTTTTAATTATTAGATGTTTATACATTTGAAGTTGATTCGTTTTTTAGTAGTTATTATCTACAATTTTTTTCCATTCCAATTTTTTAAACTATTTAAATAGTTAAAAAATGGAATGTAATTTTTTGAAAACTATTAAAAAGTTAAAAAAATTGGAACATCGTATTATATTTTCATTTTATTTTATAGTTTTAACTTTAAAATAGAATTATTTCTGACAACAAGAACAGATTCTAGTTATTTTTTTCAGGTAGCGCAGCAGGAGTTGAAGAGAGTAAAGCATCTGACTGCTAAACAAGCTGCTAGGAAGAAGGATAATGAAATGTGGGAGAAAAATAGAATGATAAGATCAGGTTAGCAAATAGGGAACAATATAAGGACCCTTCCCCCCCTCCATACCGAATTATGATCATTTTGCACTTCTTTGTTTTATCATTATTTTATTATGCATTTTTTGATCATTAACAACTTTTATTGTCGTGATGTTAATTAGTCAACATATAAATGTTCTCTTGACAAAGATGTTCAATGTCGTTTGGTATGCTTCATGTTATACTGATTGATTGATACATTGAATGCCAAATTAATTAAAATACTTTATGTTGTTTTAATAAACGTATTCAATTCTAAGTGATTAATTCATACATTTAACATTTTCTCTTCAGTATTATATTGAATGTTGTATTGATTTATTTTAATATTCAGTTTTTTATTTAAGGTTGTTTTAAAATTTTGAGAATATTTCGGATATCTTTCCCGATATTTCTGATTGATTGATTTATTATGATAATATTGATGTGTAGGAGCTGTACTCCGTCTGGATTACGACGAAGATTTTGAGGAGGAAGGTGAGGCGAAGGTTCACCTTCTCGTCACCAACATTATCCCCCCCTTCCTGGACGGTAGAATCATCTTCACTAAGCAGCATGAACCTGTTATACCTATTAAAGATCCAACTAGTGATATGGCAATGGTCTCAAGGTAACCAGGGATGGAAAGAGGTCCTAATTAAAGGGACTTTCGTGGTTACTCAAGTGACCCTTTATCGATAAAGATAGCGGCATGTCTGATTTTGTGCCCTTGAAGTTGAAAGTCTAATTAAGGATGACTAAGACATCCTTATTTGCCTTGCAAAAATTGATTATTTTTACAGGGGTATTTTTATAAAAGTTACTTGCGTATTTTTGCACTTGAGACATGTAGAAAATGATCAGAATACAACACTTATTCAGATAGAAAAATGTCTATATATTGTAACCGAGATAGTGGTATAAAGAGCACCGAGTTACTTGAAATAACGTCTCAGTCCCTTTAAAGGATTGTTAACCATTTTGCTTTTGAATCGTTGACGGTACTCCTGAAGGGTTGAGTAATATTTCTATAACAATCTCATGAAATATTTTTTAACCTTTATTTTATGAAATATCTACATAAAAACAAAACAAAAATTATCCGATTAGAATTATTGATGGCCGTTGAATATTTTAGGAAAGGCTCCAGGCTAGTTCGGATACACAGGGAGCAGGCAGAGAGGAAGAAAGCGCAGAAGAAAGAATGGAACTTGGCTGGAACTAAACTAGGAAATATTCTCGGCATTGAGAAGGTTAGGTTACGGTTGATTGATTGATTGATTGATTATTGGTTTTTGAATAATCAGGTTTTTTTGTCGTAATTTAGATTGTAGGATTCGAATTTTGACCATAATGATCAGATGATCAATTAGGATTGATTGACCGATTTATTTTGATATCATTGGTTGGTTGATTGATGGATTGATTAATTGACTGCTTAGGTGATTGAATAGGTTCAATGTTGATAATCTTTGATCTGATAATTCTATTACTATTTCAGACGGATGACAGGGAGCACAAAGATATGGACGATCACACAGATTTCAGAGAAAACTCAAAATTTGCCGATCATATGAAGGTGAGTTTTTAAAGAAAAATCATGAGTTTTATTGAAATTTTTTAACTTTCACGACTCTAAATATAGTTATTTTTTTTTGGGGGGGAATTAAGATTTCTCTATATTTTGTGCATAGAAATCGCAATTTTTTTTACAAATCCTTTCGCATATAAAATAACCCTAACGCTAAGAGTTCAGATTCTCAAAGGGTATAAATCGCTAAATTTTCAGATCTTCAACAAAAATTTTCTTAGGTTTGGGAAATTGTTTGAGGTAAAAAATCCTTGCAATTTAAGAGCCCGTTTTTTGTAACATCTTCCTAAAAGTTTTGAAATTAAATCCTTATTTCAATCCCAGCTAAGTAGTCATGGTGGGACTGCTATGTGGTCAAAGGCCGTCCCTTAGAGTCTGATTGATGGATAAAAATTACATTTTTCCAAATATCATGTTTTGTTTTCCCTCTAGGTTGACCAGGAGGGAGGGAAGACTGATTTCAGCAGAACTAAATCCTTGAAACAGCAGAGAGAGTTCCTTCCTGTATACGCGGTCAGACAGAAGCTTCTTCATCTTATCAGAGACAATCCGGTCGTTATTGTTATAGGTACGTGGTTTGGTTTGGCTTTTTATCAACGATTTTATTTGATTTTCTATGGGATTTTAATATAACTGCTTGATTATTTTTTTACATTTGATGTGGCTGTTTTACTTGGTTTGATTTAATTTGATGTGATTTCTATTGATTCTAATAGGATATCATTCAATTTGATTTAATTTGATTTAGATTTACATTTGATATTAATTGATTTAGATTGTTTTTATGTGATTCATTCAATTTGATTTTACTTGATCTGATTTTGATTGTGTGTTGTTGTGTAGGTGAGACAGGATCTGGTAAAACTACCCAGCTGACCCAGTTCTTGATGGAGGACGGATATACTAAATATGGAATGATCGGATGCACACAACCTAGAAGGTAAAACATTTTCATTGAAAATTTAACTCTTCATTTTATATACTCTTGTAATCCCTTGAGTTGGTTAGTATGCTTGTAGCGTTACTAACCTGGGAACCCAGCTTGGCGTGAGAACTAAACTTTCTCGATAAAAGTCAACCCACTTCACCTAGAATTGACAAACCAAGCTAAGAAAATTTCATTGGTTCTACCGATTTCCCCGATCTAAATTCAGGCAAATTCGTCAACTGATTCCTGAGTTATGATCGGGCATACAATCCAACAGACAAACAGAGATTACTATTTTATATATTTAGATTAGGTCGTTAAATAAGATGTTGAGTAATCTATTTATGAACCTTTCCTACTGAAGTTTAGAGGAAAAAAATCAAATCTATTAAACTAAATATAGAAAACATGTTGTGTAACAATGTAGGGTTGCCGCTATGTCCGTTGCTAAGAGAGTTAGCGATGAAGTTGGCGTAGAACTAGGAGATGAAGTTGGATACTCTATCAGGTATTTATAAATTATTGTTTAAAGAACTATTTATTATTATGGGAGTTGAGACAGAAGAAATGGGATAAGCGATGGATAGAATTAGGCTTTTGTAGATTGTCATCTACGGGAATAGTTTTGAAATTTGATTATTTATCGATTGATAATATTTTGATTGAGTTTATATAAGATTATTATTTTCTAACCGTTTACCACCCAATAGGTTTGAAGATTGTACAAGCGAGAAGACAATTATTAAATACATGACAGATGGTATTTTGTTGAGAGAGTCGCTTAGAGAACCTGATCTAGGGAAATACACATTTTTAGAATTGTTTATGTTTTGTTTTGTTTTCTGTTAATTTAGAATGTCTCATTTCTTATTTCTATTTTTTTTAAAAATTGTATTATTTCTGCAGACATGTATTCCTGTATTATAATGGACGAAGCTCATGAAAGATCACTAAACACAGACGTCCTTTTCGGCCTGCTCCGCTCTGTAGTTGCGCGGCGGAGAGATATGAAACTAATTGTTACTTCCGCAACGATGGACGCAGGAAAATTTGCGGATTTTTTCGGCAACGTTCCCACATTTACAATCCCCGGTCGTACCTTCCCCGTCGAAATAATGTACAGTAAAAACGTGGTGGAGGATTACGTGGACGCTGCTGTGAAGCAGGCGGTGCAGATCCATCTGACGGCCGACGAGGGGGATATGCTCATTTTTATGCCTGGGCAGGAGGATATTGAGGTCACCTGTGATACTATCAAGGAAAGATTAGGTAATTTGACATGAGTTGAGTAGTGTTTTCTTCGTAAAATCAACATATCTATGCTTTTTTTTGGGGGAAGGGGCTTGGGGGGGGGAGGCTGTGTTGTATCGTTTTAGTGTCGAAAGAAAAAATCAGGGTAACAAATGAAATTGACCATTAAATGTAGGTTTAAACTGTTAACACCTTTATATAACATTAATTTATTTATTTCCGGAGTAAAACACTGATCACAGATTTCTAAATCGAAGATTAAACAGACATTAGACAATGGCAGAGATTTATCTATTTATTAAAACCGAAAAATTGAAAATGATCACTTCTAAGACCAAGCTTTCAAGAGTAGTATTGTGAATGTCTTGGTTTTAAACGAAAATAGTTTTAGATAGTGCTTAGTATGCGTTGGATCCGCAAGATTTGGCTTCCTGGATCCGGATCCGCAAAAATATGCGGATTCAAGTTTCAGTATGAAAATAAGCGAAAAAAATTGAAAATTATGCTTTGTTAAAACAAATTCAGTAAATATTATAAAAATAGTGTGGATCCAGGATCCGGATCCGGATCCTCACCAAAATGAAATGGATCCTATGCACTAGTTTTAAAGTTTAAAAAAATGGAAAACTAAATAAATGGTAAACCGTAAAAAAATGGTAAAACTGTAAAAGAAAAATTGCAAAACTAAAAAAATGAAATACTAGATCAGAAATGGAAAAACAATAAAGATAAGGAAAAACTAAAATAAATGGGAAAAACTATAAAAATAAATTAATAAAAAAATCTATAAAAAAACCTTTAAATTATTAAAGGAAAATCTTTAAATATGGAAAACTATGTTAGATGAGGTTGACGAGGCTCCAGGGTTGGCTGTTCTACCGATCTACTCCCAGCTTCCCTCCGATCTCCAGGCAAAGATCTTCCAGAAAGCTCCGGACGGATTGAGGAAATGCGTAGTGGCGACAAACATTGCCGAGACCTCGTTGACGTTGGACGGTATCAAGTACGTGGTGGATTCAGGATATTGTAAGATGAAAGTGTACAATCCGAGAATAGGTAGGGAATGATCATTTTATCTTTGTTTTTATTCGGCTTAATCATGAGGTTTTATTCCCTCTCACCCCAATATTATCCTTTTCAGCTGGGGGTAGGAAGTTCTGTTCTAGAAAGCAAACATGTTTTTTATAGTAGACTGTAGTAGGGTAACGTAGGGAGGATGAAGGCAGAATGAGTGTAGGAGAGAAAGGTGAACACAGGTGGAGAGTAAGGAAGATATGTGTGCAGTACACGTGTGGGACCGGGCCGCGTACAGTAATGGCGGTACATAATTGGGAACAGAGGCTAGTCCGGATGTCGTCTTCAATTTGTGTATCCTATCTAGACAATTCTTGTCAGTAGCCTAAACAACAATTAATTATTATTTTTTCTAAAACCAGTTTTTATCTAGGTATGGATGCTCTACAGATATTTCCTGTATCTCAGGCTAATTCTAACCAGAGGTCGGGCCGAGCCGGTAGAACTGGTCCGGGCCAGTGTTACAGGCTCTACACGGAGAGACAGTACAGGTATGGTTAAAAATATAATATAATTTTACTGGAATTTCCCGGATATTTTTTTTCAATATTCGCAGAAAAATATTAGATCCTATGTTAACAGTATTTGAAATAATTTGCTTAAATTCGAGGAGCTTTCTGATGAAAAATTTAGAACTTAAGCAGTTTATTTAAAGCCTTATTAAACCACGTTATAGAAACTTTTAAACAATATTACTACACTCATTTTCTTATTCCCCGTTATAAAATTTTTGCGTTAAAAGCATAAAAAGTTCAGGTTTTCTTCTGTGTGCCCTAAAACATCCCAGGCGGAGGTTCAGGGAGGGCTAAAGCTTCTGAAATTGTTTAATACAGCAAATCCGACAGAAACTTAATACAATTTATAGAATTTCTTCTCTTGTTGCAGGGAAGAACTATTAACCACCTCTGTGCCTGAGATCCAACGAACTAACCTGGCCAACGTGGTTCTCCTTCTCAAATCTCTAGGTGTAGAGAACCTACTGCAGTTCCATTTCATGGATCCACCCCCGGAGGACAATATTCTCAACTCTATGTACCAACTATGGATTCTTGGTAAACCTAAACATCTTTTTATACTTCGTTTGAATCCTTAATTTGGGGTTGATGTTAGATCTAATCCATAAAAAAGTAGACTGGAATGTAAAATTTAAATATTTTTTAGATTTGTTTGTCATAGTTGTCCCGTCCCCCTGCATTTCTACAATTTTATGTTCGTTAATAACAATAATAAAAAAATGATTTTGACCAAAGAAGGGACTTGAACCTCAAATCTGTATACAAGAGACTTTGAGCCTAAAACAATCCTTTCATTACATAATTTGATTTTATATAAGGAAAATGAAGGTTTAAATCAATTGATTGAAGTGTATTTTTATTTGATGATTTTATTTACATTGCAGTGATTTTATTTGATTGATTTAATTAACTTTTTTGATTTATTGATTTATTGATTGACTTAATACTTTGTGATTAATTGATTTTAGTTAATGATGATTAATTGATTGTATAGGAGCTCTGGACAACACTGGTCAGCTGACAGATCTTGGTCGGAAGATGGTGGAGTTCCCCCTGGATCCTTCCCTCTCCAAGATGTTGATTATCTCGGAGGAGATGAGGTGCTCCCTCGATATCCTCATCATCGTTTCCATGCTCAGTGTTCCCTCCATCTTTTTCAGACCGAAGGGCAGGGAGGAGGACAGTGACGCTGCTAGAGAAAAGTTTCAGGTTTAATTTTAGAGATTTCATTTGTCTTCACAACAAAAATTAGATTTTTGCAGAATTTTCTGTTGCTCATTTAGGCCTGATCGGATGCGAACAAACGAAAAAACAACAAACACAAATAAACAAGCCAAATAGGTTTAAAACTTTTTTTGGGGAAAAATATTTTCCAACTAAAGTTCAAAGATTTTTTCCACAAATTCATTCATTGCTTGTTAAATGACCTTTTGGAGCTTTTCTATCATTTTCTTCTTAATCTGTATTTGTGATGTCTCGTAATATGATGTTTTGATTGCAGGTTCCTGAGTCTGACCATTTAACCCTGTTGAATGTCTACCATCAGTGGAAAGCTAATGGATACTCTGCGCAATGGTGCGCCGACCATTTTATTCATAGCAAAGCTATGCGCAAAGTGAGTACTCATAGTCGTTGTAGTTTTAAGGGTCAAAGCTGAAATATATGCACTTGTAGGTCTGGTAAATAGTAATATTGTCAATTTGAAACTCTATTCTAGTCAATTTTACCCTGATTAAAAGAGGTTTGGTTTAAACAGATTTAAAAAATTTGTGAAATTACAAGATTTTAGTAATATTTCCGCTATAAGGTGCGCGAGGTGCGCGCGCAGTTGAAGGAGATTATGGAGAACCAGAAGATGGAGATGGTGAGCGCAGGAACGGACTGGGATGTGATAAGAAAATGTATATGCGCGGCATTCTTTCATCAAGCAGCCAGACTCAGGTGGGTTTAATTCATTGATGTAATGCTACCCTACAAGAAAAACAGACCGAAAGATTTTCCGACCTACACGTGTACAGGGTTACCCATATAGGACGAGACTACAAAGACGACCTATCCACTTTTAGAAATACCGATCTGAAGGCCTTGCTTTGTTCTTGATTTAGTAAAGTCGTCTCGAGTTTGAATCGTGGATAGTGGAACCGAGCCCTAAAAGCCTGATTTGATTTGATATTGGTTCGAAATTATTTTTTAAGTGTTAAACTAAAGGATTAATAAAAAATCAAAGATGCACGGAAGTATAAAAGTATGGATGAAGACGGAAAAAGTTCCGTGAAGTCGTCTCTGAAATCTTGTTCTGGGTAGGTAACCCTGTATTAGATTTGAAAACAGGTTATGGAAGGGTAAGACATGTTAATGGATTTGTACGGGGTTGCAACAATGTGTGGGGACTTATTTACAAATAGTAGTTGAACTAGTATCTAGATCAAGTATTTCTAGTAGTTGAACTAGTATCTAGATCAAGCATATCTTTCTCTTCATTTATTCCTATTAATATTGATCTAATTTGTCATCTTTTGATTTATAAAGTGACTTTTTTATTTGTTAATAAATCCACATATCACTTTTACAGGGACCACAAAAAAAATAATCAATTTCAAAGAGAAAAGCATGGATATCTCATTGGTCATGTTACTTTTTAAATAAACTTGAAATTACGCCTGGAATCCCTTCATGTTAAATACGTTTAATTAGATATATTGTTCAGAGGTATTGGTGAGTATGTAAACGCCAGGAACGGTATGCCTGCTAACCTGCATCCTACCAGCTCTCTCTTTGGTATGGGGTTCACGGCGGACTACGTGGTGTACCACGAGCTCGTGATGACCACCAAGGAGTATATGCACACCGCAACAGCAGTGGACGGATACTGGCTCGCGGAGCTTGGGCCAATGTTCTATAGGTTAGATCACTTCAGTCTTTACAGATACACGATTTAATTTATTTTAATTTTAGTATAAAAACAAAAACATTATGGTTGTTTAGACGCGAGATCAAGTTTTTTTAAAGATAATTTCCACTTCAAATGATCTTGAACTGAACACTCGTATTGAACTCTAATATTCTAATCAATGAATCTTTTCAAGCCGATCATTGATCTGTCCAAAATTTTGAAATATCACAGGTTTACGAGTTACGACTTAAGGATGCAAAAATATTAAGATTAGAAATTTTAAGTATAGATAGTTTGCAGTTTTTTTTTTCTGATTTGGGGGAAATCAGTCGTAGGACAAAGCTGCCTTTGAAACTAAAATAAGACGAAAGATTTATTTGAATTAGTTTTTCTCAGAGTTCAGTCTAATCTTAAACCATTAATAAATCATAAATACAAATTCACACAGTCGGGTCTAATTTTGAAGATTAAAGTTGTGACTAAGGGACTCGAGACTAAGCTTTCAAATTGCTGCGCTTGGATTCTGATAATATTATTGTTCGTTTTCAGTGTGAAGGTGAAGGGAACCATGTCCAGTGAGACCCGACGTGAAGCATTGACGCAGTTGAACACCATGGAGGCGGAGATGAAGAAGGCGACGGAGAGGATGAAGGAGATGGAGGAGGAGAAGGAGCAGGCCAGGCAGAAGGAGAGGAACAGACAGTCCATTAGTACACCTGGATCAGAAGTTAAAACTCCAAGACGAACTCCAGCAAGATTTGGACTCTGAACATTTAAAAAAAATTTAATTAATCACAAAAATAAGTTCTGTTCGTACTAACCATATCGTGACATAAATGTATATTTTTTGTCCCCATGATCTAAAAAAATGTTGCAGATAAAATGCCTTTGCCAGCGAAAAAAGCGTTTCTCACAGAGGACTTTAAACTGGAGACAAGTAAAGATGTTCTCCAGGCTGATGAGAAACCTCTGCATGTATATTACTGTTTGTGTGGGCAGGTAATAAATCAGTTTAATATTATATTTGTTAATATTTTCATCAAACATTCATTTTGCACAATATTTAGGCTTTGTAGAGTAATTTTTGTTTAACTTTTGAGCGAATTTTTTGCTTAAATGATTATAATTAGCAAGTTTATTTAATGTCTCATTAGTCCTTTATCCTTATTTGAAAATCTTTTCTTAAAAACTTTAAATATCAGTATAATGTTTTCTTGGCAAAATAAAAAGCCATAACCCACTATGTTATGTCTTTTTTTTTTTGTAACATTTAGAGAAAAATTTCTGGTTTTGTTGAATATTTACGGTCCGCGTCTAAAATAGGTAATTTTTTCGCACCATTCATTTTTTTTTGGCTTGTATAATTTGTAAATATTTAGATGGCTGTAATCCTTGATAGAGCTGTAGACAAACTTCCTTTGAGACCAAAGGCAAGTATTATAACACAAGTCTTTTCCCTTTTTCTATTAATATTTCTAGTTTTTAGAAGTTAACCATCATAAATCTAAAATTTCACCAGTTTTAACGTTTATCGGGAAGGGAAAAAATGAAGAAAGACGTGCACAAGAGCAAACTTTATTTTTAGGTTGTCTTGTTTGGGATGGTGATCGCTTGAAAGAAGCTCAATGAATTTACTTTTTTATCAACGGTTTGCGTGCTGCAGACGGGAAGAAGCACACGCGCACAAGATCAAACCTAATTTTCATGATATTTGTGCTTAGGATGGTGCGCGCGTTATAGACGGCAAGAAGCACGCGCACAAGATAAAACTTGAATTTGATGAGATTGTTTATATTAAGAGAGCAGAAGGAGTTGAGAAACAGCATAGGTAGGTTAAGGGAAGGGGGGGGGGGAGATTTCCAACTAAAGCATTTCTAATTTGTAATAGCATTATTTTTAATTAAAGTCCCCAATTTGGTATCGGATTTAAAGACAAAATGGCATTTTCCCTTTTTTTGAGTTTTCGTTATGATGAAAAGCAAACTAGCTTTCTACTTCATTGGTAATACAATTTTTTTTAGATATAAATGTCATGGTTGTGGGCTTCAGATATTCTATAGACATGATCCTGATACAGATATAACATTCATATTCAAGGTAGAGATATTCATTATACATGAGACATAATATTCATATTCAGGGTAGAGAATAGATATCTATTCATAAATAATCATATATTATATATATATTTTATTTAAGAGGTATTTCTCCAAAGTAAAGCTCAACATTTTCTTGAGGTTTTCATCTCTGAATTTGAACAGTAAGGAAAAATTTGTGGGTTGAAAAAAAATTGAAAAAGATTTCCATTCTATTTTTCATTTTTTCTCCAAAATTCATATCTGAAAGATTTGACTTCTTCTAAACACTAGTTTTATTAAACAATAAGACATTGCTTCAAGCAACTAAAATCATGAATTTCAATTCCGTTATTTCCAGGGAGCTGTTCGATCCGCAGCGCAAGGTATCTCTCAGAAGGATATTTACTCCCAGGTTGCCCAAGAACAACCGAAGAAAAGAATGGTCACCAAGAACTTTAGAACAATGGGAAAATATTCTAGTGTTACTGTTAGTACTGTCAGGTTTGTTTATAATCTATTAACACTGTCTAGAGACGATTGACGATTTAGAATTGGGGGGAAATATTCCCACAACCTCTATTTTTGGAGGTTTTTAAATATTTTCTCCTGAAACCCTTAATATTTTATGTTTTTGTTATATTTCATAAATAGATAATTATTCACTTACTTACTTAATTACTTACTTACTTATTTACTTACTTACTTACTTACTTACTTACTCACTTACTTACTTACTTACTTACTTACTTACTTACTTACTTACTTACTTACTTACTTACTTACTTACTTACTTACTTACTTACTTACTTACTTACTTGTTTACTTACTTACTTACTTATTTTTCTGATTGATGTAGTGATGACGAGGATGAGCTGGAGGACAAGGAGATAGCTGAGAACTACGCCCTTAACGCTAAGATCATCAACAAGCAGCTGGACAGGAAGGGGATGATGAGGAAGGGTCTCCAGGAGGAAGGAGCTCCCCCGCCTAAATCCGCCAAGAGAGGAACACTCATTGACCAATAGTTTTTGTTGTTTAACTTCTGTACCTTTAACATAAATATAAATTTTACTTTTCAGAGTGATATGTATATTCGGACATCGGCAGCATTCCCTGTAATAGGTAAACATTATAGAAAGTAATTTTTTAACCAATGTTAAGTACTTTTTTCCAGTGGTCAAAATTAATGAGAAGAGAAATATATTTGAACTAGATATGGCTAGTGCCTACTAAATTAGTACAGTCTCGACGACACTACAGAATTATTTCAACTAAATGTCAATTACTTCTCCTGATCCATCAATTCCGACCATGTCCTTAAAATAGACGTATTAACCCAAAAACCGAATCACAAATTTATACTTTACAATCCCCCCAATTTCACACCTTCTAGTTAAATTACTTAGCCTCAGAGGCCGGGATTATAGTGTATCCTAGCAGAAGCACAAAGTATCAGACTGGCCTGCACTGTCTTCTTATGGTTATTACATACTTTGAAGTTGATGGGGAAAACTCCACTTGAGAAGTTATTTTCCGATCTAACAATGAAGAGCACTTTTCTCTAGAGAATGGTGCACACCGTTTGCATGGTGTCAGACTTTTTCTATCCGAACATGGGGGGAGTTGAGTCGCATATATTCCAGGTTCGTTGGTTTTTCAATTATAGTTGTTATTGGCATTGTTAGATAATCCTCGGGAACTTATGTAGAGATATAAATTGCATGTCTTGAGTTACTGACCACGGTTCTGATGAAGGAGGCGTTGCTTCTATGACATTTTTCAATATCTCAATAAATAATGGTGTTAGCCGGTTCTACTTTCGCATGTATACTCATCTGATGCTCTAGGAACAGTATATGACGTCAAATCTGCAATATCTCTGTTCGGAGACCGGAGATATATGATGAGGTACCTCCGTCGGCTCTGGTATTTTATTAAGATATTGAAAAATGGCATAGATGCAACGCCTCATTTTTTTACTGGTAATCTTTCATCAGCATCCGACATTTTTTATTTACCTACTTGGACATCTTATTTTCTTAACTAACTCCGCCATTTTGTTTTCTTTACCAACTCCGCCATTTTGTTTTCTTTACCAACTCCGCCATTTTGTTTTCTTTATCAACTCCGCCATTTTTTTTTCTTTACCTACTCCGCCATTTTGTTTTCGTTACCATCTCCGCCATTTTTTTCTTTACCAACTCCGACGTTTTTGTTGTAAATTAGCCTATAGTTCTAGATTTATTTGGTTTAGTTGTCGCAATGTTTGTTGGAAAGAGGACACAATGTGATTGTAATCACACACTTCTATGATGACAGGGTTGGAGTTAGATATATGACAAACTATCTGAAGGTAACAATACTTTATCATTAACAAAGCAATAATTAATAGTATTGATAACAATAATAACAATGATGATATTAATAACAAAGATGATAATGGTAATTATGATGATAAAAATAACAAGATTGATAATAATTATAACAATGATAACAATAATAACAACGATAACAATTATAACAATGATAACAATGATAGTAATTAAAACAATGATAACAATGATAATAATGAAAAAAATGATTAAGGATTTCTGATAAGTAATAACCATTGGATGCAAAATCGACGTAACAAACGCGTCTTTATATATATTTTGTCTTAAACCCCAAATAGGGGCAAACTGAGAAATTCTGCGTAAAATCTGTAGATTTGCTGTTCATATCTGATTACATTTTAGGTTTATTATCTACCCATCCTTCCTTTTTACAACAAATCTATTTTACCAACAATTATTGGTTCTCTGAACTACCTTAGGAAAATATTCCTTGCAGGTGAAAAAAATGCACAATATAAGTTTATAAAATATTAAGATAAATACCGCACATAGAAAATAAAATCAAATACCGGAAAAACAAATAAATAAAATTAAAAAGAAAAAAATGCAGATTTATCATTAAAAACCTGAAATTTAAAACTCTTATTCTAAAAATTTCTAATTCCCATATATTTGCAACCTGATTTCTAATTCATAGTTGATCAAGCAAAATTAATTTCATAGTTTGATAATACTAAGGTATTAAACATTGTTTATATTTTGACCTTTAGCCTCTTGTCTCTTACTTGTCCGACAGGTTTTGATTTCAAGTAATTTTTTTTTCAATTAAGAATTTTTTTATTTCAGAAAAAGTGACAATTGTTCACGGACATTCAGCCTTCTCTTCACTTGCTCATGAAGCTCTTTTTATTGCGAGCTTATTAGGAACAGTTCAAGTTTATAACAACATTTAATTCTTTCTATATTTTCTAATGTTATAAGTTTTTTTTTACTTCATTCAGGTTCACCCAATGTCGTTTATCTATGATTTAAGAACCTTAATTTGGATTTTTTAAAATCAAATCCAAGATTTTAGAAAAAGTTTAAAAATCTTATAATATATATATATATAATATAAATGCATATATCTATCACAAGCTGCAAGGCTATTGCTTAATTCCTGATTTATTAAGTTCACTTCGGGTGAGTTATGCGGATAGTAGGGCGTCCCTCAAATTCTGATTTGATTTAAAAACATTTACATTTTCATAACATTTATAAATACCATTTATGCATTTTTTTCATGTTATTTTGAATTGTAATTATCAAGATATACCTTCAGTGTTCACAGACCATTCACTGTTCGGATTCAGGTTTAATAGCATTATTAGACAAAAAATAACAAATAAAAATATTTAATTTTTTAAATTTTTTATCAAATGTCTGAAAACTGAAAGCATATAATTTGGTTGATAATTCAACAATAAGCTTAACCCTATTTAGCCTGACGTTTGGTTTACTGACTGGCTGCCTGGGGGGAAAGGGGGTAAAGTTGAGCCCACTCTAATTTCGAATTCTAGTTATTAAGCAAAATGTGCCAACAAAAATTGCGCAAATTGCAACAGATTATAGATTTTTAAAATGCTCTTGACTTAGCGAATTGAAGTATGCAGAAATATTTGTGTATTCAAGAAAAACTGAAAATGTGCAAATTCTCTTTAAAGGCGTCTGTGCAAAAATCTGTGCAAAATTTCTTGGCAAAAACTGTGCAATCTGCTTGCTTTTGTTATTGGCTTTCCAAAGATCCATAAAATATTAAAATCCAATGACTGGAAGTAGGTCTAAATATATGTAGATTTACTTGATACTTGTGTGTTGATCCTCAGTGTTCCATCTAGGAATATGTAGAGGATTTTTTCAGGAACTAATGATCATCTGCCGGAAGAATGTTATCTTCTAGGTTTGTGAATGATCCCAGTGATCATTGTGGATCTAATGTTTAGTCGGGTTAGTTAGAAAAACCAAAAAATTTGATCTCCTTAGTTCAAATATTTTTTGAGTTATCGCAATAGGCCCAGGCCAGATAGGGTTAAAAATCTAAAAAAGAAGATTTTTAAGTTTTCCAAGATGGCTGCCAGGTAGAAAAGCTGACACCTCTATTCATAGTGTTCATATGCTGTTTAATTCAGTGATGCCAGCGCTATTGTAACAAATACATTCTTAAAGTACTCGTTATCCAACACTAGTCACACCATCTGCGTCTCACATACTGGAAAAGAAAATACCGTACTCAGGTTTATAATTTTAAGGAATTATTCAGATATTTGGTGGATTTCATAGGTGTCAATTGTTAGATTAAGGGTTTGTATCAATAATCATACCTACCTCAGGGTTTAAACATACTTATAAACTAATTAAATGGAGGAAAATTAGCGCTTTTTCACCTTAAGAGTTTTTTTTTGAAAGACTCTTATATCGTCTTTCGCGTTGAGAAGTAATTACATAATTCTTAAAGTATTCCAAAATTCACGGAAAAATACATCTTCAAAGTTTAACTTGGAAAATAAAATTTAAAATTAATTTCTTAGGTTTTTTGAATAAAATAACAATGCCCGTTTTACAACAGTACCCTGGAAACATTAATCTGATCAAAATGTGGAAGATACCGTCGTTTTCTGACTTGAAAAGTGTTAATTCTGACAATTTCTTCATTGCTTTTTATAAGCAAGAAATGTGTAAGTCACTTTCGCAGAGAAACTGCAAATGAAAATAAACAGTTTAAAGAAACGAAAACATGAATGTATAATTTTTGCTTGATTAGACAAAGCTATTAAGGGTACCGTACTACAACGGGTATTGCAATATTTGCATTAAAGTAAACTTCAAATTGTGCTTTGTCTCTCAAAAAAAATGTTTAAAGGAAGAAACAACTTATCTAACTGGCAAATTTATGAATGTTTTTATTAGATCGGGAGTAAATGCTCAGGACGTATCCGTGATACCGAACGCAGTTGATGCGGTCAAATTCCGGCCAAAACAATCTAAAACAACACTCAAGTTTAACAACCAACAACCTCCTAGTCACAAAATTACAACAACACAACAACAATCTACCATTAATACTGAGAAGAAAAGACTAAGAATAGGAAAACTACCTGACGAAAAGGATGAAACTAAACCTATAACAATTGTGATAGGAAGTAGGCTAGTTTATAGGTGAGTAAAGAACATAAATGAGGATGGAATCTTTTATTATTATGAAGATTTATTCATACAAAAAGATAAATGATAAAAGACAAGTATGGTGAAGTTTATTTTTTTAAAACATTTTCGAATATATAGTTTCACAAAATATGCAAAATTATGCAAAATTATGCAACTTTAATTATCACTCAGGACGTAACAAATTCATCACTTTAGAAATTTCATCGTTTTCAAATCCTTGTTAATTGTTAGGGTTGCTTGAAATTATGTCAACTGTCCCATTTAGGAAAGGAATAGATCTGGTGGCCGAGCTTATCCCACTTCTTTGTCGTCGTAAGTATTGTGGGCGCCACGTCAACTTCTTGATAGCTGGGGACGGTCCTAAGCGAATTCTAATTGAAGAAGTTATAGAGAAATATAAACTACAAAGACGGTGAGTCTGTTCGCTTCAAAACTAACGTTTTTTGCCTCTCAGAATCAGAATCCATTAGATCCTGGTTTGTTTTTAATGAAACAGTATATGTTCAATTTTGTGAATTGTAAAACCAATTTTTGCATATTTTCAGCCAACCGAGATCAACCAATTAAAATAACTTTTTAGTTAAGTTAAGTGTCCAGACAGAAACTTTAAATTAAGAAGCTTGGTGTTACTTCTTCTGGCATATCTTTTAATATTGAAAAGAACACAATTATCTAAAGTTTACTACTTAGAATACTTTTGTTGATCTGAGTTTGGAACTCTTATATTGTGGATATCTAGATATCAACGTTTGGTCTCCATCTTAATCGGCAGAATAATTTAATCTTTATTCGATATCACGGAAGGATTAACTGAATTGAAGAGATTCAACATTGATTCTCAAATTAAAAGTGTTCACTGTAGATATCAACCAAGCAATCTGGATTGTGAGTATTCAACATAAAATTTCCTAGCTCTGGACAACTTGTTGCTAACCCAATTGAACTTGAGAAATTGTCAGGTTCTCTTAAATAAGAACAAGTATCTTTCTCTTCTATAAAACCAAAAATTAAAAATATTTTTAATGTTAATTTAGAGTAAAGATGCTTGGAGAGCTTAAACACTCTGATGTTAGAGACAAACTTTTGATAAAAGGTATTTTTTACAAAAATTTAAAATAGAATTTTTTTTTATTAAAAATAAATTACTAGCATTACCGACCATTATTTTCAGCACAAAACAGTGATTTTTAGTAAAAAACATTAAAAATATGTAATATTTTTAGTAAAAAACATTACAAATATGTAATATTTTTAGTAAAAAAATATTACAAACATGTATTATTTTTAGTAAAAAACATTACAAATATGTAATATTTTTAGTAAAAACATTATTATTTTCAGGTGATATTTTTCTAAATACAAGCTTAACTGAAGCTTTCTGTATGGCCATAGTTGAAGCAGTAGCTTGTGGACTCACTGTTGTTAGGCATATTATTTATCTCAATAAGTCAGGGGCTTTCTTGAATATTTCTTATTCAAATTCTCAAAAAAATTTTAAAAGGGGATTTTTGTTTACAAATATGCAATGCAGAATCCATAAAATCAAAAATTACTCAATCTCATCTTTGCAATTTTCAATACTTTCAATGAGACAATTTGGAAATTTTGATTTTTGGTCGTGTTAAATCCATTTTTCTTCTGTGTCATTTCCTAAACAAATGAAAAGATAAAATATTGTTTTGAGCAGTACTAGCGTTGGAGGTATACCTGAAGTGCTTCCATCTAGGTTCATATATCTAGTTGATCCTAACCTAGACTCTATACTACAGGGTGTATACACTGGTATACAGGTATATATACATCTAGGATTATATATCTAGTTGATCCTAACCTAGACTCTATACTACAGGGTGTATATACTGGTATAAAGGTAAATATACATCTAGGATTATCTACCTAGTTGATCCTAATCTCCGAAATTTCCTAATTCTTTTTTTGTCGATTCTTATTCTGAAACTTGATGGACCAATTAAAATCAGGTAGATTTTCAAGAACTCAATCTGTTGCGGATCCAACGGACTCGGATATTGCATTTGTGTTTATACTAAATCTGTTAATAATGTTTCAGGCAGTGATAACTGGCACACGGCCAAGTGCCACCGAGTGCAATGAGTTTGTTCGGACATCTTATTGTTGGAGAGACGTTGCCAGGAGAACTGAAGTAGTTTACCAATCTGTTTCTACTGGTTTGAAACCTTCTCTAGCTAGAAAGGTAGGTTAATCAATCTGTTTCTACTGGTTCAAATCCTACTCTGGTTAGGAAGGTAGGTTTATCAATCTGTTTCTACTGGTTTAAATCCTACTCTAGTCAGGAAGGTAGGTTTATCAATCTGTTTCTACTGGTTTAAAACCTACTCTAGTTAGGAAGGTAGGTTTATAAATCTGTTTCTACTCTAGCTATGAAAGTAGATAAAATAAAACCCCCCCATCTAAAAAATTAACATTTCTCCGGGTTTGTTTGAGAAATATAAATGGTCTAAGAGGAAAATATATGATTTGTTTTGTAAAAAAATATTAAGACGGATGTAGTATTATTAAATTACTGGCTCAATTTCGGTTTGTTAATTCTGTACTGTGTAAAGATTCAATAAAGTTGAACAATCTAGAAATGATTTCAATGATGTACGGGGGAGAAAGCCCTATGCTGCCATAATTTCCAAAAGAAATTCTTAGACGAAGTATTTTTCGAAGTGTCTTCCTAATACAAAAAAATTATATCTCTTAAGTATTTCTACCAATAGATAACTTGTTGTTTGTTAGGTGAGGAACCTGTGGGACTGTGGACCTATGGCCGGACCATTTATGGCAGTTTTATATCTTGCTCTTCATTATCTTCTTCTTTTAATTAACTGGGTCTCCCCCATCAAAAGATAGCATTTTCTGTATGTTAAATTGTTTTTATAGATTAATACATTTAATTAGTAATTAATATCCAATTTGAAAAGTATAGGTTGATGGAACACAAAATTCTAATAATGCATATTTTGCAAATAGTATTTTTGTAGCAATTTGGCACAATTAATCTGCCTAAAGATGCTGAATTTTGAAAATATATTTTATACTTTTAATACTTGTATATTTTGCCAATACTTAAATTTTCTAATCTTGCTGCCATAAGGTTTTACTTTGTAAACTTTTGTAATATTACATACATGACTATTGAATATAGGGTGCAAACCTTACCTGTAATATTTTGATTTCAGAACTGCAATATCTATAATCCTTACCTTTGACCTTTTTTTCCATTGATTAAAAAGCATTTATTAATTTGATTTTTCTTTGCATATTTCTTTGTTGTTTTATTACTATTTGTTACGTTTGTTGATTTCAGAACAATGTTACAGTTTATCAAGAACATCTGACAAGGTATGTTAAAAAGTTTTTTTATAACTGTTTTGACCCACTTTTTCAGCAAATTGAACTCTCCTTATTTCATTTCTATCAATTTGTACAATGCAAAATTTTGACGAGATAAGAGTTGAATTTTGATGTTTATCTTTCAAAGCTGCAGGATTTTCTTTTGTTTGTTTAATATCGATTTGACTAAACTTACGTATTATCATTTCATTTGAAAGAGACGAATACGTCTTTAAAGGTTTCTTAGCGCAAATTACATAATTTTAATATTTATGAACTTAACTAGCTACAATCAACATAATTATAATATTTATGAACTTTACTAGCTACAATCAACATAATTATAATAGTTATGAACTTTACTAGCTACAATCAAGAGCTTTGTCAGCTAAAAAGTAATTCTTATTTGTCCGCAGTTGAAATCAGGGTAATTTAAAAAGTAGATCATATTGTAGTTATTACAAGTAAGGGCTTTGACAGCAATGATTATCATTTGGGACATGCCTTGTATTTATAAAAAGTAATAGTGTAATATTTAAATCAAATCAAATAATAATTACGGAAATCACTTTTCAGCAAATTGTACTTCTAAAAGTAAGGGCATATCTAGTCATTTTAAGGAAGAATTTTCTAAGATAAAATGTAACACCAAAAGTACCGTGTAAGTCATAACTACATAGAACAAAGAAAAATATTTTAAAAGAAAAAGAAAGGATTGTAGTCCAAATTCTAGTTAATGAATCATTATCTGTGGACTTTGATCAAAACAAGAACCTGTTAAAATTTTAAGATACAAGTCTGAACAATTCTTCAAAAGAATTCTTCTAAGAATAAAGTTTACTGCAGGTTCTGGGAAGAATGTAAACACACTCATCCTTCCTAGAACCTGTAGTACACAACGCGCATACACTAAAGTCCCATAGATTTTTTATATCCCCTTGCTTCTTCATATTAAATCAAATTCTATGCAGTATATATATTCTGTTCTGTTAAATATTGTAAAATACTTGAATTTGCAAATCATGCAATGCATGAATTATCACATTTTCAATAAATTTGTGCTCAGAATTTTTTCACTCGAATCCATATTTTACAGATTATTCTCATATAAATTTAGTTTCTGCTGAAACAAAAATAACCACTGAAAAATAAAGATAAATATTATGCTTTAGGTTCTTTTTTATCCAAAATGAATAAAGAAGAATTTGAAAACCAAAGTCCAAAATTCTATTAGTTAAACAAGAAGTTTAATTTTTTGAAGAGCCTGGGAAAATGAATGAGGTTTCCTGGTATTTAACTTTCATGATTTCACCTGAATCCAATAGAATTAGTTATTGGAAAACTAATCTAAACCTGAAAGAATTATTGAGCTCGTACTTTTGCTTCAGTCAATCATTGGACTCAGTTCTATTAACATTATCCTGTTCATTGACTGGTATAAGATGGAGGCTCAGATTTTACCCCAACCTAAATTCAATGAAAATTTGGGTGCTTTAACGGCTAGAGAGTTGGTTTTAGACATGAAAGCCAAGATTAAATGCCAACAGTTAGCTGTAACTGGTCAGAAGTCCAAAGCCTGGGATTTATTGAAGAAAAAGATAACCTCAGCTAAAATTGAGGATGCTCTAACATCTGCTAAGATTTATGTGAATGGTCATAAGTTTACAATCCTGCGACCACTAGGGGAGGGAGGATACTCAACTGTGTATGAAGTCTATTCTAGAGATAAGAAACTGTATGCTCTTAAAATTGTCAACCTAGCAATTCATGCTGATTGTGTGAAGCAAGATTTGATCAGGGAAATTGTTTTTCTTGAAAAACTGAAAAAGTGTGATTTGGTGGTCAAAGCTTTTGATTATGAACTGAGAAAAACTGAAGATGAGCATAAAATGTTTGTGCTTATGGAAAAAGGTGATAAAGATTTTCATCAAATTCTAGAAGAGCATAGAAATAGAAAATCTTTGAGCCCTGCAAAACTGCGATACTTCTGGGAAGAGATGTTGGAAGCTGTTCTGGAACTTCATGAAAACAACATAATTCATACAGATCTTAAGCCTGGAAATTTCTTGCTTGTTGGAGGACAGTTGAAAATCATAGATTTTGGTCTTGCAATGGAGTTAAGGGCTGGACAGGATTATGCTTACCGAAAATTTGTTGGCGGAACAAACAAATACCTATCCCCAGAAAGCTTGAGTGGAGGCAGCAGTTTTGATCCATCAGGTAGCAAGCTCTGCACTAAATCAGATGTTTGGGCACTTGGTATTGTTCTTTATCAAGCAGTTTATGGTGTCCTTCCATTTTCTTCGGTACCTGGAGGAAGAGCTGCTAAGCTTAATGCAACTAATGACCCAAATATTCCAGTTGATTTTGAAGTATCAAGTTCCATAGATCCTCATCTGCTTGACACAATGAAGAGATGTTTGGAAAAAAATCCCGAGAAGAGAGCTTCAATTAAAGAACTACTAGTTCATCCCTACCTAAGACCTGAACTGGGTTCAAAAATTGAACAAGTTTCTAGTACTTGCAACGTTTGTAAGAAGAAAGGAAGAAAATTGGCTAAAATATCAAGTCAAAGAAATCAACAGACATTATCCCAATAGATTAAATATACAATTTTTTAAGGTAACCCTTGGGCATGTAATGTGATGAAAATCTGTGTAGTCAGACTAATTGTACTAATTTTCATAATCAAAAATAAAATTTTATTTAGTTTGTTGATCTAAAAAAAATATTTACAATACAAAATGCAGGTGACACCTGAAGGCATGAATGGAAGCCAGTTGTTTAGCCTACCGCCTGAAATTTTAGAGAAACTCTTCAAATTTTTCACTTCTGATGTTCAACAACTGAAAAATATTTCGGAAACTTGTCAAAAGTTTTATGACATTGTGTCAAAGGTATTTAAATTGGAACACTAATCACAAAAGTAACATCAAAATGACACAAAAATAATTCCAAAATAACACAAAAATAACACAAAAATAACATCAAAATAACCCAAAATAACACCAAAATAACACCAAAATGATACTAAGATAATACCAAAATAACACCGAGTAAGACCAAAATAACACCTAAATAACACGTAAATAACACTGAAATAACACCTAAATAAAACCAAGATAACACCAAAATAGCATCAAAATAACGGCTAAATAACTCCAAAATAACTCCAAAATAACTCCAAAATAACACCAAAATAACACCAAAATAACACCAAAGTAACATCAAAATAACATCAAAATAGCATCAAAATACCATCAAAATAACCCAAAATAACAACAAAATAACACCAAAATAACATCAAAATAACATCAAAATAACATCAAATTAACATCAAAATAACCCAAAATAACACTAAAATAAATCCAAAATAAATCCAAAATAAATCCAAAAATAATCCTAAATAAATCCAAAATAAATCCAAAAATAATCCTAAATAAATCCAAAATAATACCAAAATATTAGTAACATAACAGCAACTACACCAAAATAAAATCAATTGAACACCAATTGAACTCAAATTGAACACGAACATAACACCAATTAAAAACCAACATAACATCAATTTATCACCAATCGAACACCAAATATCACCAAAAAATACAAAGTGACACAAAATGATACTAACTTAAATTTAGATCCCTCTTGAAATCTGTATTCCATTGGAGGAGTCGGTTTCCACATGGATCCATGGAACTAAGAACAGAGTCAAATCACTGACTAACCGAGAAATTGCAGCTTATGTTCTTGATCAAATACGTCCATTAAACCTGACCCATCTCAATATAGCCAAACTTGTCAGGAACTTAAAATATAATGACACAATTCTTAGTTTAGCAGCAGTTTTCGTTTTTAAAAATAGAAACAAAAACCAATTGCCTCTTTAAAAATTTCGATGTGTAGTGTACTATAGTTTTAGAAAACATTTTTTACCCTTGGAAGTTAAATTATAATTTAAATCTTTAAAGTTTTGACTACCAGTCACGAAGATGTGAAGTTACCCCACATTATTGGCAGTTACTTCAGCATATATCAAGGAGAACACATGAAATATAACATTAAACCTATTACTGAATATAAAGATGAACTAGCAATTTCTTAAGAATTTTCAATTGTTAAATGTTTAAAAACATCCAAATGATTGATTTCATGAATGAACATTGACTCTTCAGTCAAAGTAGTGGAAGCTTGAAACATCTGGAACTAAATGCTGATCTTGCTCCTGGACCAAAAAACTTTAGATTTGCTGATCTCATCACATCATTTACATACTTGCAAAAGCTATCCTTGCATTTCTCAGGGATAAAGAAAAAATATTGAAATATAATTCTAAACGAGCACATCCTTGTGTTTTTACCATGACTTATCACTCAAAAATAGTTAATAATAAGTTATGTTAAAAAAATAATGATATGTTGAAAACACTTTCTTTGTGTGAAAACAGCCCATATTGAACTGAACCAGAGAATTCTGCACTCCACTGATGCACAGACCCTACTTAATATCATTCTGGGTACTCTATCATTCTAACAAAAATCATTCAAAGCATAGATTTCATAGCACTTCAAGTACATATCAAGGAGTAAACTTTCAATATGTTTTACCATGATATTGAATTAGCAGTTCAGTTTTATTTTACTTTTATTTTACATTTTATTGCATTTTGTGAAGCATTTCCAAAAAAAGAAAATGATGATTAATGTAGCTGAATTGGAGCATCTTGAAATATTGAATGTCTACACATTTCCTCCAGTTAGAATTCATCTAACTTCCAACTCTCTCAAGGAGTTTGGACTCTTCAAGTCAGAACTCACATACTTTGTTGATCTTAAAACTCCAAATCTCAGGGAAGCAAATTACAATTATATTTAACTGAATCACCTACCCTTTACTTTTTTGGACTCAGATATAATCTAAAAAATGTCATCATATCTGGGCTCTATTGATTTGTTTTTATTGTTCTGGCAATTCCTAAAAATGCATTAAATTGAGAAAAAATTATTTGGATAATAATCTTTTTTTCTTTACATCTAAAATTGTTGAAAAAGCTTGTAACCTGCAGGAAACTATACGTTGAGGAGAATTTTAAAAATCTAATTCTCAGCAATCTATTCGAACGAACTCCTGGGAGCAGGAACAGAAGTTTACACCGTAACCTCTTTAACGTGGTGTACAACGGTTGCCCCCGGCTAGAGTATATAAACAAGTACAGGTTCCCCCCACAGACCGAGGAGGGTGGGGAGAGGAAGGTGTCCAGAGGGACCTGGATGGGGAGAATCAAAGAAACTTTTCTTATGAAACGTTCAGAAAACTGACCGGTTAGCAAACATTCTAAGTTGTTAGTTCTTCATAAAGTTATATTTTTCTTTTTAAAATAAAATGCATGCTTGCTAGGATGTCGTTTTCTTTCCTCATTTGCATTTTTTGCTTGCTTTTTTTTCTTTTGGTTAAAATAATTAAAAAACGTCAAAACGGCTGATCGAGCGCCAAGAAAATAAAAACAATTTACAAATTTTAAAAAATTGATCTAAGTTGTACAAAACTGACGTATTAAATGGTCAGCGACATAAACAATGAGTGAGTTCAACGCTAAGCGCCCAGTAAACCTAACTATGGCGCATTTCTATAGTAAATGAATACGTTTTTATTTATTTTCAACTTTTCTTACTAAAATTCTTAGATTTTCTTAACTTTTTTTAGCTTGAAAAGAAAAATATACTTTTCACAGATGAACTCATTTTTAACTGCAAACTTTAAAATTCAAATTGAAATTTTGACTAAAAATTATTGCTTTTCTTAGAATAAATAATTCGTTCACATGTTAATTATCAAAAAAGGCAAAAAAGAACAGAAATCTCACTTCTCTATAAAGAAAAATTATTATTATTTTAATAAACGTGGGAGAGGAGAGGGGGGATATCCCGGGATTAAGAAACTCGTATCTTACATAATAAGTTCATAGAGTACGTATAGAAATGCTGTTTTAAAGTTCAAAGAGTACAGGCAGATCATATGATCCGTTTGGAAATTTATTATAAAGAAAAAATAAGAAAAAAATTTAATTTTACTTTAATATAGAACCTCTTCACACAAATCTAAACTTATTTTTTGTTTTGTTTTTTATCTCTTGTTATCACTCGAGCTTGACAATATTCATCAGTTCAACCTTGAACCTTGAGCAGTTCACAATTAGCAGAGTATTACACAGTCCTGACTTTTTAATAAGTATAAACGTGATTATTTGAATTAATAATGATAAATAATATTTACTATATTCTGAAAAGTAGCATCACTGGATTTACTCATTACATTTTGTAGATGTTATCCTGCAATTCTGTTCTCTTTATTATAATTTATCTTAATTTCAGTATAAGATATGAAATCAGTCAGATGACATTTATGTGCATTTACTCTTCAGTTTATTTATAGCATGAAGTATTTATCCATGCAATCAGCTTGTTTTTATTTTTGCATTTAGTATTTTTTGCTTGTATTATAGGGTTATTCACAAAGGATTATTTTAGTTTACTAAAGTGTCATTCTTTTTGGGTAACCCTATTTGTACTTTTAATGTTTTTAAGTGTTTGCATTTAATTTAATTTTTTTATTAACAGGTGATTCCTTAATTGATTGATTGTTCAGGTTGTGTAGATGGCAGATGTAGATGTAAAACTAATTCTGTTTGCGAAAGCTCGAGAACTAGTTGGAGCTTCTGAGGTTAATGTCAGGTAATCACATCCTCGTTCAACCTTACGTCCCATATCAACCCTACTCTCCCCCCCCCATACCAACCCTCTTTGGAACTCCTCCATGTCATTCCTTTCCATGGCCCCCTCTCTCATTCTCCCTCATCAGTCATCACCCCTTCCCTTTTTACTCCGGCTTATACCCCCCACCCCTCTAAACTCTCTCTCTCATTTCTCAAAGGCTTCTCCGTTCTAAACCCCCTCCCTACCACCACCGTTTATCAAGAAATGGATTTTCTTAGATACTTGTTAACCACCAAATGAGTTTATATTCAAGCTAAGATCAAAATGTTATATTGCAAGATGCAATACAACTTCATGCTTTTCTTTGTCTAGGTTTCCACAAGAGTTAAGTTCAGAGCATCTAAAGTCCAAGATCATTCAATCTTTCCCAGTTTTAGGTAAAACTAGCTGAAGTGTCCGGCGTTGCCTGTGGAATTTTAAAAACACTTAGAAAAAAATATCAACCAATTTTGCTAGCTATTGATAACATGATGATGATAATATATGAATAACGATCGTATGACGTATAGCTTTATTAAATTGTTGTAGTTTATTTTTTTAAAATTAATATAATAAAAGTTTGTTGTCAGATAAACTTGGTGGAACTTGGTTACTGGCTCTGAACGAAGCTTATATTGATACAGATCGAGTAACCTTGAATACCGGGGATACACTTGCCGTCATTCCACCGATCAGTGGCGGATAGTAAAAATTAATTTACCAAATCCAATCTAATTGCACGTAAAAATGCCCGAAGTGACTTTAAGCAATGGCACGAACTCAAGTTCTGTATCGGAGCTTAATCCGATCGAATCCGCCCCTTCTCAGATTGAAGGGGCACCGGGAGAAGTGTCTGAACCTGGATCAGGGCTGGATGAGGTTTTATTAACTCAATCTCCGCTAGATGTCAATTCTATATTTGTTGGGGCAACTCTACCGTCTACCGGAGCAACTTCGCTTTTTGTCGGAACAACACGGTATGTACAAAAAAAATAAAAAAATTGAAATCTTAGAAATTTTTGACATGGAAAAAATTTTGATCTCAAAATTTGTATTTAAATAATAATAAACATTTTATAATGAATTTTATTTGTTGAAAAGGTTTCAAGTTGAAAACGTTTAAGTTATAGAGCCAGGTTAACTCTATAGAGCCAGGTTAACTCTATAGAGCCAGGTTAACTCTATAGAGCCAGGTTAACTCTATAGAGCCAGGTTAACTCTATAGAGCCAGGTTAACTCTATAGAGCCAGGTTAACTCTATAGAGCCAGGTTAACTCTATAGAGCCAGGTTAACTCTATAGAGCCAGGTTAACTCTATAGAGCCAGGTTAACTCTATAGAGCCAGGTTAACTCTATAGANAACTCTTGAACGAATGAGTTATAGAGCCAGGTTAACTCTTGAACGAATGAGTTATAGAGCCAGGTTAACTCTTGAACGAATGAGTTATAGAGCCAGGTTATTTCTTGAACGAATGAGTTGAATCCAGTTCGTAAACGTGTTGTGAATTGAGTGTTTTTTTCTTTCGATTAATCATTAATTAATAATATAACGTTTGATATATTTAGTGACAATTTTGAGGGAAAGAAGGTTTTGAAATTAGAATACGAGGCTTATGAACCAATGGCCTTGAAGGAACTTAATAGGTGAACATCAACCATCATAAATGAAATAATCTCTATCTACAGGCTTTTGTTTTGTACTTTTTTCATGTTCTCTTCTCTGTTCCATGATGTTTACGTACATTGTTAAATCAAATATTTTGTTTTAAAATTGAATTTTACCAAAGAAAAATCTAATATAAATTTTGTTAACATTTTTACATCTTCTATTTATATTCTTTGCCTGTCTGTCTGTTTGTTTGTTTGTTTGTCCGTTTGTATCCAATAAACGTCAAAACGGCTGAACAAATCGGGCCCATATTTTGTGTGGGACCTCACATGACCCCAGGGAAGTTTTATAAGTGCTCAGAAAGATTTTATACAAACATTTTTATTTTCGTAATATTTGAAAATCGACGAAAAAAGAAATAAATAGGCAAAAAAAATGTTATTTTTTTATCGAAGAGAAAATGCTGAAAAATTAGTATTGTAAGGTTCCAAATTTTTCTATTGACTTATTTTATGTAATATATTCCAGACTATGTTCTGAAATCCGAGAGAAGTGGAAGGTTGCAAAGATAATCATACATCACAGGTGCTGTTTATTGTTGTATCAAGGGATATGGACCGGGAGAAGGAGGAGGAGNGGGATTATATGATTATTTTTGTAATTTTGTATTAGAACAGAGCGTCCCATATAATATTGAGTATTTCCAAGCTTTAACGCCAAGATAAAGAACAGAATACTCATAGAACCTTAAATTTTCTGCATATTATTCTTATAGCCTTCTATAGTTTTATATATGATTCAATCTATTCTAATTGTCTGGTATGGGCGATGTATGATGTGGGGCACCCTGTAATTTATCGAGCATTATTTATAATTTTATAATCAGCCTAATATAGAAACCACATCGGAATAATAACTCATTTTTAATTTGTATGGAATTGAAAATAATTATACTATATATAATTAAGGTTGGGGGAAGTGGCAATAACCCAACCTAGTGTTATAATTGCAATCTCCTCACCGCATAGAAAGGAATCTCTGGAGGTGAAATTTATATTATGATATCTAAAACTGAAAACTGAATAATTACGGGTTGAAAACATTTAATATTTAAGGGATAATTCGCTCAGTTACCCTTTTTTATTTAACTTTTTTACTTTGCTGAAAAGTATAAAGTTCTATTTTTTTTCTCAACTATTTTCTATTACAGGCTTTGAACTTCAGTATAGAGCGATTGAAGGAGATTGTCCCAATTTGGAAGAAAGAAAAATATGAAGGAGGAGGAGAAGTTTGGAAGGTAATTATAAAATTTCACTACTCAGTTTGGCTAAAGAATTTCACTACTCAGTTTGGCTAAAGAATTTCACTACTCAGTTTGGGTAAAGAATTTAAATAATTTATTTGTATTTTTAGGAGAATCATGAATGCTGCTGGAAAGGAAAGAGTTAAAAACATTTTATATCTAAAATTGGGTTTTATGATCTTTGGATATTTCGATCAAAAATAATGATAAAAATTGTATGGGATAAAATAAAGTAAAAAAATTAGAAACATAAATATTTATCTATTTTTAGAATATTGCAAGGTTTATAAAAAAAGGTTTTATTTAAATATAAATGAATGTTATTAAGCTTTATGAATTGTTATTTTTTACAGATGTTTATTTAGCTTGTATCGTAATTGGTTCGCCTACTTAGTTATTTCTTTTATAAATTGTGATTCAAGATTTAGTAATTGGTGGATTCTATGAATTTTCAGCATTTCAGAATAAAATGTGATTTTAACGCTATTTCCAGTGAGAAAACGGCGACGAGTTGAGATCGACGAATCCGAGGGAAGAATACAAAAAATATTTTTATTGCGCGCTGTTACATCTTTTCCATTATCATTTGCTCTAAATGCATTTATATTTGGCCATTTGCTTTCTACCTCATAGACTGCAACGTGTTTTCTCCCTTTGTAAGACGCCGCATGTGGCAAGTACTGTGACCTTTGTCATGACTGACTAAACTGTCCTGGAGAAAATGGTGTGAGCAGATGCTGCCACAAAATTTTCGTTCAATCTCATTCTCTAAAATTTCGTTCAGCCAACGAAAATGTGAACTAGAATGAAAATTTTCGCTAAAATTTCATCGTGATATTCTTTTAAATTTTCAAGAAATTTTTCACCTTTTCGTTCAAAATCGTCTTTTTCCGCAAATTTTTTTGAAAAGATATTAAGAGATTTTCAATAAAACTCTATTTTAAGAAAGTTGGAGTCAAAGTTGACAAGTAAATTTTCTAATTTTAACATCCATTACACATATCAGTAATTGCAGAAATATTCAAATAGGATTTAACTCTCCGAAAATTATTTACCAAAAATTCACAACAAACATGATACTCGGTCATTTTTAAGTTGTCATGAGCACCTTTCAAAAGATGAACAGTATTTACATTTACTAACAACCTAGACAATTCGTCTGCATATTAAATTAACTTTTAATGTTTTTACAAGAATCGTGAACCAGTCATACTATGTTACAGCATTACCCACAGAGGATGAGACCTAAGAGACGACAGTCGGAAATTTTTGGATCTTTGTTTATAAATTGAATGTTTCCTGAAACCTATTTTTTCTTTGCCTAATCATTCAATATACCTTTCACGAACTGTATTCAAGACAGAAAGCCAAACTGAACCTTCAGAATTTCATAGTTAAATATTTTCAGGTTTTGTGTAACCCTGTATATTTAAGTTTCAAAGGATACTCTTACAAGATGTGAAAATAGAAATGCAGAAAATAAATGAATAACAATTTATTTTATCAATTTTCATGAATTCGATTGTGAAACTAATATATTAAGAAATAATTGTTTTCGGAGATTATTTGCCAGTATTTTATCTATTAAATAACATAAATATATGCGAGAAAAATATGAAGGAGGAGGAGAAGTTTGGAAGGTAATTATACCCCCCCCCCCTGGCCCCCTCCTTTTTTTGAATATTATTTTGTTATTGGTGATGATTTGATCATATTCTTGAAAAGTATAACATTTTTTTCTTGGAATCATAAGATAATGGATTCTGTCTAATCCCTTCTTTGCCGTTAAAGTTAAAAACAAGGATTTCTCCATTATTTGGTGCTCAAGCAAAGGTTCGAAGATTACCATTACACGTTGGTTTTGCACATCACCAGACACTCCTTCATAAATCCGACCATCTTTTTAGATGCAATATGCAAAACGAAAATTTCGCCAAAGTGAGGTCGAAAGTACATCGAAATTCGCAAAAATTTTTAACGAAATTCGTCCAGTTTTGTTCGTTCATTTTCGCGAATTTCCAACGAAAACTTCGTTGGAAACATTGATATTTCAAATATTCGTGGACAATATGAATGTGCTAAAATCAGAATAGTGTGGTTCTTATGCGGACTGTAGACGTAATTACAAGTGACACTCCATCTTAAGAGATGGGTACACCCGATGCACAAGATCAAGTTTATCAAGCTTTTCTATTTAAAGTTAGATTTCTCAAACTTTGGGTTCTCTCGTATAATTGCAATTGATGGAGCAAAAGCAGTAAAGAAAATTGCCAGAATTACTACTGAGAAATAAATGGTCATTAAAGATTATAATTACAGTTCCTTTGAGATTGAAAGCTACGACAGCAAGATCTTTTTAAAGAGTATATTATTCATATCAAAGTGAATCCGTTTTTCTTGTCAAGAATAGATTTTTTTGCGGCGTCAATCCTTATGTTATGAAATAAAAATTGACTGATGGACTGTTAGATTGTAAAAATAATAGAATTGAATTTACATCATCGTCTATATTTTTGTTTCTTGTTAGATTCAGGTTGTAGCGAGTAAAGAAGAGATTGACCGGCGTATAACCGCATTTATCGCCAGAAAACAGGTTAATACAATGGGGAGGGAAAATCAGAACGCACTATTAAAACTTAATCCATTATTGACACAAGAATGTTAGGTTCATATGTTATCATAAAGGAATTAAGAAGACCTGAAGTAAAGTGGTTTAAACTATTCTTATAATGGACAATTTTTAGGAAGAGAAGAATAAGATAAACTGTCTTGAGTTTTGTAACAGGTAAAAAAATATTTTTTAAAAGTACAGTGCACGCTAGCGTGCAGAACTTAACACGGTTGACGTCACATTTATTGCCGGAAAATCTAGAATATTCTTTGTCCATTGTCTAACGTAGTAAACAAATTTAATTTGAATAAAAGGAATTTGTTTATGTCAGTGTCCAGTGATGTTCTGATCCTAGCACCGAGGACCTAGGACATAATTATGAGTTGTGAGGGATGTTCCTCTTGTAACGCACCGATATGTTGATTGATTTATTGATTGATTTGGGGATTGATTGGTGTTTTGATTGATTGATGTTTTGATTAATTGATTGACTGATTGATTGATTGATTGATTATATGAAGGAGACCCGATGAAGAAAGTGAAGGATGTGCTAGAACTATCTCTACCCTGGTCAGGAGGGAGGGAAGTAAATCTCATCTTAGAACTTCTGCAGTTCATCCAGGTCTTATTTAATACTTCATTCCTTGTCTAGGATTGTTTAGGTGTTATTGTTAGTAAGGTCTATAAGTTGCATAAAATTAAAACCAATTAAACTTAATATCTTAATAAATTATAATTTTTTTATACAGCTAATTTAACAATATTGCACTATGATTACTTCATAGAGTTTCTATGATGAAATTAACCATGAAGTAAGCATGATTAATTAAGGAACAAAATAGTTTCAAAAAAACCTTTTATGCACTTCTAAAATCTGATGGCACATGGCTCTTTTTTGTGACTTTATAACAATATTGCACTATGATTACCTCATAGAGCTGCTATAATGAAATTAACCATGAAGTAAGCATGATTAATTAAGGAATACAATCGTTTCAAAAAACCCTTTTCAAGCACTTCTAAACTCTGGTGGCACATGGCTCTTTTTTTGTGACTTCAGTTGAAAATAACCTTTTTTTAGAACTTGGGCCTAAACAGCATCCTAAAAGGTTGAAGTTGAACAAACTTCCGGGTACCTCTGAACCAGTACAGAATTCTCCGGGTATCTCTAAACCACTGCAAAATTCTCCGGGTATATCTGAACCACTACAGAATAGGTTCCAGGAGATAGAAATTAAACTTGGTGAAGATTTAAAACCAGTAAATAGGTAAAAAAATAATAAAAAAAGGATAAAAAAACAATTTTTGGTGCTGCATAAAAAATGCACAAGTTATTTTTAAAGTTAAACTCTTAATTTGACTTGGCATTGATTTTGTTTTTTATTATTTAGAGATGTGTACGCTAGGTTGAAACTTCTCGAGGACCGTATCCTTCTTCTAGAAAGTTTATCCCCCGAGTACTCTATAATTTCTCTTGAAACCTTTAAACCCAACCCTGTACACAGCTCTAGATCTAACCCCGAGAAGAGCGGGTTCTGGAACCAGATTCACCAGAACTCAGAGCCTGGAGAAGGCCGGAACAGATATAAACGGAGTCAGCTCAGTGCAGTTGTCTCTCTTTCCGGTCAAATTGAACAAGTAATACTATAGCAATCAATATTTAGCCTCTCTGCTTAATAATACAAATCAGTAATGACTTTTATTTGTTATTGTTAATAAAATAGTTTTACTTTTTTTATTTAAAATTAAAACTTGAGAAAAACAAAAAAAAATTAATTTGAGAATAAGGAAACTTACTGTACTTGGTTTTTTTCCAGAATGTCGTGAAAGAGGAGAGAAAACGAAGAGTAGTCTCATCTTTATCCAACATTGATCAGAAAATATTCGAGATTCGAAGAAACCTGAAACTCAAATATAAAAAATAAACATAACATTTAACGCTGATTGGCTGATATAGTAGACAAACAAATTCCCAACCCTGGTTGGTAGATGTATTAGGTAGTTCAAACACGAAACAATCATTGGCCAATTAAAAATGATTGGCTGGGATAATAATTAAGTTTAATATTTAGCTCTGATTGGTCTTGTTTGTTAATTGTTTAGTCCAACTTGTTCAAAGATGCAAAACAAAATTTATCCTTATGTAATATGTATCAATCCATTATCGTATATTTTAAAACAAAAATCTGCATTTGCATACAATCTGTGTTTATTTTTATTTATTTAGATTTCAGAAAAATTGTTTTATAAAATGAACAAGAAAAAGAGGAGTCTCTCGGAGTCTAGCGATGATCCCGACGATCCCGGAGTGTTTGATCCCTCCCCGGGTTCCGGGTATAATCCCCTAGCAGGGGGATATAATCCCTCAGCTGGGGATTACAGTAGCTCTGGGGGATTACCAGGGTTTAAGAGACCCAAGTTTGAATCATCAGGTAGGGTGTACCCCTTTAATTTTTTCGCGAACATTCCCTTTAAAGGGAGGGTCATCTGAAATTACGACAATAATCTCTTTACGGATCAAAATCTTTTAAAAACTTAAAGACCTTGCCTTAATTTTTTACTTTTTGTTGATATTGTTTTTTTTTAATCCCTAAATCGGTAATTAGTACTTTCTTAAAAATTTATCTATTTTATGTATCCCAAAAATTGTTCGTGTTGAGAATGATAAAGTAATCGATTACTGATTAAAGTGATTTGTTGATAAAATGGTTGATTAATTAATTGATTTAAAAAATGATTAAATGGAATGGGAAATGAAAAGATGATCAACCGATTGGTGGATCAACTGATTAATTGATTTGATAATGAATTAATAAAAAAAATGTTTTCTCAGGACGAAGAATCAGTCAAGCGTCTACAGCCTCGTCTCTATCTGGACCCGAGGACGAGGCCGGGGGATTTGACAGGTTCGTAATATAGTCAAGTATTGAAAATCATTAAATCCTTTCTCAAAGTTTAGTTTTCGAAGATTTTTTGGAATAATCTTTGAAATTACATACACTTTAAAAATTTACAGTTTTCCCCTCGTAAATTTTTTTGGTATATTTTTTTTAATCTTAAAAAAATTGTTAAATTTATTTTAGGGATGTTGCAAGTTTAGATAAAGCTCTGGGTTGTTCCTCAAGTAGTGATACAGAAGATGATGCAGCTCATCAAGGGTTTGCTGGCAAGAATGCACAGCATCAAGGGTTCTCAAACAATGGAACTTTGCCCTATGCAGAAGCTAAGGAAAGATGATAAAACCCTTTAAATATCTAAACTTCCATCAAACAATAAAGATTGTATTACTATTTAGTTTTGAAAAATTGAGGATTTTGAATTTTTCAATATAGACCAGCTATAGTCCTAGTAAAAAGATGAAAAGCGAACCGGCCCCGGCGGCAAAATCAGGGGGTGACGGCAAATCGGGGAATTATAGTTCAGCCGCGGAGAAGATGATGGCGATGATGGGATACAAATCAGGTAGAAGATTCGTCTTTTTAAAATTTGGGTTAGGAAGTCAACGGCAATGAATGGCCCTGTGTGGATAATCGCCAATGACACCCCGCTACTTCATTTGGAGGTAGTGCGGTGATGTGGGCTCTACCCTAACTTCTCTTCGTACTGATGGGTGACCGTTTTATATATTTATTTATTTATTTATGGTAGTAGAACTGAGAATGTAGTATTGTGGAGAAATGAAAGACAACTTCTACAGTAAACTTATTAGATGTTTAGGAACATATTTCTCAACTGAAATATTCTCAATAAATCAATGTTAAAATCAATTATTCCTTTTTCATCTTAATATTGAATTTCAAATTCTTAATGAATTTATTCACAGATTTCTTCTAATTCTTCAAACGTCGTCTTTTCAATAAAAATTCCAGGAAATCTCCAGAAAATTTTTGTGAACAATCAGACATTACAGAAACCAATAACTGAATAAGATTACTTATTTTTGATGAAAAAAAGATTACTTAACAACTAACTAGGTTACTGTAGAATTTTTACTACATTTTTCATCGTCGTTTATGAATAATTTTTAAAAAACCGATTATAAAGATTTATAAAATAAAAATTGTAGAAACGTGCTATAAAGCTGACAAAATAATGATTGTTCAGGCGTGCTTTAAAGTTTATTAGATAAAGATTGTAAAAGCGTGGTATTAAGTTTATCTGTGCACTAGGAACTGGGTTGGGTAAAGCCCAGCAGGGTCGCGTAGAACCTGTTGGATTATCAAACCAAAGAGGAAGACGAGGTCTCGGGCATATTATTGAGGTAACTTAATACTAGATAATTGACAGGCAGTTTAGGAATTATTGTAAACTAGCCTTTTCAGTCCCTTTGTGCTTTTAGATTGTAAAAACTAAAAATTTCCAAAAACAAATGAAATGAATTAAGAGAGTTAACTAACGAAGGAAACTAATGTTAGATTTTACTAATGATAGAATTAACTAGAAAAGGCAACCAATAATAGATTTAAACAATTAAGGAAACAAATGATAGAATTAACTAGCGAATGAATTAAACAAATGATAGAATTAGCTAACAAATGAATTAAACAAATGATGGGATTAACTATCAGATGAATTAAACAAATGATAGAATCAATTAACAAATGAATTAAACAAATGATGGAATTAACTAACAAATGAATTAAACAAATGATAGAATTAGCTAACCAATGGATTAAACAAATAATAGAATTAACTAACAAATAAATTAACCAAATGATGGAATTAACTAACAAATGAATTAAACAAATGATAAAATTAATTAACAAATGAATTAAACAAATGATGGAATTAATTAACAAATGATGGAATTAATTAACAAATGAATTAAACAAATGATAGAATTAATTAACAAATGAATTAAACAAATTATTGAATTAGCTAACAAATGAATTAAACAAATGATGGAATTAACTAACATATGAATTAAACAAATGATAGAATTAGCTAACAAATCAATTAAAAAAATGATAGAATTAGCTAACAAATGAATTAAACAAATGATTGAATTAATTAACAAATGAATTAAACAAATGATGGAATTAACTAACAAATTAATTAAACAAATGAAAGAATTAATTAACAAATGAATTAAACAGATGATGGAATTAACTAACAAATGATGGAATTAATTAACAAATGAATTAAACAAATGATAGAATTAGCTAACAAATGAAGCGAATATAAAAGTTTTCGAACAAATGAAACGTATGATATAGAATAAAGAAAAGAATTAAATGTAAATAAATAAGATGAACATTTTCAACGAATGAAATTAACTATAAAGTTAACTATTAACCGTCTAGGGACTGGAGGCTGATACAGCCCTGGACTGGGCCCCGGAGGAAGTTCTGGTGAAGGAGAGGTTGGTCTGGATGAAACAGAACCAGGAACCAGCTCCAACTGAAGACGAGTTCAGGTAACGCTGTCTTTTTTTTTCAGTGCTTAGGATCCGAATCTTGATCCGTTGAATGCGCAACATTTTGGCAAAATTTCAACCAACACCTGCTCAAAAAATCTCTATTATTTAATTCCAAAACTCAAATTTAAAAAGGTAAGTAACAATTTTAAAAAAATAACCTTATCTCTGAAAGTGTCAGCTAAACATTTTTCATTTGACAATATTTACCAGTAAATTTGAAGGAAAATTCATGACGTAAAAGGTGGAAATATAGCGGCTAATTAAAGATGGCATATATACAAGGGCGTATATCTTGATACAATAATAAAAATTCTATTGTGGGGGAGGGGGCATAATTTTTCCTCCTCCCCAAAGAGCTCCCAGGGGAGGATGGTGCACAAAAACAAGGGTGGATCTCTGCTCTGCAGAGTGAAGTTTATACCCCCCTTGGGTATAAAAACAATCATCAATGTTAAATTTAAAATTACTTAGTTTTAAAGCGGGATGGGGCCATTAATCCTAGCTTTATCCAAAACCTTTTGTTTTATATTGGATATTCGTTTTAGAAACTGGATTGAGATGGGGTCTAGAAATGAGGACATAAGCGGAGAAACCAGATATTGTGAACCTCAAGTGCTTAAGGTAAACTTGAAATAATCCTGAATTATTATTTTTATAAATTGTTTAAATGCAGTTGGAAGAAAATTTTGGGTTTCATTTTTAATATTTGATGCTAATAGAAATTCTTAGAAGCAAACTATTAATATGTTGCAAATTGTTTAATAAAAAATTAATATTTTAATAAAACCGGTTTTTAGGATGTTTTGAGCTGCAAATCTGTTTTCGATAAACTCGAAGCCTTCGAAATGATGAAAGCAAGATCGCGATCCAACCCGTTCGAAACAATCGCAAAAGGAATCTTCCAAAATCGCGCCGCAATGAAAATGGCAAATATGGACACAGTTTTGGATTATATGTTCACTGACCCAAGAGATGAAGAGGGGAGATCTTTAAGTAATTCTTTAAATATAATTCGTCATTTTTACAGGGGTATTTACTAAAAAATTAAAAGCAGGGCTTTTTTAAATACTTTTTTCATACTTTTTACCCAAAAATTCATTTATTTTCCCAAAAATTATTTACTTTCCCTAACCCAGTAGAACAGACATGCATACATAACACCTGGGGAAAAATGATTTTCCAAGAAGGGAGTGGGGGGGGGGTAATGATGATAATACATTCCTGCATTTTGAGTCAACAATTTTTTTTAGTTGGTGAGAATGAACCGTTGTATTTTGCTGACGTATGTGCTGGTCCTGGAGGGTTCTCAGAATATGTTCTATGGAGGAAAAAATGGCGCGCTAAAGGATACGGTTTCACGCTTAAAGACACGAAACATGATTTCAAACTCGAGGATTTCTATGCAGGTACGTTTCCGGCATTTATTAAAGAAACTACCCGTTCAACCTTTGTTTGATCATGACTGAATGAGATATCCTACGTTTTTCTCGGAAAACTGATTAATTTTAATCTTTAATTTCTCAAAAAAGTGATTTTCAGATTAATTCCAATTCTGACAACGAAGGAGATTGTCAGAATTCAACATGTTTCAAGATAGAAGCAACGCTGAGATAGGGGTTTAATGGGTATTGGATATCAGCGTAAATCGGTCATACCACTCTTATTACTTTAGACTGTAGAGTCCCTTTAATATTGTTTTAAGCATTCAAAATAAACTTTATTGTGATATGAACATGTCAACCCATATTTCGTTTGATAATGGGGTTTCTTTTAATGATATTAATGATAAAATTCCTAACTATGATCTCATGATAATTATAATAATAATAATAATGTTTTCTAAAGGGCCCCCTGAAGGGTTTGAGACGTACTACGGTGTTGGTGGGGATAAGGGAGACGGGAACGTGTTTAGAACTGATAATATTCTAGAACTCCAGAGATTCATCCTTGCCAATACAAACCAGAAAGGTATTTCAAATCAAAGAATTTTTATGCTTTTCATCCGGAATTAGGATCAACCAAAGAAACGGATTTGGCAAAAATCTTAAAACTGAAGGTTGCCATAATTTTTCTTATGAGAATTGCATGTTTTAAATAGCCAACTGTTTGCTAAGGGGATTAGTCCCATTAAAAATTACTTTATCACCTTCCGTAATACAGTCGCTAGATACTTTTCCAAAGGCTTTTTCCCAAGCGGCAACTTCCCAATGGTACTTTGCCAAATGACATTTTGGCAACTTTTTATTATGCATTGTGATTAAATACAAACAATGTTCTTTATTGGATTTGGAAGTATGGAATATTGTTTTATTTACTTATGTAAACTCTGTGAGAGTTTCAGGAGTTCATTTTATGATGGCTGACGGAGGGTTCTCAGTTGAAGGATCAGAAAATATTCAGGTTTTTTAGTTTTTGCTTTTTAAAGTGATTGTTCAGTTTTTTTTGGGTAAATGGGAGGAACCATTACAGGGGTTCATCGACAGATTTTGTTGCAAGTGTAAAACTAAACTTTATAGAAATTTGTTTGGGCCAAGATACTATTTAGTCTACAAGATACTATCTAATACTACACGAAAACATGGATTTTAACTCTTAGGAGATTCTGTCCAAACAGCTGTACCTGTGTCAATGTATTGTAGCGCTTGGTAAGTTCAACTAAAATTCTTCACTTGTTTTCATTTAATAATGGGTTGTCTTTTAATGATGAAAATAATTACAGTTAAATTTTTTTTAAAGTGAATTTATCGGAACTTTTTAATCATTCGTCAGTTCGTTCAGCCATGCATCCGTCATCATTTTTTATTCATTTATTAATATATTTTCATTTATATTAATCATCTGATTTAAATTCTGAAACCACCCAATGTCCATCCATTCAATGGTAAGTTTCCTTTGTCTCACTCTCTAGCACTCTCTTACTTATTCTTTCTCCCTTTTAATGTGCATTTATTTTTTATTTATAAAGGAATCTAGTCATTATGATTTTCTAATCCCTATATCTTTACAACCCAATGTAGTAGACCTTAGGAATTTCAAAATATAAATTATGGTAGATTAAGATTAAATGATCCAAGTTTGAAATATTAAATATCAGGTTGCAGAGATATAGGGATTTTCAATCAGAGTTTGTGGCAAAGGCTCAATTCCTTTGTCAGGCGTGGTGCGTACGCCTGGGGACATTTTGTTTGTAAACTATCTAATCTGTTCAGGAGTAGTGCGTACACAGGAACATTTTGTTTGTAAACTATTTGATCTGTTCAGGAGTGGTGCGTACGCTGGGACATTTTGTTTGTAAACTATCTAATCTTTTTCAGGAGTAGTGCGTACACAGGAACATTTTGTTTGTAAACTATTTGATCTGTTTAGGAGTAGTGCGTACACAGGGACATTTTGTTTGTAAACTATTTGATCTTTTCAGGAGTAATGCGTACATAGGGACATTTTGTTTGTAAATTATTTGATCTGTTCAGGAGTAATGCGTACACAGAGACATTTTGTTTGTAAACTATTTGATCTGTTCAGGAGTAATGCGTACACAGGAACATTTTGTTTGTAAATTATTTGATCTGTTCAGGAGTAGTGCGAACACAGGGACATTTTGTTTGTAAATTATTTGATCTCTTCACTCCTTTCTCAGTTGGTCTAGTCTATCTCATGTACAGAGCTTTTAAGAAGGTACGGTACAATATACATAATATCAAATGATTAGCCAATTGAGTTTTTTATTAATTTCATTTAGATCTTGATAAATCCTTTCTGTACTAATTATTATTATCATTAATTTACATTGTTTTCGTTTCAATTATTTATTATTTTTTCGTTTTAACCAACATTCTTTATAAGTAATATTTTTGTATTATTATGATTAGATGGACTGTCAATGTATTTTCAAGTGAACCTCTATTTAAAGAGTTTAATGCCACGTCTCATCTTAATCTAGTCCGCGCAAAATAAATATAATTTGACAGAATCTATCTCTTATTAGGGAGAAAAAACTACGATATCTCTATTAATATTCCTCAGATAAAGGTTTAAAATGTCTCATGAAATTACGCTAGTAGTCCCTTAAGCTATAAACTGTTCAGGTTTGTATATACAAGCCTAACACCTCCCGACCTGCAAACAGTGAACGATATATCGTCTGTAAATGGAGAAAACCAGATACTGAACATATATTCAGATATCTTTTAAAGGTAGGAAACCAGATACTGAACATATATTCAGATATCTTTTAAAGGTAGGAAACCAGATACTGAACATATATTCAGATATATTTTAGAGGTAGGAAACCAGATATTGAACATATATTCAGATATCTTTTAGAGGTAGGAAACCAGATACTGAACATATATTCAGATATCTTTTAAAGGTAGGAAACCAGATACTGAGCATATATTCAGATATCTTTTAGAGGTAGGAAACCAGATATTGAACATATATTCAGATATCTTTTAGAGGTAGGAAACCAGATATTATACATATATTCAGATATATTTTAGAGGTAGGAAACCAGATACTGAAAACATATTCAGATATCTTTTAGAGGTAGGAAACCAGATACTGAACATATATTCATATATATTTTAGAGGTAGGAAACCAGATACTGAACATATATTTAGATATATTTTAGAGGTAGGAAACCAGATACTGAACATATATTCATTATTCAGATATATTTTAGAGGTAGGAAACCAGATACTAAAATCACTGTCCTTTTTAAAAGTTTAAAAGTTTTATCTTTTCAAAGGAAAATTAAAAAAAATAATATTATGTCAAAAGTTGTTCAAAAACATTGTCGTTAATGTCAAAATTTATCTCTAAGATGATAGAAATGCAAGGAATTAAAATTACACAAAATAAGATAAAGTAAAATGATTATAAAAAGCACCAACCCCTTGATTTCATGAAAATATAATTTGAATGTTTGTCACCTATTCCCAAAGTTCAATATTTTAATTGTGACGAATCTTCCTTAAAGGGAGTGTTCGCGAAAAATGAAAGGGGGAATAGGCTTAATGCGATATGAGACGTCTTTAACAATTTTCTCCTTATAGACGCAACAGATAGAAGTAAGATTAGTAGCGATCAAAAGCGCTTTTTATCGCATTAAGCCTATACCCCCTTTCATTTTTCGCGAACACTCCCTTTAAACTAAAACAAAAAGGTTTAAAGTTGAAATCTATTTCCACTTTTCTGTGATTCTTAAAATTAAACTGTGCATAAGTCCAAAAACCATTTACATTATCTATTTTTATATAATAAACAAATACCCCTTGTTAAAACTTATAAAATGCAGACCCTATACATGTGTATTGTTTCTAGGTAAACGATAAGCTGAATGATCTTGATTTCAGTATCCTGGGTAGAACCAGGAGTAGGACGGATATCCTAGGTATTGTTCCAGACTCAGTTATGGCAGAGGACTCACATTTCATCCAGTATATGGTCGACTCTAATAATCAAATAGGACGGAACCAGGTACTTTAGGACAGGACAGGAGAGGACAGGACAGGACATCCAATAGTTCACATATAATTGTCTCAAAGTTTAACTGAATGGAAAAAAGTTACATTGGTTGAATTTCTAAAAAGTTGTGTCAGAAAAAAGTTGTTGCTTTTATTAGCTTGACACATTTTTTTCATAGGTAACAGGTTTAGAGAAGATTGCAGTGTTCTACAGAAACACATCGTTGTACGAGAAAAGACAAGCAGAAGTTCGGAGAGAGTGCCTAGGTTAGTGAAGGTCAAGTCTAAACTCTAAGCCGTTTTTCAGGTCATGCCAGGTCAAGTTATTGTAAGGTATTAGGTCATTGAAGTTAAGTTCCACGTAGAACAGGCTCAGTCCGTTTGATCCATGGAATTTCAAGGTTAAAGGGATTGTAAAAATACGTGACTAACAGTCCCTTTAAGCATGATAACATCTACACCTGGATATAATGAAAATGTGTTTAAAATATTTAACAAATTATAACTTATTGTTTATCTGTGTAATACTGTAATATATTAGAATACTGGAATGTACCAGATCAGGGAAGAATTCGACCCAGGTTCGAGGATGCTCGAGATATGGCCTCCAGGTATAGTTTTACCTCCATACGTTTGACCTCTAGGTATAGTTTTACCTTCATGTGATTGACCTCTAGGTATATTTTTACCTCCACGTGTTTGACCTCTAGGTATATTTTTACCTCCAGGTATATTTTAACCTCTTTTTATTGAGGCTGGTGGGGGGGGGGAGGTATGGTGTCCGTGTCCACTGTTGGATCAAGTATATAATTTTTTACCTTTAAAAATGATTGTATTTAGCTTTCTTTGTAATTTACCCCCATTACCGTTCAGGTTACTCTCGAGCGGGAGTTTATTACGAGAAACTGAAACTGTTCTCAGGAACCAAGAAGATCTTAGAAAATATATTAAGTAAATAATTTTAATAATAAATAAAAATATAAAATAAAATTATTACGGCCCTGTCCGAGAGGAATTATTCACTAACTAATGAAAGAATTAATAGTTAAAGTGTTGAGTAATATTTTTTTAAAATCTACATCTGATCAAATTGATCAATTATCCGAGAATGGATTGTGTAATCATTGATCAAGTTATCAAATCATCGATTGATCTATTTTAGATCTGTTTATGACTGGAAATTGATCAATTATCCGGGAATGGATTGTGTAATCATTGATCAAGTTATCAAATCATCGATTGATCCATTTTAGATCTGTTTATGACTGGAAATTGATCAATTATCCGAGAATGGATTGTGTAATCATTGATCAAGTTATCAAATCATCGAATGATCCATTTTAGATCTGTTTATGACTGGAAATTTGTTGTGATAGGATCGCAGGAGAAATCTAATGATTCTCAATCACAAAATGTAAGTATTCAACAGTTCGCATCATTTACCAGTTCATCTATATAGTTAAAGTAGTAATCTCTGTTCGATCATTACTCACGGACCCCTTGACCGATTTGCCTCAAATTTTGATTGGGGAACTCGGTATAAACAAGGGCTAATAAGTGGATTTACTATTATAGAAAAAGTTTAGCTTCCAAGCAATGCTGGGTTCCCAAGCTAGTTTTATAATGAAAAAAGAATTATTAGTTTTATTCGTGCTATTTTTTATGTTCTATGTTCTAAATATTTTTTATTTAAATTTACGAAGACACCATGATTTTATTTCATGTCCGAAGTTCCAGGAAATCACAAAATTGGGGCACACATTTCCTTAGTTATTAATTTTAGTTGCAAAATTATCAAAAGATGATTATTTTAGGACATGAGAGCCTTTCTGATTAGTACAGGACGACAAAGGTATTTTTTTCAAGCTTTTGTTGATTTTGGTTCTTCATTTGATTACCTCGAATATCACCCTTATCCTTTTTTTTCTTAAGCAAACCTTTTGAAGACTTCTTTAGTTTTTTCTCTCTCAATTTTCATGACTTTGTCATTTCTTATTTCAACCCTGATCAATGATTATGCCTTATGGGGACCGCTGTGTTTGTATGTGTAAAAATGAAATATATACATATATGTTTAGAGTATTTATATACTATCCGGAAAGAGCAAACTGGAAATCCATATCTAGCTCATGCACGCTAGAGCTACCAGCGGAAACCCTGCTTTTTGTAGAGGTAATGTTAGAGGAAACACTGCTTTTTGTAGAGGTAATGTTAGAGGAAACACTGCTTTTTGTAGAGGTAATGTTAGAAACCCTCCTTTTTACAGAGGTAATGTTAGCAGAAACCCTTCTATTGTAGAGGTAATTTTGGCGGAAACCCTTCTTTTGCAGAGGTAATTTTAGCAGAAACCCTCCTTTATATAGAGGTAATGTTAGAAACCCTCCTTTTTACAGAGGTAATGTTAGCAGAAACCCTTCTATTGCAGAGGTAATTTTAGCAGAAACCCTTCTTTTGCAGGGATATTTAAGAAGGAAAATCTGCTTAGTGTAGAGGTAATTTTAAGTGATCTAACAGTTCCTAAACATTGAAAGCAAAGCACCTAAAAATCAAAACTTTTCAGAGCTTTTACCAATAATGTTAAAATTTTGAGAAAAAAAACATGTTTTAGTTTTATAAAGTAAAATGTTGAGTAAGAAGTTCTTATAGATAAAGTAGAATAACATGTAAGAGAAGTATAGAAGTAACTGTCGATTTGTGATGTAAAAAACTGAACCTGAGCCATATTTACAATATTGTAATTGTTTATCTCTTGAAATTAAAAACAAACTCTTTTCCTCTCCTTAATTTTTCAGCTCCTTGAATTAAAATGTAAATGTAAAATGTAAAAAAAGTGATAATTAACAATATAATAATATCTAGCTGGTTTGGGAGATGAAGGGTGAGAGTAAGGCCCAGAAGAAGGTGATGGGAGTACACGTTATAGACGCCTTGTTCCTGGCTGGGGAAGATGTTCGAAACATGCACTTTATGCAGAGACATAAGTAACTTATTCTTTTTTTACTATTTCTTTTTGTAAAAAATGCAGGAAATCACTGTTCTACTATTTATTGTTAAGCAACATACAAATAACATTAATGACCCAATTTTCACATTTGAATCAAGAATAAAGAAGTTGATGTTACGTATAATGACATTCTCTTAAGTAGAGATTGATTTTATAAAAAAAAAATACTATTAATATTATTTAAATGAAAATTAGATACATTAAAATTCGTTCTATTTTTTGTTGTTTAGAAAAATGGTAAATTTTATAGTCTACTCTTACATTGTTGCTTGGTATAGAAGAAAATAAAAAAGTTATGTAAAGAAATTTTATTCTGAATTTACCTAGGTTTAGGCAAGAATGTAATGCAAGGAAAGTTAATTGCAGTTGTGAATACTCTGTGTACATATTAAAACCAGTTCTCTCTGGGCGGAATGTGTAAACAAGAATAGATGCATCAGTGTTCATCTAGTATCCGAGGAGGATGAAAGCATTGAATTTTGATAATTTTGATATTTTACATAATAGTTGCCTATGACCAGAATATTTCATTAATTTTTTATGTGAAAGATGGATCCCATGTCAGGCTTCGAGATCCGTCTTGTGTTTACATTATCACAGTACAAAAGATGCGTACACCTCTGAAATAACTTTCCTTGCATTAAATCCTTAGGTTTAGGGTAAAATTGTATTCTGGGTGTAGGTTGGGGAACTTAAAAACTGAAATTGATATTTTTGTTAACATCAAAGTCCAGGCTGAAAAATCAGGAGCTTCATTCCACAACTGGAGTTTTAGGTCATCCCTGCAACTTGTTATTTGATTTCTGATTTAGATTGTGTTCTCTGTTTCTCCGAGTGATGAACAAACCCAGCCGAAGCTATTTAACCAGAATTAGGATGAAAGAAGTCTTCAAACTTGAGGTCAGTCTCAAATATAAATTAACAAGTTTAAAGGGATTCTCACACTCAACTTAAAATGCTTTGACTTTTGTTGTTGATCTTTTTGCAAGCCGTATATTTTGGAAATTAAAAATGTCGCCGAATGGCGGATTTGCGATTATTTTCAAAATGAAATTTATTTTAAGGCAACTTATTTCTACTCTGACCGATATTGAATTTAATTTATAGCATTTAATCTTGTTTTTGCCTTGCAAATAATTTTTTCTCATCTGTTCTTTGCCCTGAGCTGGGAACTGTTGAATGGTGGATATCGGGATTAATGCTTGATCACTCTTTTTCTTAATCTCACGATTAAATAATGCTTGTTTACCTTTTATTATTAATCTCCAGAGTAATTAACCAATCGGGATTAAGTTTATCACAATCTCAAGTTTTCAGCTCTGAGCTCGGAACTTTTATGTGGATATTGTTAATCTTCTCAATATCAAATGTGGGCACAATTAAAATTTAAGAATCAATGCTTGATCCCTCAATTTAACATTCACAGGTTATCGAAGAGGGATCATATTAATATATATCTGCAGAAGTTGGAGATCAATGCTTGATCCCCAATCTTGACATCTGGTTTTGTCCATAATCCACAAAATTTATGTTTTGTTGTTCCAGGATTTGAGTTCGAACCAGTTAAGTGTTTGGAACCACCTGGATCATCGTAGCTTGAAGGGTCGAGGAGATGCTCTAGTTCTAAACAATACTGAGCAGGATCCAGACGGATCTACCAAGTTCTTCCAGGCTAAAGGTTCATAAGTACTTGGATTAAAGATACTGTCCACGTAGTTTCAATTTACACTAAGGAAGAAATCGTCGGTTTTTATCCTAATTATACAAAATAAATGAACTCTGCCAGTCTGTTTGATTTCCCTTCCATTAATATAAAATCTGAAAAATAATCGGTTTTCAAGGATATATAATCGGTTTTCAAGGATATATAATCGGTTTTCAAGGATATATAATCGGTTTTCGAGGATATATAATCGGTTTTTAAGGATATATAATCGGTTTTCAAAGATATATAATCGGTTTTCAAGCATATATAATCGGTTTGCAAGGATATATAATCGGTTTTCAAGGACATATTATCGGTTTGCAAGGATATATAATCGGTTTTCAAGGATATATAATCGGTTTTCAAGGATAATATAGATGATTTAATTCTTGATTTTATTTAGAATCTTGTTATAGGATTGTTGTTATACAAGCATGTGAAGGACCCCTACTTCATGGCTTTATCAAGAAAATTTAATAAAAAATATTATTTTAACTCGAGGCAAGTCACTTTAAAATATTTTTTGAATTTATAAATGTAAATATATAGTTGTTAAAGTATGATAACAAAGCACATAAAATCATATTTTTATTATTTTAGAAATTATACTTTTTTGACAAATTTTTTGAAAAAAGTTAATACAATGTTTATTTCTAGAACGAATGAACCTGTCGAGAATTTCGCGACCCCGCCTGCTGGTATTGCGGAGGTAGATTTATTTATACAGTGAGAACCAGAAAACAGTGGACTGGTTGTCGTCTTCTTTCATTCTTTAATGTCGCTCAGGATTTTCCAATTTGGAATTACTATTACATGATTTTACGGAACAGTTTTAGGGAACAGTTTTAGGAATAAGTAATATTTCGAAATAAAATTGACTGCAATCATTCCAGTGTTTTCTGGAAACACTGTTAATTAATACATATATAAAAATAAATTTATATTGATAATTCCAATTATCTAAAAAATAGGTTTCATGAAGGGTGGGGAGTATATACCCTTCCACAGAAATATTCATTTTTTCCTTTCTTTAAACCTGATTCAACACCCTGAAGATTTTAAGTGTGTGGATTATTTTATGATTAAGAGATATTTAACCATTACATCGCACATATATATTATGAACCACCAGACTTATAAAGCGAAAAAGTAGCTTTATGCCTGGGGGCTTCATAATATACATTGCAATGTAATGGTCATACTCTGTGCATGGTTAAATATCTCTTAATCATAAAATAACCTTCTGTAGCCGGGCCCTCATGACTCATTATTCCTCTGGGGTTTCTTTTTATTGAAAAGGTGAATATTTTGTTTATTTAATAAATAATATTTTTTAGTTTGAATCCTGCCATGTTGGTCGGTTAGTCTGGTACTGGAACACATTTCCTGACGAGAAGGTATATTTTGGGATTTTAAAAATATTTTTATTTTATTTAAAGATGTAGTCTTAACTGAAAATATCCAACTTGAAGAGAGTTACAAGTGACCCTCCATTTAAAGAGTGTGATGTCCGATTTGCAACGGTGCCCTCTGAGAGAACCTTTTTATGATTAGTAACGTGGAAGATATCGTTATTTGTCTAGCTTGAAAATTTTAGCTGCATAGTTTTTATGGCAAGAAATTAAAGAGAAACTACAATTGAAAACAATAATATTTTTAAAGAAAGATACACTATGGACAAAGCTTTTATTGGTACCGTTTTCACGTTGTGAATTAGACATAGAGAGACACTTGACATTACAGTTACAATCCTTTCAACATATAACGGTTTATATCTTTGCTTAAAATATGCGAGTTAACAAAACAAAAGCAAATATACTAACTACCATTTAAAATGTGCTAAAATTATGGACAGAAATGTAAAAGTTTGGATTACATACTTATTACTTAGACAGAGAATTTAAAAAAAATATATTTTTTATCACGAGTTTTTTATGATTCAAGATTTATCCTTTTCTTCTTTCACAGAAAATGTTTTCTTAGAATTATTTTGTTTCCAGAGCAACGACGTGAACAGAGCAGAGTTTGATGAGTTTGTGGCAGATAAACTGAATGGAAGATAGTTTTTGTTAAAATCTTGTGAATATTATCTATTAATTTGTAAAGTGATAATAAATTGTTGATTTACTTTTATTAAAAGTTTTAAGTAAATAATTGGAGGGGAGGGGGGCGGGCAGCATGTATGATTGTCGACATAAATTTATGTTCCTCCATGTCTGGTTACCGATTTACACTTGTATCTATAAGCAAGATTTATCTTTAAACCTGTTCAATTATGTAAATTTCCTTCTTGGACGTAGCAAGTCACTTAAAGAGGCACAACAAATGTTCGTAATTTCATCTTGAGATTGAAATTCCTAAAACTCTGATTGGTTGATGCTTTGAGAAAGAAAACAAGAATATTTTTGTAATGTTTGAAACTAGAATATTTTTGTAATGTTCGAAGTTTATCAAAAGTTTATCATCCTTATCAACAAAATGTATAAGATTCCTTTATTTAATTGAAGTTAAAAACAGAATCAGTTTAAAATTTTAATCATTAAATTATATAGAAGGTTCAACATGTTTTGTGGTTCATGGCTGCCGGAAGAGAAATAAGCTAATGTGGCATGGAAGGGGAAATAGTGGTGGCTTATGGCCGTCTGCCTTCCCCCGCTCTTGACAGTTTTCATCTGGGTTCTTTTGCAGACTGGTTCAATTTAAAAAACGAATTCATGCTGTTTATAGAAATTATACAACGTAAAACTTCACTTTGTTGTCGACTGAAAACTGAAAGTTTTATTTTATAATACAGCACTCTTGGTTCTATTATGTTACCTATTTAGTCCTAAATCTCATGTGATGATATACCCAGTAAGGTTATCGATTTTTCCAATTACACTATAGTCACTCGGAATTGGAAAAATCCAAATTGCCATGCGGAAACCAGTTTTGGGGAATTTTTACAGTTTAAAAAACGCAAGCGGAAAAAAATTCCTTCAACATGTTGAATGGTGATCATAAGATCCGTGTTGAAACACTGAAGTCAGAAACGTTGTAATCGTCAAAATCCGTTAAAAAATTAACTTGTTATTGCCCAAAATCCCCCGAAAAATTTGATTGCCCTAGATCAAATAACTTTCAAGATCTCATACGAAAACAAATATGGGCAGTTATCAACGTATTCTCATATCGACATACTTTGTAAAATAAGTTTTACTTGTGACATTTTTATTTTTTTTTCCACCCTTAAGATCATTTTCGAATGGTAATTTTAATTTTACAGAATAACTTTTTATAAAAGTTCTTCAGATTGACAATGCCGATCCAAAACCAAGCGACAATATTCAGATTTTAAAAACTGTAGAAATCGACCCCCCTAAATATTCAGGGACGAATGATAATGTTTTTAATAATAAAAAACAATAAATTGTTTTACTTCAATTCTGATTTATTATACTAACCTAAAATCCTTAAACCCTTACTGCTTCAATTCCTTTTTACATAACTATCAAGCAACATTTAACAAACAAAAAATTAAAATTTTAATTAATTATTATTATTTATTAGTTATTTATCACAGTATTTAAATATTAATATAACATTAAGTTGATCAAAGTTTGAAATCAGTTTAGAAAAATGAACGGATATATTTAAAACATTCTAAAGGAATTCATTTTTTGCCACAAACTTTGATTCTTCCAATCCCGTTGTCTTTGCAACCGGATGTCGTAGAACTTTGATATTTCAAACTAAATTCTGGTAGATGAAACAGTTTTAGTTTACAACATCCTGGTGATAAGTAAAACTATCAAGTGGAAAAAAATTTGAAAAAACATTCAGATAAAAATTGTTGTAATAATGACAATTGATTTAGAGGCACTAGATTAGTTGTGTTGCATAAAATTTAAGAATTCAGTCTGGAAGTATTATTTACAAATTCAATAAGATCTGATCAAAATCTAAAATTTGAACAACTATCATTGCTAAACATTAATTGAATTATATCAACAACCTCCCCTACTTTGAATGTAAGAAAAAAGGTGTTGCACAGCGTTTTTAAAAAGATTGAATAATCAGATTACATGCATCGCGTCGTTAACAATGGAATTGTTCATATAAAAATATATATAATATCTAATTTTTGATATTTAAATCATGAATATATTTCCTCTTTATCAGTTTCTTCAACTTTCATGGTTCTCTCTCTTTTCCTTTCACATCTATTCAATAATTAAATGAGAAGATTTTAATAAACATCCTCAGATCTGACCGATCCATAAGCTTAAAAAAAGCGAAACAAGAAAATTGGATATTAACAATTTTTCACAAAAAATCAGTAAATCTTGAAGAAATGTCGGATTCATTTTTTTCAGGACGGATCCAGAATCCAGATCAATGTGAAATGGATCCTAAGCACTAAATAATAGATATTTAAGTTATATTTAGCATTTTCTTTGTTAAAGAGAAATAAAATCGGATGGTTTATTTTGATAATGTTACCTGGGACAGTTTAATAAATGACGAAAGCACTCTCTAAAACAAACAGTAAATGTTAGAATTAATTTTAAACTCCTTACAGTTTTACTTTTACATTTGCCAAACTTCAAACTGTCATAGCTTAATCGATTTTTGTGCTACAGACCTATAATTGTCTATGATAGGAAATTTGCGGTTGATTTTGAAAATGTAAACCATAAGTGTTTTTGGGACACTCAGTATGTTTATTACGGATTTCCGATGTTTAGGTTTGGAGACATTTTTTTTGTGTCTCATGATTAATTTTCTTGATAAATTTGAAAACCAAAAAGAATTTATATTTTATATTAAAATGTTTGTGTACCTATGAAAAACTGCTCCACAAGCCTGACATGTTTCTGTTCCAATGGTAAAGGGAAATAGAACTTCAGATTTCTCGGGACATACCTCACACACAAACCCCTTAAAAAAATTTTTTTTTAATTATTAAAATTTTTTTAGAGAAAATCAAGCAAAAGGATGAAATGACATTAAAAGCCTCCTTTTACAAGATTTATACATGATCGTACCATGTCCCCAGTGGTAACCGCCAAAAAAGTTCTTTGAAAAAGTGATCGGAAATAAATCCTAAGTTTTGACACTAAACGGTCCTGTGGAAAAAAGTCCTTGAAATAAAAAGTCACTGGAAATAAAGTCCTACCATTTTGAGACTTTATTTTCTTGGACTTTTCTTTGGTTCCAGTATGATATTATACAAAAAAGTCCTCTTACAGTGGAAATGCGTGGGAACAAAGGCTATTTACAACCATAAAAAGGGGCTTGATATTAAAATCACCCATGGCTATGTTAAAAATTCAGATGCATAGAAGAAAAGTCCTATTTATGAAAACGTTTCAGACTTGACCACATTTTTCTGAAGCTTTAATTCTTGTTTTTTTTTCCCATCGAATTTATTTTCTTCGGGACTTTAACTCCTGTGATATTATTTCCTGAGACTTTATTTTAGAAAAAAAGTCACAGGAATCTAAAACTCAGGACTTTATTTCCACTGACTTTTTGTCCTATGACTTTAGAAAATTGAGACTTTTTACCAAAGTATTTATTTCCAGGTTTTTTTCCCAGAAACTTCTTTTCCTATGACTTTCTTACATAGATTCGTCGCCAATATATTTGCAGTTAGACCTATTTAATTGTGGAAAATGAGACGACATTTAAGCAATATTATAAGCATTTAATGTTGTTTAAAAGTAAATTATTTTAGTAGTACTCCAGTATGTACCTTAGCTCTGCAGAGTATACAGGATAGTATATGATCCTGCCACTACTCCAGTATATACCTTAGCTCTGCAGAGTATACAGGATAGTATATGATCCTACCACTACTCCAGTATATACCTTAGCTCTGCAGAGTATACAGGATAGTATATGATCCTGCCACTACTCCAGTATATATACCTTAGCTCTGCAGAGTATACAGGATAGTATATGATCCTACCACTACTCCAGTATATACCTTAGCTCTGCAGAGTATACAGGATAGCATATGATCCTGCCACTACTCCAGTATATACCTTAGCTCTGCAGAGTATACAGGATAGTAAATGATCCTACCACTACTCCAGTATATACCTTAGCTCTGCAGAGTATACAGGATAGTATATGATCCTGCCATTGCTCCAGGATCTGCCCTAACCATGCTCCAAGAGATCCTAACTCAACGTCTAGAAGGTCCTGAAGACTATAAAGTGAATCATCATCCACGAAGTGTTGACGTTCTTCCAACTTCCTAAGAATACATTTCATCGATTTTTTTTTTCAATTACGATGTTTAATATTCCAAGAATCTGTATATAGGGTTAGGCAGGAAAAGACTTCAATCAATGACGACCCAAAGTCCTTACTAGAATAGAACACTGGGAATGTTTAATTTGGTCTTCTATCATTTTAACCAATTACTTTTTTTAATGATTGGGGAAGGGAAAAACAAGTTTCCAGTGAACTATGAATCTAGGAAAAAGAACGAATACATTTTTTGCAGCCGTTTAAGTCTCATCATTTGTTGGTTTCAATATATCTATAAACTAATATCATCACTTTCCACGGGCAAATTTTATCCAGAATGATTTTTGATACTCTGGGGACAGAAATATGAAAAACTGGCAAGGTTAAATTCTATAGATTTGACATAATTATATGCAGAAAATATCAGAGCTGTGACGAATTTATGTTTTTGTCCTGAAAGCGAAACTTGTTTGGAATAATTCTTAGCTTAACCGACTAAACTCAATATCTACTATGTAACCTTTAAAATTTAGGAGTTTAGCGTCCAAAACCGAAAAGGACAGTTATCCCAATCCCTGACACCGACTAACAAAAGTGAAGTATCAACTATCCAACATTCTTAGGTTTAACCGTCCAGGGTCGAGGGGGGGGGGGGGGGCCTCTTAGTACCAAAGGCACATATACAAGATCCTTAAGTGTTGGCCTCTATTTTCCTAACCTGAGTAATCTGTTGGCTGAAGCTACCCTACACAGCATCAAATACTTCTTCATCTCTAGAACTGATCTGCGCTGTCGTACAACAGCTGACAGCTCTGCTGCTACAATACTTAAACCAGGACTACAAATATACATTATTTAAGGCTAAAAACTATTTTGTTTTAATTAATGAAATGGACAAAAGTTTTCCTTTTTCCAGATAAAAAGATATGCTCGGTATCTTTCTAATTGTTTCTCAGATATAGCTTACCATTGTCAGGGGCGTATTCAGGAATTTGTCCAGGGGGGGGCTTAAGCAGCCTGGCTAACCTAGTATAGATAAATGGTAAGCAGCCTGGCTAACCTAATATAGATAAATGGTTAAGCAGCCTGGCTAACCTAATATAGATAAATGGTAAGCAGCCTGGCTAACCTAATATAGATAAATGGTAAGCAGCCTGGCTAACCTGATATAGATAAATTTGGTTAAAGCTGTTCAGACTTGTATGGAATTGGACTTTTTTCCAAGTTTGAACTATCTGTCAGTTTCTCTATAGTATATGCAGTATGCACCTCACATTTGATAGGGTTTTAATACTCATTTTTCGCTTACTGGTTGAGGGCTGGATCAATAACTATGCACTACACTAGCTTGGGACTCCAATTTTGCCTGGAGGTTTCCCTGTTAAAAGTCAATCCACTTAACTTGGAATTTTTAAACCAGACTAAGAACATTACAGTAGATCTGAGTTTCCCAATAAATATTTGAGGCAAATCGACAGGAGTTTCATGAGTTATGATCAGACATCTAAACAGACACACAAACAGAGATTACTACTTTATTTAAGTAAAACTTGAAGACGACTTACCGGCATAGGTGTGAAGTCCCAGTTATGAATAATCCTAGCAGGGATGGGGGAACTGTATCCCCAATGACAGGATGTACAGAACCATAATCCAGTATAATCACATAATCTAGAAATTAGGATTTATTAATAAACATGACATTTACTTATTTTGTTAAGAATAGAACTAAAGTCATTCCGGGGTTTTAAACTGTAAATCAATGCTTAGGATCCATTCAATTTTGATTCCTGGATCCGCACTGGGAAAAATGGATCCGGATCCGGATGCAGGTCATTTCTTTAAGATTTACTGAATTTTTATAACAAAAAATAATTTTCAAATTTTGTGTTTTATTTTTTTCCGCTTATTTTATCCTAAAACTTGATGAACCATTCAGAAATGAGGAAATTTTTATAATCTCACTTTTTTTCAAAAGTTAAGATTTGGGTTTTAACAGTAAAAAAAGTTTTTTTTTTGCAGTTTTTGGTTGATATTTTACCTCTTGGATCCGGATCCGGATCCGGATCCAGGAAGCCAAAATCTTGTGGATCCAACGGATCCGGAACCAAAGCATTGCTGTAAACTGTACATACAGTGCAGTGCACACTGCACAATCGTACATGAGGTACTCTATTTTGGGACTTCTGAAGGAAGAGAGTTTTGCATAGCAAACCTGTGTCCACTTTCTGGATGGAGTTTAATAAAGCATTCAGCACATTCATACTTCTGTTCAACCAAACTAAATATATAAATAAATCATTCAGCACAGTCATACTTGTTCAACCAAACTAAAATAGATAAAGAATAGAATTCAGCTTTCACATTTTTGATCAACCATATTAAAATACATAGATATAGGATTTAGCATTCATACTTCTGATCAACAACCCTAAAATAGAATGGATGGTAATTATGAAGGATGGATTCTTGTACCTGATCTCTGAACAGATATTATGAAGAATGGATCCTTGTACCTGTTCTCTGAACAGATATTATGAAGAATGGATCCTTGTACCTGATCTCTGAACAGATATTAAGAAGGATGGATCCTTGTACCTGATCTCTGGACAGATATTTTGAAGGATGGATCCTTGTACCTGATCTCTGAACAGATATTATGAAGGATGGATCCTTGTACCTGATCTCTGAACAGATATTATGAAGGATGGATCCTTGTACCTGCCTGATCTCTGGACAGATATTATGAAGGATGGATCCGTTGTAGAACAAGTTCTCCTCCTCCTCCTCTAGAGGATGCAACCACGCCCCCACACACTTACGCGACAACCTCAAAAGTAAGTTAAATTCTTTCATTCATAAATTTACAGACTTAAATTGTAAATTTATTATTGTTGTAAAACTATCTACAGCTATTTTAACTTTTGGTTTGAATTAAGATGAGCAGGATAATCTTAACAGTCACATAAATACATTCATTTTTAAAAAACAGCTCCGAGAATTGAGAAAAAATAAATGGGAGAAGTAGTTAAACTAAGTATGGTTGATTCAATTTCTAGTTAAAGTTAAAATAAGCAGTTCAACATTAATAGTTTAACTCGCCATACCTCCTTTCACATCTTTACCCTTTTCATAATATGCAATCTCGGGATTGTTTACCAAAAAAGGGGTTTCTTGCTTAAAAAGTTGGTTTAATTTAGTGTTTTAAAATTGGTAGATTACCTTGCTAAGCACTGTGCATGAACAATATGAGAACATGTTTTACATTCGTAAATAGTCTGTAGAACAGGCCACACAGCACTTCCACATTCATCACAATACGATCTAAATATTCGTAAATAGTCTGTAGAACAGGCCACACAGCACTTCCACATTCATCACAATACGATCTAAATATTAGTAAATAGTCTGTAGAACAGGCCACACAGCACTTCCACATTCATCACAATGCGATCTAAATATTTATTCAGTCTAAAACAGGCCACACAGCAACGAGTTACTTTTACATTTATCGCAATACGATATAGATTTTATCATTTGCATTCACTGAACAGTAAACTTTGATTTGAAAATTTAACACTTATTTTCTGTATATTAAATGTTGTATTTTGTTTATTGTTTATCAATGTATAATATATAATGTTTAACTATAATGTATATTTACTAATATTTTACATGATAGGAAAGACATATCAAATTGCAGACCTAAATACTCGAGCATACATGTTTGTACAGTGAGCACACATAAATATACAACATTTGCTGTACCTTACTTGTACCTTATATGTACACGTGTGATCTGTACCATGCCTTGATGTTCACTACCTGTGCAAGTTACGTACAGTTTACATTATACACCGCGGTTCGGACACTTATGTACATTCTACAATAAATATATGTGTACTATGCTAAATATGTTGTACATGTAAATGTAGATGTAAAATTTAGTAGTATATACCTACACTATGTGTGTTGTACTTTGCATTAATATCCACTATGCATGTATGTACGTACACTGTACATTAAAGAATATTTGAACTGTACAATCTACCAGACTGTACAATATCTTCCTTGCAGTACATAACATGTAAAATGTTTTTTTTTATGCTAGTTACAAGTTGAATGTACATTACAGAACAGATCCGCTTTGCTATACCTTGCAGTACACTACTTGTTTAATGTACAGTACTGTACAGGTCCTAATTACTGAACCTTTCAGCAAACTACTTGTTCAATGTACAGTACTGTACAGGTCCTAATTACTGTACCTTGCAGTACACTACTTGTTTAATGTACAGTACTGTACAGGTCCTAATTACTGAACCTTTCAGTAAAGTACTTGTTTAATGTACAGTACTGTACAGGTCCTAATTACTGAACCTTTCAGTAAAGTACTTGTTTAATGTACAGTACTGTACAGGTCCTAATTACTGAACCTTTCAGTAAACTACTTGTTTAATGTACAGTACTATACAGGTCCTAATTACTGAACCTTTCAGTAAAGTACTTGTTTAATGTACAGTACTGTACAGGTCCTAATTGCTATACCTTTCAGTAAACTACTTGTTCAATGTACAGTACTGTACAAGTCCTAATTACTGAACCTTTCAGTAAAGTACTTGTTTAATGTACAGAACTGTACAGGTCCTAATTACTGAACCTTTCAGTAAAGTACTTGTTTAATGTACAGTACTGTACAGGTCCTAATTGCTATACCTTTCAGTAAATGCTTGTTTAATTTACAGTACTGTACAGGTCCTAATTACTGTACCTTTCAGTAAACTGCTTGTTTAATTTACAGTATTGTACAGGCCATATTTACTGAACAGCTATCAGTACACTACATATCGAATGTTCAGTACTGCACCTTCCAATACACTACTTTTTGAATGTACAGTAATGACATTATGACAGTGTTAAATTTACCTAGCATGGTTCACTACTATACTTGAATGTATAGTAATGTACAATGTGCAGGTCATTTTTACCTTGCCGGAAGCTTCTGTAAGACTGGAACAAGACAATGACGTAACGTTTCAACTTCTCCCGGACTCTTAATTAATACAAAATTTATATTATACATTCCTAAAAATGTATAGGATACTATTAACTTAAATTGTCGATAAATACCATGTGTCTTAAAGGCAAGGGCTGATATGTAGGCAGAGGGGAGGGAACTAATTAATAATTCTTGAACGCCTCTCCTCCCCTCCCCTCCAAAACTAAAGGTAATTGCACGTAAGATCTTATATGATGTCAATCCTCCTCTTGAAGAGATATTGAGAAAAAACAATATTTGTGTTAAGAATTTCTGATAAGTAATTAAATTAATTTGCGTTTAATCAACACTACTAAAGCCACTTCACTTCAGGGATAAAAGGGTGTAAAGCCCCCCCCCCCCCGAAAATAACCCAAATTCCTGAATACGCCCCATTTTTACAACATTTCTACATTGTGCAAATTTAAAGTGGAAAAAAGAACGGCCAATCACCTCAAGTGAGACCAGTTTTTGGAAGCGTTTAAAGTTAAGTCTCAAGCTAATTGCGAGAATTTAATTGAAATTGAGGCGCGTGCGGACTGGGCAACGCGACCTACGGAATCAATGAAGGGAGGAGGACAAACTGATCCGATCAGCTGTGATCAGCGATCAAAGTTCAGCTGTGCTCAACAGCACTGCGCTTCCATTAGATAAAAGTACCGAACTTCTATTTAATCAAAACTCAAGAATTTACTGACATTGAATCTAAAGATTTTGGCAAATATCTCCATAAAAAATCGTTTTCCGAAAAAGTGGAGAAAATATATAATATGCAAATAATTTTTCCCGTACTGATTCAAACAAAAAGTCCTAAAAAAAATTCCTATTTCGACAAATATACGCATTTTTGTGTGTTCGAGGTTGCGTGATTATTTAAAAACTACTAAGGTTTCGTGATTAAAAGTATAAATGTGAGAGAATAGTAATCGGGCCGACAGTTGACACGGAAGGAGGGGGGGGGGGGGGAGGCGAGTAATTCTCACTTCTACTTCCCCCCCCCCCCTCCCTGGTTGCTTACTCTCACAATTCAATCACACATATCATATCACGGAAAATAATTGAATCCGCTTAAATAAAACAAAAAATCTTTAACAACCAAATAGTAATTCAATTATATTCATGCAGTGAAAAAATTATCATTTAAATTGTTTAAACTTTAAATTATGATAAATTGATGGACCATTTTACGAGAAATACAATTTAGATGATTAGCTTGGTGTTTTTGGTCCATCCAATTCTTAAAATTAAAATTTAAATGGCGAAGGCCGGGGCCCAAATTTCGAGTTTGAAATAATATGGCCAGCATAATGAGAATTTAAGGCCGATAAAAACAGACAATTTACTTAAAACAAATGAAAAATTAACTTTTATATCCAGTCCCGGACTCTCCAGACCAAGGGACCAATGAAGCCCGGTGGCTCGTTCAAAAACGCCCTGACATGGCGTGAGATAATGCCCAGCAGCTATAATTAAGTTCTGTATTTCGGTCTTAAACATCAAAGAGGATCAAGAATGGGAGAAAACTCATATACAGGGTGTCCCACGAAACATGACAGTATGCAGGATGACTTGAATGTCGTCTTGATTTTTGATATAATTTGCTGCGTTTATTTGTCAACCTAATTTTAGAAGTAAATTTCTAGAGATAATAATCACAAAATTTCCCTTGTCCTGCCATTTCCAAAATGTGATCTGCCTTTTTTGTGCTTTCAATATTGCCCGAGATATGAAGAATTTCGTTCAGATTTCGACAATTTTGCTTTTATTTAACAAAATTGAAATCTGAACCAAACTCTTTATATCTCAGGTAATATTGAAAGCACAAAAAACGCAGACCACTTTTTGGAAATGCCAGGGCTAGGAGAATTATGTGATAATTGTTTCAAGAATCATACATGTTAAAGTAGATAGAAGAATAAATTCAAATACCAAAGACGACTTTCAAGTCGTCTTCCTATTGTCATGTTTCGTGGGACAACCTGTATTTACAAATACATTTTTTCCGGAAACCCCAGTCAATACAATTACAGGGTTACCCACAAAGGATGAGACGACCTCAAACGTGTTAAATATGAATATGAAGGTTGAATTTGTTTTTAAGATATAATTAATGGTCTATATAAGATGAGACTGAATTAAGTGCATAGCTGCACTGCAGGGAAGCATAACTGTAAAAAAGGCTTAAAGTGACAGTAAGCGTAATTTCAAGTAACCCTCTAGAAAAAGTCACAAGTTACAGAAGCGACTGGTCCCTTCTGTAAAATTGTCTCTTAAAGGGACAGTAAAGGAAAAATGAAAGGGGGTATAGGCTGAAAGCTAATCACTTTAGCTCTTGATCGCGACCCATGAAAGTTTTATCTGATGTTACTATCTCGAGAAATTGATATAAAACTGTGTTAAAATCATACGAAAGTTCATATATGTAAAATTTAGAAAATCTTAAACTTAAATCACGTGACCAGAACTATCACCAATGGCAGAGCAGTATACTGATCACGTGTCTCTGCCTGTATCACGTGACCACTTTACTGCACTGTCATTGGTGGATTTTCTGGTCAAGCAATTTGGACGTGTAAATAATATATGAATTAAATCTATTAAAAATAGAAATAACAAATATAAAACTAGAATTGGAGTAAACCTAAGTAATAATTAGCTTTCTCGGGGATATTATCGTTTTCAGATTGGTTGCTTATTTGCTGAATTTGATCTTATTTAAACCCACTACTTTTATACAAAATTGTATATATATTAATTTTCGTATAAATTTGACACAGTTGTAAATCAATTTCTCGAGATAGGAACATCAGATAAAACTTTCATGGGTCGCGATCGAGAGCTAAAGTGATTAGCTTTCAGCCTATACCCCCTTTCATTTTTCCTTTACTGTCCCTTTAAGTCTGCTCCGTAGCGGGTAAATATATATACAATTTACCTGATAAAACTTTCTATTTTCTAGATCTTGTTCTTTTATCCTCAACTTGATCAATTTATGGACAATTGATTTCCTTTGATCACTGTTGACCTGAATCACAACCATTGTATAATTGATTACCAATTGATTACTAAATCCAAACCATGTATACTGTGAATACTGTTGACTTTGCTTAACTGAACTACGTACTATCAATTATAATCTGAAGATTTTATCTTATCAATTGTTTACACAAGATTTCCTCCTAATATTATAGGATATGATACAAATTTGAAAAAACTTTATGTTATGTCTCAAAAATACCAATTTAGAGCTATGCGCAATCCAAATTATGATGAGGCACAATTTCTATCAAAAAAACGAGATTTTGAAAAACTAGCTACATCATCATTAAATCTCCGATGCTCTGTAACGGACCTAAAGGGTATCCAAACTAATTATGGAATATCTAACCTAACCTATTTTACGAAATAATACAATTTTAAGTTGGTTTCCTCTGGGTCGGATGAGCGAGTACCAAATCACCTTTTTGTCAAAAATTAAAGTTTGTGAAAAATCAAAATGGAATGTGCATTTTTCCTCCAATTAAATAGATTTTATTGATGAATTTTTGCTGTGAAAACGTAGATTTCTATTAAAGCTTTCATTTATGTAAAATATGAACCCCTGGAGCGTATTATGATAATAATAAAGTTTTTGCCAACCTCCGTTTCTAGAATAGTTCTCTTCAGTCCCAGGATAGATTCCTAGAAATATTTGCTTATATTATCCTAGAATTAATTAGAATTAAAGAGAGTCGGGAACTTTGGGATGGGCGGTGCGACCAGTCGTTTCAACAAAGCAGAACCTTTTTCCCCGTTTATAACATTTATTTTACACAACTTATTTGTCATCGTACTGGACTGGAAGTCGGGCAACAGAAGTTCAAAGCTCTAGAAAATGTCGAATTTTGATAGACACGCAGATTGGATTGTAAATAAAAGTAATAATGAAGCAAATAAACTAAAAAGAAAAGTTTGCTATTGGTAAAGCTCAACTAGTGATATGCATAAAGTTAGTTTTTACAAATTTTCTTCCAGGGTCAAAAATTAGCAAAATGTAAGATGAAACAAATTTTATCAAAATTGTTTATTCTTTGCTTTTCTAAACATTCTTATTTCTACGCCAAGCTATGGCCCAGACAGATAATATACAATACAAGTTTTAATGAAATTAATCAAAACGATTAACAACAATAAGCCTACCGAGGGAGGAAACCCCTGGACGTTATGAGCCTCCGCCATGCCGACACGAGCCTCCCAGATTTGCTAGCCAGACCGAGCCTCCGTAATGTAGAAAGAGCCTCCCCAATGCAGTACGAGCCATCGCTAAACAGCAAAGCTTCCTTTTACCTCTTGGTTTTTAATTCATTTTTTTCTACATAGCGGCACAAGAATTTTGATTGATAGATTGATGTTGATTATCGACTGCCATGATTTGTAACTAAAATCGACTCATTATGTGGTTTATAAGATTTCTATTTTACATCAAAACATGTCTTATGCAGTAAGGAAGCTATTTGGAGATTCGTTTCTGAATTGAACTTGGTTTATTTTGTTTTAAGCAATACCTGTATTGGCATTTTTTTTCAAGATTCAGATTATTTGCCAATGTCAAATTTTTGATTACCTTAATCTGATAAAAATTCAACAACAGTTATCGCTTAAATCAAAGATTACAAAATATTAAATAATTTACTTAAAATTTCTTTCTCTAAATGTTTTATAAACCACTTTACTAGTCATAATTAGTCACTATTTTTAAAAATTGATTAATATACTTCTGATCTTGTTAAACTTTATATTAGTCATATTTAGAAAAACACAAAAACATCTTAAGGAATCCATTCAGTTTAACGGATTCGGCTCTTACTGCATGGCGGAGGCTCGGTCTGCCTAGCAAATAAGGGATGCTTATGTCTGCCATAGCGGAGGCTCATGGTGTCAAATCAAAACCTCATCAAAACGACTTGTTATTCTATACATCACATTAAATCATAATTAGCGGGCCCCAGCGTACCTGAATATCTTCCAGTGAAGCTAGGGAATTGTTTGACAATATATCTGTAGTTGCAGTTGATCCACTTTTATCCTCCTCAATCCGAGAACTAGGAAAATGAAAGTTTATTCCAATCTCAATACTGCTCCTCCAAGATAATGTATGCGCCCAAAACAAACGGTTTTTAATGTTAAAACTATAGTCCTTGTCTTTATGGTTAAATAATTACGATATTGAAAAAGATTAAATTTTTACACTTATCCACTTCTTCAATGTATTTAATTAATAAGCTAGGAAATGAGTAATAATTCTCCAATGTCCGAATTTATTGAATTTGATCCGTGGCTTAAATTTAAGCCGCCGCTCAAATTCTATAAATCCGGCCTCAGTTCGGGTGAGACGCACGTTTAATATTCATTTACCCCTCTTCGGGGATTTACAGGCTGATATTTGAACGCATAAACATGATTAAATTTCCACAGCAACTTTCACTCCGCTCCATATTTAGACGGGATTTAGAATCAATATAAGTAATTACAAATTGCTTATTCTTGATAAATATTACTTGAGCTACCAGACTTTTTATTTACCAACTAGTCGCACATTTAAACTAAATTGTAAAAACTTTTATTCAATAAAGTTGAAGTGGAGAACCTAATCTCTGGTGTTTCATCACCCAAAGATCCAGCAGATCCTAAGCTACCAACAGAAGACATCTTTCTGAAAAAAATCCACTAAATGTATTTATTCAAATAATTCAAATATTAAACATTCAAAAATCCGTGTGGGTAAAAATTACAATAAACAAATTTGCAATGTCAATCACAAAGATATGTTCTCAAAAAGAAATATTTTCCACTAGTATTTATCACCAACTTAAATTTACATAGTAATACGACTTCATCAAGGAAGCTCTTACTGCAATTGATAATACCAAACATTATGTATGAAGTATGCACTTCAGATTTTCAAGATATTTTTGAGATTTACAGAGTTGGATATTCTGAAGAAGTATCCTGTTTACGCAATTGGATTGGATATTCTGAAAAAGTATAGTTTTTGAATAAAATTGGATATTCTGATCGCTGAGTTGGATATTATACAAAAGTATCCTGATCGCGGAATTGGCTTGGATATTTAGAAAAAAGTATCCTCTTTACTGGGTAGGATTGGAGTGGATACTCTGACGAAGTGTCTTATTTACTGGGTAGGATTGGACCGGATATTCTGACACGAAGTATCTTGGTTACTGGGTAGGATTGGACCGGATATTCTGACGAAGTGTCTTGTTTACTGGCTAGGATTGGACTGGATATTCTGACGAAGTGTCTTGTTTACTGGGTAGGATTGGACCGGATATTCTGACACGAAGTATCTTGGTTACTGGGTAGGATTGGACTGGATATTCTGACGAAGTGTCTTGTTTACTGGGTAGGATTGGACTGGATATTCTGACGAAGTGTCTTGTTTACTGGGTAGGATTGGACCGGATATTCTGACGAAGTGTCTTGGTTACTGGGTAGGATTGGACTGGATATTCTGACGAAGTGTCTTGTTTACTGGGTAGGATTGGACTGGATATTCTGACGAAGTGTCTTGTATCTGGAGTAAAGCAAGCTGTACTTGATTCCTGTAACTCTTGCCACTTCAGAATAGGTCATATCCATCCGGATCATCTCCCTAATTATAGTTTTGTAAGTTTCACAAGTTTTATTGATTAGATTATTTAAAATTTCTAATTTTTTACCATTTTGTGTTTTTCAAAGCTTATTTATAATTAATAATGGATCAGTGGGTTAAAAATATTTTCAAGGTTTTTCTCTAGGGGAAAAAATGATATTTTTTTTCTTCAGTTTCTAAACACCTAAAATAATTTGTTACCTGACCATTTCTTTATGAAACGGTTCACTCCAATAGTTATTTCCTGTATACTCATTCAGAGAGACAAAATTAGCAGGGAGGTAACTTGTCAGGGAGTTCTGGTGTTGCTTTGTTAACGTAGGTGGATTACTCAGGGGTTGTCCTCCTACTGCAGCTGGATTACTCAGGGGTTGTCCTCCTACTGCAGGTGGTTTACTCAGGGGTCCTTCTGCAGGTGGTTTACTCAGGGGTTGTCCTCCTAGTGCAGGTGGATTACTCAGGGGTTGTCCTCCTACTGCAGGTGGCTTACTCAGGGGTGGTCCTCCTACTGCAGGTGGTTTACTCATGGGTGGTCCTCCTACTGTAGAAGGGTTGATCCCTCCCTGGACCTGCTTTTCAGCAATCCTTTTTGCTGAACCAGAAGAAGAAGAGACAGCTCTTACTGAGTCCAGGTTTAGATCTTTAACATCTTTGGAACCACATTCTTGGATTTTATTCTTGGAAAGAGGACACACAGCCAGAATTTCATCGTCCTTCTTCTCATTTTCAATACGTCCTCTTTTCATGCTGAGATGAGGACTTCCGTCCTTGTCAGTTACATCTTCACGTCCTCTTTTCCCACCTGGATGCTTCTCATGATTCTCCAGTCCTCTCTTTACATTCACGTTCACAGCACTTTTCATCTTCTCATCATCCCGTTCTCTTATTGACGCGTCGATAATCCTGTTTCCCATCTCGTCATAGTGATGGGTCATATCTTCGTCAAATTGAAGAGTTACCCTGCAAAATTCATCAATTAAACTTTTAAAGAATTTCTACCCCCCTCCTCTCCAGCTCTAAATTATCAATGTACCAGGGATATATATCCCCCATCTCTGAAATATTTTTCCCTGTGGCGTGTGGAATACTTTTTAGGTTTATAATCACTAAATACCAACTTATGAGGACAAAACGGAGATGTACTGATTACTTGTTGTATTATCCTCCACATCCCAGCTAAAACTCAATTTTTTCTTCTTAATTTTGTCATTCTAATGCTGTTAATGGTGTACATTTTCTTTTAAAAATCCGTTTGAAAATTAAATCCCCCCCCTGATGTAGGGATGTTTCTTTTAGGGTTTCTTAGCTGAATTGGGGAATAGATTTAAGAAAAAATGCTTGGTTGGAAAATACACGAATTTTTCAGTAACAAGTATCTGAAAAATTGGAAAAAAAATATCATTAAGATGTCCAGTTTTCCATTTTTCTAGTAGAGCATCTTTAAAAATCGTTTTCCTGTATTTCTTAAAAATAAATACCCCTGAATTCTGCCTAAATCTATTTATTATATTCCGAAACTAAAATATCTTACAAACCTGTTTTTACTTTGAAGGATTTGATCTAGCTGCGGATCTCTTTCACCAGTGCCAGGTACCGGAGTCAGGAAACTTCGAATTCTAACCTTTCCAACCCAACCTGAACCTAAACAAAGACACTAATTACTCCTCTCAAAGTAATTTTCTTTCCCTCCTTACATCTTTGCAAAACGAGAAGTAGATCTTTGATATTTCAAACTCTATGAATTCTGCTAAAGAAGATTGAAAAGTTTGATGTATCAGATTGCGTAGAAAAGAGTTTGAAGCAAGTATTCAATTTACTGCATTAAAAGCATACGCGCTAACAGCTCGTTGTTGTAAATGTTGTAATGGTGCAAAATGCAAATCAAGGCAAAGGACATTAAAAATGAGTTAACCTTTCTCCGTAGACACACTGCTCTCTGTTTTACTACAATCATCAGATTCAGGAGCTCTGAACAAATTTGAAATATTTAAAATTTTATTTTTATTAATTTGGTTTGAAGAAAGAAAAACTATTTTTTGGACTTGTACCTTTCATTTCCGGTTGCTATATTGTCATTAACAGAAGGATAAACGTGGTTTCCGCTTCCGGAAGCATGCTTTAAAGTTTCCCACTTCCGTTCTAAGAACTCCCTGACAGCACGAACAGCCTCCCTGTCCCAGCGTTCGAAGATAAAGCTTGGCTAAACAATTAAATCTATTTGAATATATTTAACTTGTTTGTTTGCGTCCAATTAACGTCAAAACGGCAGGGCAAAATTTTTATTGCTCGTTGAAATTAAAAAAATTTAGCTCGGAAAGAAATTTGACATTTATTATTTCTGAAAATCCACTTTAAATAGAGAAAATTGCATTTACTGGAGAACGATGAAACAATGGCGACTTAAAACTGTTTTACAAGCTAAAATTGTTTCAAGAAAATGGGCCACGAAGCGTCCCTGAAGCCTTGTATTAAGTTTATGCTAATTTTTAAAAATTATCTTCGAAGCTGCAGTTTAAAAAAAACAAACTTACCAGCTAGTTTTCTTCTTACAATTTACAATTTATTGATTTTACCAATAGGATCTAAAGCCTCATCATGTATTAGAGTAGGGGAAAATAAATGGTTCTGTCCGGGAAAACCGTACACGAATATTAAAATGGTTACTCACCACGTTTAGACGAAAGAACTCCAACTTGGTATCTGCGATAAGTAGGGGAATATTCGACCAGTTTCTCGAGTCTGAAAAAATCGGTTTAAAACAAAGTAGTTATCTCTGTTTGTTTGTTTGTTGTTTGTTTTCCCATCACAACTCAAAAAATACTCAACCGATAATTTGCCTTAAATTTTGATGGGGAAACTCGGTAGAACCACAGGAACTTTCTTAGCATGGTTTAAATATTTTAAGTTTAGTGGCTTAATTTTTTTATGGGTAAATCTGCAGGAAAAGCTGGGTTCCTAAACTAATTTAAATAAAATAAGAAACCTGTAGATTGTTGAACAGGAGGACTCCTGGTGGGTTCAGCTCCTGGAGAAGATCTGCTGGTGATAGGACCAGAGTTAGGAGACTGCTCGTATCTTGAGGGTGGAGTAGGAAAAGTAGAGGAAGAAGGAAACCCGTTCTGTACTTTACCCGGTTTGTTCATAGATGATGAACCCGGCTTGCTGCAGGGAACTGTGGTTTCAGAACGTGGAGTAGGGTTTGTCTGGCACTGGGTCGGTAGAAGATGGGAGAGACGAAATGGCTTAACGTTTCCGACTTCAACATCAGCGATAAGGATCATACACTTACATCTGAAAAAATACAATTCATAGAAAACTCTTAGAGAACAATAATTTTGATCAATATTTTGCCGCTTACGGCTCCAGATCCTTATTATTGGCTTCTTTACCTTCATTTTATAATTTATCCAATAAATGTCAGACCATTTTTGATCCATCTGATTGAAAAAAACGTACTAACCTATGACATCTACATTCCACATAATGCCTGGTCTTATCAACCTTATAGTCTGTACAATCTGTACAATAGCAATCCTCTAGCTCGTCACGCAGCATACCAGCAGCCTGAACAGGGTAGTAGTCACCTCCAACATCACAAACCCATAAGCAGGGTGTATATTCTCTTAAAACATTCTTCCCCCCATCCCTTCTAGAGGATCTTTTTTTATTCGACAGAGATTAAGTATGTTTGGAAATAAAAAAACTTTTTAGAGGTGACTAAATAAATTTTGAGAGAGTATTTAAACGTTCAACATTTTATTCTTTTCTCAGATCTTCAAAAATCATGCAACCCCCCCCCCTCATGGATCGCGGGTGGGAGAGTGCTAATTTAAAAAAATCACTTCTTAATCTTCAAAAACTCCTTTTGTCCCCGCCTTAAATTCATAGAGGGGGTGTAATTTAGATAATAAATTGAACAGAGCCGTTAAAATGATTAAGAAATGGTAAAAAGATTACCCGAGTCCAGATTTCTCGTTTCCTGCGCTCCAGGTGGCAAACATGGCACTTGTGGTTGAGATATCCTCGTCTTCGCATTGTAGTGTAATGATCTGATCTTGTATATTTACAATCCTCACATCTACACTCGTAAACTTCATTCCTCAACTAGTCACCACCGATATTTCAACAATAATGCTTGTTGCAATAAGAGGTTTTTAAGTTTCTTGCAGTGAAATGTGAAAAAAAAATTTTAGGGTAAAAGTATCAGAAAGTGTGAAAAAAGTGCTAGTTGGACCAACCCTTCCAACCCACGGAGTGTAATGAGGGAGAATTCTTGAAAATATATACCCCTCAGCGATAACTTGAGTAGGTGTTAGCCTTTCATGTATCCCGGTAAAACCAACCCTGGAAGAATTATTTGGGAGAAGAAACATTTAAATTGAAAAAGTTACTTTTTTAAAAATTCTGATTAAAACAATTTTAAAGTTAATTGAAGACCCCAGGAAAACAAGATATATAAAAGTAAGTATTTAATTGGTGAAATAAGCTCCCTTGTATGAATTCTTTATTATACAGGTGCAGGATCGGCAGGGACATATCCTGTTATATTCTTGACTTTGGTCAATAGAACCTGGAGAACTAGTGCTCTCACGTGGTGATATCTCTTCCACAGTTCCTATATCTGAAGTGGGTTGGCCGTTTAGTTTTCGAATCATAAACTCTTTATCCTCAGCATACCTTCCCTCTCTTCTGTTAAAATCCATGAATTCCAAAGCTAGGACTTGAAGTCTCCTTTCCTCAGCTTCAGTTTTGTTCTTCTTAGTATACTTTGCGCTCCACAACTCTAGTATTAATTCCCGATCTGGGATATCAGATCCTTCCTCCAGAGCAAAGGCAGGGATTTTCTGTGACCCTCTTTTGGGGGGAATATATTTTGGTTTCGCAGATTTTCCGTTCTGAGCCTTGGTAGGAATGATTACAGGGGTTCCTTTTAGAGTCTGTGGAACAGGGGTTCCTTTTTGAGTCTGAGGAATAGGGGTTCCTTTTTGAGTCTGAGGTATAGGGGTTCCATACTGTGTGCTGGCCACCAGGGTTCCTTTTGGAGTCTGTGGAATAAGGACTCCTTTTTGAGTCTGTGGAATAGGGGTTCCTTTTTGAGTCTGAGGAATAGGAGTTCCATGCTGTGTGCTGGCAACCAGGGTTCCTTTAGGAGTCTGTGAAGTTCCATGATGTGCTACAAGGTTTCCATAGTGTGCTTTAGCTACAGGGTTTCCTTTCGGCATTTTGTCAGCAGGGTTTCCATGCCGGACCAAATCTGCAGGGGTTCCTTCAGGCATTTTGTCAGGAGGGTTTTCATGCTGGGCTTTAGTTACAGAGGATCCTTTAGGCATCTTGTCAGCAGTGTTTTCATTATACTGGGCTTTGGCTGCAGGGATAGCTTTCTGAATCGTGTCAGCAGGGTTTCCATGTTGTGCTTTAACTCCAGGGTTTCCTTTCAGAGTCTGATCGTCAGGAGATCTATTATTTATTTTTAAAAGATCTTTCCTTGGACTCTGATTTATGGATTTTCCTGTCCGTGGTTTCTCAACTTGATTGGCCAGTCTTCCATCGGATGTTTTCTTCATGGAAATTGGACGGTTTTCTTTCTGATGGTTTCTTGGAGGATTTTCCACCTGTTTTCCAAACTCTGGGTTTTTTGAGGAGTTCCCGGACTTGGAAATTGATTTACTCCCGACTTCTTCTTTCCCTTCCTTCTGTGGAGGAACCGTCTGCCGTTTAACATACTCTTCTTTGCCAGTCGTTGACAAATTTTCCATAAAAGCGACGATAGCAATCTGTTCTTTTAAGGCTTGCAAGGGGGTCATCTTAGGTTTCTTCTTCAAATTATCATACCAGCGTGGTTCTCTCTCTGACATATCGTCAAACCTGAACAAGAGGTATAGGTTACCCTCTTCTTAAACAGTTTAAAATTCGTTACAGGTCGCAAATAATTCATTTTCTTAATTCTTTGGGAGCGATTCATATTTTCGGTTTCTGATTACTGAAGAACATAAAAAGCAGACGAACTGTACGATATGAATACAACCAATAGGAGCAATCTTAGAAATTTTAGCCAATCACAAGTAATTTGTTCATGGTCGTCTTTTTATTGTTAACATTAAGATGACACTATAAAAAAAATTAATAATAATGACCCCTTTTGTATATGTTTCTTTTTAATTTTAATATAGATAATTATTATATTATAATAATAATAATCATAAAAGTGTATTTATTCAAACTGCAACAGAGTATTAGTAAAAACGAAATTGAGGTCCGACTCTTAGATATGCACGAGGAAAATTGTTTTTAAAACATGTGTTATTGCTTTTAAAGAATCACCAACCTGCCGCCATCATCTGAATCTGAATCATATTCTGAATCTGTCAGCAGAACATTATCTGAATCGTCAACCTGCATACTTTCATCTGAACCTTGGTCACCATTATCTGAATTGTCAACCATACTTTCATCTGAACCTTGGTCACCATTATCTGAATCGTCAACCATACTTTCATCTGAACCTTGGTCACCATTATCTGAATCGTCAACCATACTTTCATCTGAACCTTGGTCACCATTATCTGAATCCTCCGAGTCAGAATTTTCTACTTTTAATGCTTGATGAATTGTGTCCAGCGCATCATAGAAACTTCCAGAACTAAATAATAGTAAAAACTATTGTTCTGGCTTTAACAAACTGGGGTTTGTAAAATGTGGGTAAAACTGTGAGTCCGAATTCCTGTTCATAATTTGAGTTAAAGTGTTAACAAGCATAGCCTTCATGAGACTACAGGAAAAAAAACCATTTTAAAACTATTTTAGAGAATTTTACAATGCTAATTTATAAAGACATATCTTTTTATCCCATCATACTGTTTCGGAGAAAAAGAAAAATGACCCTGTACGATTATTTGGATAAGTTCCTACACAATTTGTCTATTTTCCCTATAAAGAACTACCAACTATTCAAAAAACCTTACTACAGTCTTGAAAAAATTTGTATTAATCAAAATATATACCCGTTTCCGGATAAGTTCTGGTTCAGTTTCTTCATCTCTTCTTTCCCCGTGAGTTTAGATGAAGTTGAATGGCTGCTATACTTCTCCATGTACTTGGAGGAATCTCTATGCTTTGAAGTAGTTCCTCCAGTGTGGTGCTACAAAAACAATATCAATCTGAGGTTGAAATTGATTTTAATCACAAGTTTTTCTCAACTCCATAGTGCCCAAGATGGGTAAAAATTAACAATGTAGAAGAAGTCCTTTAAGATATTGAAATGTAAGAATATAAATGATTACCATCCTCATCTTGGTCGGAGTGTTATTAGGAGTTGGGAGTTCTCCATCTTCATCATAATCCAGTTCGTCATAGTCGACATCATCTAAAAAAAAAATAGGTTTGAGGGAAATAAAAAAATATAATTTTTCCTTTCAGCAGATGAAATAAATCTTTTTAGATCTAGTGATAGCAAAAAAATGCTTACGTAGATTTAAAAAAAATAAAGAGTAAATAGATTAATTCAAAAATACTAACCATCTGAAGAAGCGGATTCTGAACCTGTGAAGGATTCATCCAAATATTTCTCTGATTCAACTTCTTTTTCTATCAACCAATCAATTAAAATAATGTAATTCCATAAATTAGACAATTTAAGTTAAAACATTGATATTTTGCGAAAAATAAGGGCATTAAATATAATTAGTTCCTTTAGAATATGCTGATTTCGACTGTTTGGGCTTCTTCTTAGTTTCCTCATAGTGAATCTTCTCTTCCTTGGAATCAAACTTAAACTCATCATTTCCATCCTTATGAAAATAGAATGAAGCAAAACAGTACATGGATATTCTATGTCACGTATTGATATTTGTCAAAACTTAATATTTTTCCCACGACATGTGTTTTATAAACCTACCTATAGAGGTCTGCAATCATGCATTTGGATCTAGACTAAACAAAAACCTTGAAACAATTTTTAAGTGGCTGATGCGGGATACCCCCCCCCCCCCCGCTGAGATTTTGCTCTACACATCTTATGTATAATCCAATTATACAGAGTTATTAGTTATCCTTCATTAGAAATTATCAATCAGCATCTTCTTGGTTTATATAATGCGCGATTAATGTTTTATAAGGGGATAGCGCGAACGCAGTCCCCCACTATCAAAAATTACGCGTTCGAGTTACCCACATTTGGGGTAATCGTAGGGGTCAGCCCAACCGTAGTGCAATGGAAAGACCTCACCCTAGAGGAACCGCCTTCTTGATCACGGTTAATCTGCGCCGGATTACAATCCTGCAAATTCGTTTCTCTTAGAACAGCAATTTTTGATACATAAGCTTTATCTAAAATTGTCAGGTATATTCCCTTTTGAACTTTAAAACGCGCCTGGTACGAGTACGAACGCGCATGAAGAGAGAAAGCGGTAGACGAGTAGAGCGCGGCACCGAGTCTTCATCAGGCCTGGTAAGGCCTAGAAGGCTTACTTCCACATCATCGTTCGTCGGGTTTTAACAGTGTGTAATATATCGTTTATTTCAGATAGAAAATGGGAGTACTTCGACTGGAGGACTTCCAAGTGAAATTGTATAAATTCTAAAGGAGTTTGTGCAATTTTTACATGGAGATCCTCACATTGAGATACTCTAATTTTCTATGATTTAAATTCATTTTTTTTAAATTATTTAAGAAAAGAAACTTCTTTGCGACCTGGAAGTATCGCTTATAGTATTCAATAAGAAGTTTCATAGTGATATTATTTTTGTATTTGTATTTCATATAAATATTTAATTTTATGTCGGAAACGCAGAATTTCTAGATTCGTTTTTTTTAAGTAAGATTTAATTTTAACACAGATAGAAGGAATTTTAGTTATTACACAAGTGGGAACATAACCCACATTGAAATTTTTAGAAATTAGCAGAAATTTTATTTATTACGCCTGTAGGCTGTGGGAAACACGTACCACGTTTGAAATTTTTAATGATTAGTTTCCTACTTTGTTTTCATGGAGGAAGAGAGTGGTTTCATTATATTACCATTTTTGTTGTAGACGCCATATTTATTCAGAATACCAACTCGTCTAGATTTTATTTTTATAATAAAATTGTTTCAAAATAAAATATAAAAAGAAAAGGCCAAAAAGTAGATTTACATATTTGCTCTGTGTCCCCATCTATTGTAGAGCACACTAAACAATTTTCCATGTAATATTATGTTTATGGACCAATGACTGGCTTGATGTTAACTATCTCCTCCAATGAACATCATGCATCCTGAACTGAATACGCTCACAAATATACTATTTTCCAAATAAATACTATTAGTCTCAATTGTTGCCCCCCATACACGGAAATCTTTAGTAAAAGGCGAAAGATTTATTCGGTATGTGTGGAAAGCTTGAGTATGAACACAAACACGTTAATATCCGTATTAATAATTTAGGTAGTGAAAAAGATAAATGTTGAAAATGTTTAATTCAAAAGAAACTAAATTTGGGATAATATTTGATTAAGGCAATATAGAAAAAGATAAGACATTTCTTAAGAAATCATAAAATCAAAAGTTAGCAGCTAAAAATCTAAATTTGATCAAAATAAAGTGCTGCCATCTTTAGTAGATAATGCGACTTAACATGCAACTAGATTTGATCCACACGTTAATAGTCTTGCTTTGCCCATTGGATGATTTGAAACCTTCCCGACTTCCTATTGGACGTTTAGGGGTTCCCTCACAGCTGATCTCTCTGAAACGTTTCCGTAGGTAGTTATAGATACAGCAAAAATGTTTTCTGATTTTTATCAAACTGAAAAGTTAAGCATTTACCCGAACAATACATCACCGAATTTTGCATTCACCCAACAAATTAGAAAGGTTAAATGTTACTCCCATTTTAGTTCTGTAAACATGTACATTGTACATATATTGTTCATGATAATCTATAACTCAAATTAAAACTTGTATTTTTTGTTGCAAGACTTTAAACAATTCTTTGATAAGGTTGTTTGGGAGTTAATGGAAAATAAAAAAGTTGATCCCAGCCATTATAGTTCATAACATTAGGCTTTTGATTTAGGAAGCTACCTGAAGGTAGCTCGTAGATAAATAATATTAGTCTCAATTGTTGCCCCCCATACACGGAAATCTTTAGTAAAAGGCGAAAGATTTATTCGGTATGTGTGGAAAGCTTGAGTATGAACACTAACATGTTCATATCCGTATTAGTAATTTAGGTAGTGAAAAAGAAAAAAGTTAAAAATGTTTAATTCAAAAGAGACTAAATTTGGGATAATATTTGGTTAAGGCAATATAGAAAAAGATAAGACATTTCTTAAGAAATAATAAAATCATAAGTAAGCAATTAAAAATCTAAATTTGATCAAAATAAAGTGCTGCCATCTTTAGTAGATTATGCGACTTAACATGCAACTAGATTTGATCCAAACGTTAATGAACTTGCTTTGCCCATTGGATGATTTGAAACCTTCCCGACTTCCTATTGGATGTTTAGGCACTCACAGCTGATCTCTCTGAAATGTTTCCGTAGGTAGTTATAGATACAGCAAACATGTTTTCTGATTTTTATCAAACTAAAAAGTGAAGCATTTACCCAAACAATTCATCACCGAATTTTGCATTTACCCGACATGGACGTATTAGAAAGTTGTTTCTCTTGGATTGTACTCCCATTTTAGTTATGTACAACATGTACATTGCACATATATAGTTCATGATGATCTATAACTCAATTTAAAACTTTTGTTAGTTGTTGCAAGACTAAAACAATTCTTAAATAATAATCATGTTGTTTAGGAATTAATAGAAAATAAAAAGTTGATCACAGCCAGTGTAGATCATAACAATAGGCTTTAAAACCTAATTATAACTGTTGAGGTATATTTAGATTTAGGAAGCCACCTAAAGGTAGCTCGTAGATAAATACTATTAGTCTCAATTGTTGCCCCCCATACACGGAAATCTTTAGTAAAAGGCGAAAGATTTATTCGGTATGTGTGGAAAGCTTGAGTATTAACACTAACACTTTGATATCCCTATTAGTAATTTAGGTAGTGAAAAGAAAAATGTTGAAAATGTTTAATTCAAAAGAAACTAAATTTGGGATAATATTTGATTAAGGCAATATACAAAAAGATAAAACGTTTCATAAGAAATCATAAATCATAAGTTAACCATTAAAATTCTAAATTTGATCAAAATAAATTGCTGCCATCTCTAGTAGATCATGCGACTTAACATGCAACTAGATTTGATCCAAACGTTAATAGTCTTGCTTTGCCCATTGGATGATTTGAAAACTTCCCGAGTTCCTATTGGATGTTTAGGCACTCACAGCTGATCTCTCTGAAACGTTTCCATAGGTAGTTATAGATACAGCAAATATGATTTCCGATTTTTATCCAACTCGCAAATGAAGCATTAACCTCAGGGGCGGACACAGGGGGGTGGTGGGGGGACATTCACCACCCCCTGACAGATTCAAGGAGGGGCGTAGCCCTCCCTTGAGATTTCGAGGCAAAAAATGTTCCCAATTTGATAAATCGTATTTGTTTTTCAATTTTAAGCTATTTGATTATTTTTTATTTAATGGAAATATAATAATTAATATTTATTGAAAAATTGAATGATCAGAAGAGAAGGACGAAAAAAATATTTTTCTAACTTGTTAAAAATAAATACAAGTTTATACATGTATGTATACGACGACAGACATTGTGTTTTGTTTTATTGGTACGCGGCACACTGCACATCTTGAGTCTTTTCTTCAGTTTAATTTAAAAATCAACGACAACAAGTAAATGTTATTGTTAAGGATAAATTTAGAATTATAAATTCGTAAGAAACTAGTAATTTCTTTTTGTTCTTAAATTGCTAATGTTCCTAATACTGTGTCCGACCCACCTGAAATCCCTGTCCTAATCCTATATTTTTGTTCCTTATTCCTGAACAATCTTTTTATTGTTCCTAACCCAGCTAACATTAAATCTTCGCCAGAGTTGGTTTTCCGCCGTCGTAAATAAGATGGCGGGGGGTACACTGTACCGCAATAGTATATACTATATGTCCCCGCCATAGTGCAATTGTCGCAGTTTCGATGGCGGGGAATTCTGAACCTCTGTAGTAGAAACAAAATTTTCCCCGCCATAGTATAATTGTCGTATATACGACTTCGGAAATTCTGAACCGCTGTAGTATANCCTGTCCTAATCCTTTAATTTTGTTCCTAATTCCTGGACAATCTTTTTATTGTTCCTAAATCCCTGTCCTAATCCTTTAATTTTGTTCCTAATTATCAATTTTTTTGTTCCTAAAAAATCTTGCCACCCCCTCACTTAAATCCTGTGTCCGCCCCTGATTAACCTGACATGGATAATTTAGAAAGAGGTGTTTCTCATAATTTGTACCCTTGTTAAAGTCATGTACAACATGTACATTGTACATTTATTGTCCAAAACAATCTATACTCAAATTTAAATTTTTTTAGTTGTTGCAAGACTTAAACATGTTTTTTTTGACATATGTTCTTTAGGAGTTAATAGAAAAAAATTGCAGCTAGTGTAGCTTAAATAAATAGGCTTTTCTTTAACCATTTCACCATAACTGTTGATTTTCAAGCCATCATTTTTTCTTTGTAATCCAATAAAAACTAACTTTCACAGGCTTTTGTGCTTAAATTGGTGAATTTTCAAAAATAGTAAACGATAGAGCAGCATTTGTGGTAATCCTCAAATTTATCAGTAACTGTGTCTAATTTCTTCAGATATGGCTTTGTGAATTGTATGACCTGCAAGCAGAAATAAAATACAGGATACAGCATAACATAAATTATTAAACTGAGCTGAAATAAACAAAACGTTTTGACACAAGTATATTCAATCCCCGTTATTTGTGCACCAGAATATTGAATACTTGGTTAAAAATGTAATGAATAAACTAAAATAAAAAGTGAATCAGTAATTAGATAACCAAAAACATTATTTACAGAGAAATAAACATGTATATTAATAACAAAGTTTAGGATTAATATTTTATCATGAGGTAATAAATATGTTGAATTTTTATCTTTGTGAACTAAGACTGTATTTATTCCGGGTAGATATCTTTAATTTTATAAGGGGATAGCGCGAACGCACTCCCCCACTCAGTTATTGAGTACAATGTACATATTTGATTTATGGATAACTAATGAAAATTTATATATATATATGTAATTTGTATTGAAAATTAATTATNGGGGGGGGGGGGCAAGATTTTTTAGGAACAAAAAATTCATAATTAGGAACCAAAAATCAAAAATCAAATCAATCAAAATCAAAAATCAAAAGTCAAAAAAAAATTTTGACTTAAAAGACTCAAAAAGAGTGAAAATTAATGACTGAAGACTAAAAAACTAGATTTTTAACTTTTCACACATTATAGTTTATCAAGACAGATAGTTTTCCTGTTTTGCACTAAGGTTTCTTTTCCAATTAAGCATGCTATTGAGAAGCTATATCTGAAAATAGGTTAGTTTTTTATTGTTTAAGTATAACACACATTTTTCTTACCCCCCCCCCCCTAAAAATGTAAAGGGGGGTGGGCCAAAAAAAAATTTTCGCGCTTCCCGCAAAGTATTTCCACCTAGACCCCTAACCAAATGTCTAGTTGAGCGCCTGACAACTTAAAGTAATAAGAGGATAGCGCGAACGCTTGGACCTTCTATTGTTTGTTTATGTAGTAATACAAATAGTCAATTCATAGAACATGAAGAATATTTCAAAGTTATTGTGTATTATTAAAACAAAGATAATCTTTGTGCTGCCATCTTTGTCCTGTTAAAATAAACAAAATGCTAACAAAATGAGAGGAAAGGAAAGAACCTGACCAATGGCAANACAAAAATATTTTCTCAAGTATGAAGCTCATCTTCTTATTGGATGATGTATTGAATAAAATTTTAAACAGTAGTGAATCAGATCTTATAGATTTAAACCTTTTTTTACAGAGAAATAATATATATACTAAAAAAGTTTTAAGATATGGAAATTTAATCTTTGTATAACCCAGACAGTAATAATTATGGTAAGATATCTTAAATTTATAAGGGGATAGCGCGAACGCAGTCCCCCACTATCAAAAATTACGCGTTCGAGTTACCCACATTTGGGGTAATCGTAGGGGTCAGCCCAACCGAAGTGCAATGGAAAGGCCTCACCCTAGAGGAACCGCCTTCTTGATCACGGTTAACCTCCACGCCAGGTAAGTATGCTTGTGGTATCAGACTGAATCAAATATAAAATTTGGATAGTTAAACTTGTCAACACTTCTTTTGCAAGGCACAAATTCAAATACAGTTTAGATCTCCTATGGTATGTTTATAAAGTATTACAAATAATCAATTCATTTGGCATACAGAATATGTTCAACTCAATATGAATTGATAAAACAATATAATCTTTGTGCTGCCATCTTTTGTTACTAGGGTTGTAATAAATGCCATAATAACAAACCTTACTAAGAGGGAAAGGAAAGAACCTGACCAATAGCGTATCAGCTTTACTTTTGTTCTGCCTATCATAGTTTGAGATTTTAACGCTCACAAATAATCCACCTACACCTTAGAATTTAAAGCTCACACATTTACTTTAACAATTTATATATTTTTTTTAATATGTTTAACCATATACCTTATCCAACTACTCTCTCTCTCTCTCTCTCTCCCCCCCATTTATTCTGACTATAAGTATTTGGCAAACATCAAATATAAATAAGGGTATGACATAATTCAGGATTACAAAATTTTTAAGATAGTCCGTCCCCTCCCCTGGGAAAAATAAAAAATTAAACCCCACCCAATTCAGCAAGTAAAACTCTTAATAAAATACTTAACTTTGGGGGGGGAGGATTTTTCTAGAAAATACACAATCCTGCACAAATTCTTGGTAGAAAATGATACTTAATTGTCTATTTATAGATTGCAAATACATAATGAATAATGCTTGTCTGAATCTCCTAAATTTTTAGAAAATTTAGGCTATTCCTTTTGTTATTAGGACTGTTTATTCTTCTGTATTTTAATGAACATTATCCAAGGTGTAAGTGGGGAAGTGGGCCGATCCTAGCGGTACTGCAATACTAGGCCAACCCGTGATAAAGCCGGAGCAAGCTCCTTAACTTCATCCCCTGTCAAAAATAAGTTTAATATCGAAGGGGACACATGGTCCCCGTATCAGATATTAAGCTGATAAGAACAGATACTACACTTTGATCTTAGCCAAAAGGCCGAGAAGCGATAACTGCAAAACTGACCAAACCAGTGTATGTTTTTTGGGTAGACCAAAAGAAAAATAGCGAAAACAAACATTGTATAATAATGTCATTTATCATGTTAATTTTTTAAGCATAAGGGTATGATTGTGACATAAAAATCCATCAAAGGTTTTTCTTGACATTCTTATGGTGAAATTATGTTCAAGGACTTAGTCGATTAGTACACCATCTATGGGTATCTTTCTAAGCGTTGGGGTTTATTGGATTTGAGTGACTGATGATTTACCATTGGATGAAACATTTATTAGGACCAATTAGAATCCAGTATTAACTGTTAATCTCTCAACCTCGACTCACGTCACACACTACAAGTTTAACAGCAACACAAAACGTTTTCCTATGTATACTGCCCCAGGCTGCAGTCCTAACTTGCCGCATGGCAGATATTCAGTTTCCGGAATTCCCCCCCCCCTTCTCCTTCTTTATACCTTTAAAATTATAGAAAGAATACGAACTGACTCAGGTTTTTGTCTAAGAGGGATAAAGAGTGATAACACTTTTTTAAAAATAATTTCACAAGACCTAACAGAAATAATATATATATATCTATAAATAAATTTGGCTTGTCTGTCTGTTTGTATCCAATAAACGTCAAAACGGCTGAACCGATCGGGCCCAAATTTTTTGTGGGACATTAAAAAATTCCGCAACATTTTCTTCTTCTTTGTTTTAAAATGTAAGCAAAAAGAACATGTTCAATAAACACTTCTTGGACATATCTCGAAAATTATGAATGAATTTTGATTGTCAATTGAAACATTAATCAATCTAATATTATTTAGAATGCAGAAATAAGTTAAACTAACTTCATTTTGACGAGAATTTTTTTTTTTTTTCATGAAAAATTTGCTGAAATGAGTGAAATTTTTTAAAAAACGGTGTATTTTCCAGGATAAAAATCCGTACAATCCGTACAATTTGATAACAAATCCGTACAGTCCGTACAATTTTAGGGTTAAAAAAAATCAATCCGTACAATCCGTACATTTTGGCCACCCTGTATATATATATATATATAAATATGATCATTAATAACCCAGTAATACTCACCCATTTTTTTGAAATATATATTGATCAATTTAAAATGAAAATGCTTGAATATCTGATTCTTATCAAAAACCTCATTTGATTATTTTTCATTAATAAGTGAGATTTTTAATATTCTACTATAGAAATTTTACCTTGGATGAACCAAAGAGTTTGCTGCAATTGTTGATTCTCTTGAATAAATTTGCTGCAAAATCATCATCAACCTGCAACATTCACTCATCTTTACAATAAAACAAGACATTCTTGTATATATATATATATATATATGAAAAAAAAAATATATATATATATATGGCCGGCCGAAAAGCTAAACCGAATGAGCTGAACTTTTTGTAGACACTCATGGGTGGCCGGGGGGTTGTTATAGGCTAAAATAAATTGAATTTTTATTTTTTTCATGGGCAACGCCAGGCTCACCAGCTAGTTATTAAGATAATCAAACAATCAAATTGTGCAAGACAAGGAGAAATAAAAATCTATATAGTTCTGTTAAGTATCCCCAGTTATTTTATGATCATTAATAACCCAGTAATACTCAACCATTTTTTGATAATATTTTTTTCACCAGAAACATAAAAATAAAAAACAGAACACTGGCAAATGTGATCTTTTAATTTTACTGTTTGTAAAATACTCTAAACAAGAATTTTGTTGTTCTATGCACCTACTAAAATCAACAATTAGCTTATAAGAAATCTAAAAATCCCGACTTAATATTTGATTATTTTCAAAGAAAAAACAAACATTAGAGAAATAAAAAAATCTACAGAACTTTTTAAAACAAATTTTTAGAAAAAAAATATTACAAGCGAGAGTTCAAAGAGGTGATGTCAGATGTACACCATAATAAAATACCACTCAGACGATGACATGTTCTAATCGGAAACTGGAAGGTCTCCGAGCGATCATCAACGCTTCGATCCTTTGAAAGATCGAAACCTTTTCACGCTCTGAACACGCCATGAGTCTCATCATCATGGCTGAGTAAGGTTTCAAGTTTCAGACAGGAAACTTGTCAATCATACTACAGAAATGATCCTGTGAAGTATAATCTTAATGAATAACAACTTGATCAGAGCATTTATAGTTTCAACCCCCCCTCCTGACTCAATGAGTATTTCTTAAACAGTAGAATTACTTGAATTTTTAAAAACTTAATAATTTTCTTATATATAACAAATTTACAACTTTGTGCATTCTGATAAAGAAATAAATTATTTTTTTTATTTCATTGCTAGTGAAGATTTAAACTTTGCTATACTAACGCCATCTATATTTTACAAATGAGAAAGAAAACTGAATTTTCCTACCACATGTAATTTGTGCACCATATCTACTGAGGGGAGGCCATTATTCAAATTTGGGGAGGATGGCATGACTATTCAGAAATGTTCAAACTTTTCCTTTGTTTTTATGATCAGGAAACAACTAACAAAATTTCATTCTTAAGTGAATGATATAACATTCTGTTCACTGTTATAGAAAAGGGCATTATTAAACAGTTTGGCATTACATCATCTCCTAAGGATTTAATAATCAGAAAACATTAATGTTTATATCAAACGTAACATTTAAGTATGTATAACAATAAAATAGCCTTGAATGACAAATATAAAACTTTGAATTGTGATTGCAGTGATTGGAGAAAAAAACTTAAATCGACTCAAAATTCAGAAAAAAATACAAAGCTCGATAAGCTTATATTTGTTAAAGCTGCAGAGATTGAGCATGATTTAAGGTTGAAAAAGGTGAAGGACACCATAATAAAATAACCACTCAGACGATGACATGTTCTAAACGGAAACTGGAAGGTCTCCGAGCGATCATTAATGCTTCGATCTTTTGCAAGATCGAAACCTTTTCACGCTCTGAACTCGCCTTGTGTCTCATCATCATGGCTGAGTAAGGTTTCAAGTTTCAGACAGGAAACTTGTCAATCATACTACAGAAATGATCCTGTGAAGTATAATCTTAATGGATATAACTTGATCAGAGCAATTATAGTTTCAACCCCCCTCCCGACTAACTGAATATTTCTTTAACAGTAGAATTACTTGAATTTTTAGAAAAAATTAATGATTGTTTCTTATATATAACAAATTTACAACATAGTGAATTCTGATAAAGAAATAAATTATTTTTAATTTCATTCCTTGTGAAGATTTATACTTTGCTATACTAACGCCATCTATGGTTTACAAATGAGAAAGGAAATCGGAAAATTCATACCACGTGGATCATTTGTGCACTTTAAATACTAAGGGAGGCAAAAGCCAAATAGAGAGGGGCATTTTTACTTCGAAAAGTTAAAAGCATCAAGTTTTTCCATGATTTTTACAATCAGAAAAGCACTCTACATTGCAGCAATGATATGTCAATTTTTGTTAGATTCTGTTTTAAGTTCTTTAATTAAAAAAAAACAATTTGTTGACAGTTAAAAGCAAAATAGTATTACCCCCCCCCCCCTCCCTTGGAATTTTATAGTCAGATAGCGCTGAATGACATTGGATTGTGAAATAATACTAGAATAATACAAAATTCAGATTAAGAATCATCTTAGTTTTGATTTGATATCTCTGCATTTACATTTAAGAAGTCTTGTGTGGATTTGATGTAGATATGATTTAAGAATTGAAATGGTGATAAACACCGTTATAAAATAACCACTCAGACGATGACATGTTCTAATCGGAAACTGGAAGGTCTCCGAGCGATCATCAACGCCTCGATCCTTTGAAAGATCGAAACCTTTTCACGCTCTGAACACGCCATGTGTCTCATCATCATGGCTGAGTAAGGTTTCAAGTTTCAGACAGGAAACTTGTCAATCATACTACAGAAATGATCCTGTGAAGTATAATCTTAATAATAATCAACATGCTCTGAGTATTTAAAGATTCAACCCCCCTCCCAATTCTGTGATTATATTCACAAGGATGCAATCATAACAATTATCAAACAGATAATAAAGTTTATGATAGCTTTATGTAAATTAGAAAATATTATGGAGAAAAATTTGTAAAACATTAGTACATTCATTCATACGTAGATGTTAAACTGCGCACTACTAGAGCCATCTAGTGGCATCTAATGTAGTGTCATTAACATATATTCAGTCAGAACACGTGGGATTTTGTTTCAAGTGTACAGTCAGTTAGCGCGAGACAGCTAAATTAAATGTCGTCTTACTTTTCTCTTAAACTCAATAAGATCAAGTTTTCAACTAAATTGTTAACAGTTTAAAAAATTACCTCGACCATCCTTCCTCGGAGGAATATTTTCAAAAACTGAACTAATCCTTCACAAACGGATTCCTATTTTTAAATTACTATCAATTTTCATTTATAAAATAATATTCATTCATTAATTATTGTTAATGAACATTGAACAAATTGAACAGGGGGAGTTGACANGGAATTATTTTTGATGCTATGGTGGAAAAAAATTGAACATCAAAAGGCAAGTTTTTTCATCCTTTTTTATACTTTTACCCCAAAATTTTCTTTCCTTTCCCAATACAGCGAATAAAGCCCTATAAAAATGTGACTCTCCGCTCAAAAATACCTAACATCTGTGGGGAAATAACTGATATTCAATGGTGGGGAATATTTTTCAAGGAAATAATACACCCTTATTTTAGAAATTGTAATGAAATACAACCTGAAGGCTCCTGTTAAAGAAGAGTACGATCCTATTCTCCTCTCCTGTAGTTCCATAAAGGCTGGGAAGAACTATACTACCGCTGGGGGTCAACCTAAACCCTTGGACTGGATACAGGAATATCACGTTCCAATGATCACCTGAGAACAATAAAATTTATCAATTTATTAAGGGAAGCGTCTCGGAGTTCAGAGGATGTAGGAAAACATTTGGAACGCAAAGGTTTTTCTCTTCATGTTATAGAAGTAAACAGAAAACATTTTTAAGTGCTGTCTTTATTTTCATATTGAAATTTTCCCCATCCTCTCGTGCCATGATTATTATATTCAAGGTGAGGTAGGTTAAGGAAGATACAGTAATAACCAGAAAACACTAGAATAGAAAGACGACTTTTCCGATATACTGAAGTCAATTTGACTTAACATTTCTAATTAAAGAAAGCATGAAGATTGAAAAAGGCAGTATTCATTCCAACGATTTCTGGTTTCTACAGTATTAAAATCTTTGCTGGTTGTTCCTTAAATCTTACATTTAATTATCTTGGGAGAATATTTTTTTTTCTTTTATGATCAAACCAAAAAATTACCGAAGCAGACGACTCCGCACTTAATACTGGAGCTGGATAGGACAATGGTGGAGACCTCGATCTGGTTCTTCATGAAGAAGATGATCATCCTGCCCTCTTGCAGCTCCAGCTGTATGCTCACGGATTTGGAGCGCGTAAGTATTGTTCCAATCTAGAGAACATATAAGCGATTCAACATTTCTTTATCTCAAATTTAATTTTATTTCAGAAAATTGGCAGTTGATAAATAAAGAAATATTAAAATATTCGAAAATTTATGATATCATTGAAAAATCATCGTTTTTTTTTCATTTTTCAATTTTAGTCCTGTACACTGTACATTTCTATTTTTGCAATCCCTGCAGTTAGAGGTCAGCTGGTAGCGCCTCAGCTTTAGATATGTGTTAAAATCAAAACTCCAACTTATAAGTAGAAAAATATTTGCTTTGTTTACCCCGCGTGCAGTGATACTTTTATACCTCTAGAGCAGAAAGTTTATATTTCTGGGTGAGCAATGAATCTGAAACCCTAGATTGTCGTCTTCCAGACTCTCTTGATATATTAGAAATATTTATTGAATTAATCCTTTATTGTGAATAAAAAAACTCATATTTTTCTTCATACCTTTTTCTTCTTACGAAGAATATGAGAATTAGTAATTCCTTTATCAATTTAATCTAGTTTTAAATTCAGGACAAAACAAGTTATTGCAGTTTGTAATATTATGACAAAAAAGAAGTATATTAACTGACACCCGGATTTATTTCCTTCTCGATGGTGCAAACTTGAACGTTGGATACCTTATTAGTACCATTGGATGGACAATTCTCCCCGATTTGAGAAGTTAAACACACACTTAGAAAGTTTACACATTGAATATCGGGTTCAGTCCTGTCAAGCACTATCCGGTACAAAAGTTTTGCCATTAGTCTAGAGTCAGATAGATTGGTTTCAACTTATTCCAAAGTTCCTTTGTTATATAATGTAAATTATATCCCTGTTAAAATATAAATTATATCCCTGTAGTAGATGGGGGGTATAATGCTGGATGAGCTGGGGATAAAGGAGAAATTGATCTCGTAAACAGAAAACAGAGTTTTCATCTCATTACTGCAATAAACTTTATTTATGGTTATAGGTTTAAATATCCGCATCTAGTTCATTAAAAAGGTTATCCCCCCCCCTTCCGCGTTTTCAACTAAATTTTTGCTAAACTTATGTTTTTACAAGAAATCATTGTTCGAATTTAATGAATTTGAGCCGCGTCTTCTTAAATCCACTAAAAATCGGTTTCAATTAAGCATCGGCTTAAATCTTGAAACTTTGAAGAAAATTTTAAGTGAAACCAACCATATTTGACCGGCGGTTTAAATTTAAATTCTTTAAATTCGGCCTCAGGGAGATTTTAGCAGTCTCTTGTCAGCCCTTAATTTTTTTCTGGTATTTAAGATAAGATCATGGTACACNCCCAATGTGGAATCCCAGAAGCAAAATAGTGCGGACTAACATTTCACATCTTATAGCACTGCTTATCATTAATTATAATATAAAATTAATTACTATTTAAATTTGTTACAGGGGGTTTAAAACAGGATTTGTCAACAGCATTTAAGTTTCAGGAGAAGTTTTAATTTTAAGTTTAGAATCATGGTGAATAGTTCCCCTAAAAAAATAATATATTAAAGATTTCTACAAGATAAAATGGAACTTATTTTAACGGATAAAACAGCAGAAAATAAACCACCTGTAGAAGAGTGCAGACAATGTAGGATCAAAGTTATGGAGCTGGTCATATACACTCTGCAGGAACTTACGCAGATTAGTCACAAACTCAACACTAATAATATTCAAATCAATTTTATCAATCTTTTGCATTATTAAAACATAAATTCAAATAATACAATATTTTGTCTGTAAGAGTTACCATTTTTTAATTCCTAGCTGAAGTGCGTTTCCCGTGAAATTTTGAAGAAGAAAAAATATTTTTAAAAACAAATTGTTAATTTGAAGTGGGAAAAAAATTCGAATTTGTTTAGCCTTATGTTACCCCCAGGGTAGCCATGGGTTCCCTCAAAAAAATTTAGCCCAACAGGTCCAGCTGTTTGGCCGGCTATATACAGCCGACATATATATGAGCTGACATATATATATGAGCGAAGAGCTATTATCTTTAAAATTTCTTACTATTCTTCACAGTTCCTATACGTACAATAATAACAGAGTAAATAAGGCGTGTTAAAAAAAGCTGAACCTGAACAGTGTTCCAGTTAAGGACATAGGACAAGACTGTAAAGATGACCTGAAACTCTTTAAATATGACGATTCTTTTTACTAAAAAAGACTATTTTCAAGAAAGAAGACTTAACTAATTTGTACATTGTCTGTTTAAAGATTTCGCAAAGAGAGAAACACGTTAACATATTCGAAAAATCATAAATTAAAGGAATTGTATAAATCCGAACAGCCGTCTCTAAAATCTCATCTTTTGTGGGTAACCCTGCATTAGAGTAGATAAATTAGTAGAAAACCTGAACAAATAAATCCTAGATTTCCCCATTTTCACGATCTGCATAAAAGCACTACTCCACTGCCTGGAGATCTCCTTGATATAGCTCTGAACGATCTGGGATCGGTTCTACGAAAGATGTAAAATGAAATTTACGCATGTATTGAACTCCTTAAAGAGACTGTAAGCACATTATCAAGTGACCCTCCATGCAAAGATGGCAATTTCCAACATTTACTCTTGAGAGCTTCGTCTGATGTAGTGTGAATTAGATATTCATGTTTTGTTTATTTAGACTATTTATTTTCATTAGTGGTTTCAAAAGTGGCTTGCACATTTCTTAATTAGTTTAAAGAAACAATGGAGAAATTATCAAATTCTGGTCAGAAAGACGACGTTATCTTGCACATTTTTGATCAGATTAAAGTTTCAAGGCAGTCTGGGAGTTCCTTCCCTTTCAGATCTTCACTTGATTTGTTTTGATTTGAAGGATACCGTTGTAGGTCGGGCATTTCAATCTTTGCATAGATGATCGATCACTTGATATAACACAGGCTTACCGTCCCATTTAAAGATTAAATAAGTGTATTCATTTAAGTTTTCTAAGTTTTGAAATTTAGATAATCACGTGATACTATGATAAAAATTAAATTGCCATTTTATTTATTTTTATCACCAAAACTATTCCATGGAATTCATACCTTTTCACCGTGGTTGAATATATCCACAAGGCCGGGCTCCAGGACCCCGGTCAGCGTGTAATCAGTCAGGTAGCAGAGAAGAGGTATCTTAGAACCAGGAGACAAGGCATACAAACCACGCCGGTTCACAACCTTTAAAGATTATAAGGTATTAAAGATCTTTATCCATAAAGGTCAACTCAGGCCGCATGAACGTTTCTTTTGGAAAATTATAACATTAAAAAATGTTTTTAATGCATTGTTTTTCTTTCGCAAATTACAGTTTAAGTGAACAGGGTGTCTTTGCACTTTTTTTTGCGGAAAACAGTTTTAATAACCAACCTGCCAAAGTTCTCCTCTGGAAAGATGGTATGAAAGAAGCGGAGTTTTTGCGGCGGATACAACCTTCTCCGCCTTGAACTCAACCATACGCCCTAGCTCCGCCAGCTCAAAATCTAGCTCGTCAATACTCTGCGCAGCATTGTAATTTTCGACCAAGATTTCAATTTTAATATCTTTCTTGGCAGGAGATTTTCGTTTCTCGGTATTCTTCACGAGAGGTTGAGTATTAATAAGGAGCTTCTTCTTCTCATGGATGGCCAACTTGTCCAGGAAAACAATCTTCTCCTTCGAGCTCAGCTTCTCCCAATAGTCCATCTTCTCCTAGTTACCAGAGTTAAAAACTGAATATGATAATGAAATTAAATACTGTCAACTTTTGCCTTGTTATTTAAAATCTTCCAGTTCTCCAGAAGAGTTTCTTCTTCCATGATTGTGTCTTTCTTCTTAAATTATTCCATCACCATTTTACTTTCACAATAGATATTTATTCTGGAAATATAATTCGTCATTCATTTTAACATTTTACAGAAAATATAATTTCAAAATGTTACGATACTAATAATAATACTCTAGCAGTTTATAAAACAGATTTTCATTACAAAAGATTCGTAATATTTCCATGATTTCCACTATTATTGAAATGTCAAAGAATATGATATTTATACTTCAGATTAGATTCTTTGGAGAGAAATAAAATAGAATGTTTAAGATAAATACAAGCAATAATGTTGAAACTAGGGTTAAATGTTTTGAGTAAATAGTGATAAATGTTTTGAGAAAGCCAGGATTACAACGTTGAAAATAAAAATAAAATAACTATAACGTTAAGGCACAACTTGGGTTGAAATGTTTAGAATCAACTGGATTATGCTGTTTAAAATGGAAATGTTTAGAAAGAGCTAGGATTGTAATGTTTAAAGAGAACTAGAATTGTAATGTTAAGAGAGAACTAGGATTGTAATGATAAGAAAGAGCTAGGATTGTAATGTTAAGAGAGAACTAGGATTGTAATGTTAAGAGAGAACTAGGATTGTAATGATAAGAGAGAGCTAGAATTGTAATGTTAAGAGAGACCTAGGATTGTAATTATAAGAGAGAACTAGGATTGTAATGTTTAGAGAGAACTAGAATTGTAATAATAAGAGAGAACTAGGATTGTAATGATAAGAGAGAACTAGGATTGTAATGTTTAAAGAGAACTAGGATTGCAATGTTAAGAGAGAACTAGGATTGTAATGTTAAGAGAGAACTAGGATTGTAATAATAAGAGANGAACTAGGATTATAATGTTTAAAGAGAACTAGGATTGTAATGTTTAAAGAGAACTATAGAATTGTATTGATTAAAGAAAACTAGGATTGTAATGTTTAGAGATAACTAGGATTGTAATGTTAAGAGATAACTAGGATTGTAATGTTTAAAGAGAACTAGGATTGTAATGTTTAGAGATAACTAAGATTATAATGTTTAAAGATAACTAGGATTGTAATGTTTAGAGAGAAGTAGGATTATAATGTTTAAAGAGATCTAGGATTATAATGTTTAGAGATAACTAGGATAATGTTTAAAGAGAACTAGGATTATAATGTTTAGAGAGAACTAGGATAATAATGTTTAAAGAGAACTAGGATTATAATGTTAAGAGGGAATTAGAATTATAATGTTTAGAAAGAACTATATTGGAATGTTTTAAAAGAAATACGATTATAATGTTAAAATAGCGCATCATCCTAAGATTATTTTGTTTACGAAAGAACTAGGCTTTTTAGAGCCATCTATTTATGACTGTAATCATATTTGTTTCTAAAGAAAAATAGAAAAGATCACGAATGCCCAACTTCTTAATAATTCTTAAAAATGCTTTTTTTACGTAATACAAGATTTGTTCTAATTTTAATTATTGTTCACTTCGCAGCAAATAGTAAACTGATGCAATTATGGAGGAAAACTGAGATGCTTAACGATCACTAGAATCAGAATTTAAATCTTTACAACCTCGTGTTCAGGGAATATTAGTAATCATACTTTTATAACAGTATAATTGTACGCAGAATAGGGGCAGAAAACTCTCCGGGATGGAGGGGGGTATATTGATTCACAAATTGTCAAATTCAGAAAAATATCTAACATAGGTTCTAAAACAGCCTTCTTGAAGAAAGAATGATTTTAACTGAAATTTTGAGAAGGAAAACCAAAATGTGTCTCCTCCCCCTCGACGCAGGAGGTGAGAACAGATTCAGAACAAGATATTTCCTGCAGATGTTAAATAACACTTATCTTAAAAATTGGGGGGGGGGGGGCGGCGAGGGGCAAAGAATATAAAAAGGGAAAATATGCAATCTGAGCATCTGGTCAGCAGTAGCAAAATTGAAAAAAAACGATAACCAAAGTTTAATAGAATTTCTCTTGTCTGGTTATATAATCAGCCATATCTATTCTCGCCCCCTCTTCTTTCCTATGAAATGCGTTTCCTGAACACCCACGACATATCCACTTCTCCTCTACGCTTACAGGGTGAGTTTAAAAAAAGTGTTATTTGCGGCGTCTGGTGCAAAATAGTACCTTTTTTGTGCAACTCTCCTGTATGGTGTTTTTTTTTGGAACTCTAATGGCCGAAAGAAAATCCGCGAACCTTTTTTTCTCTAAAATCAAAAGTTCAGAAAAGCAAAAATGTGTCTTTAAGTTATTTCTATCCAAATCTAAAAAAATTTAAAGATGGAATCAAAGAATCCCAGAAAATTCGCAATTTTTAGTTTTGGTCTAACTTTTAAGGAAAAGTTATTTAAATTCTCTAGTTCCTTTCTTCTTACTCTTAGCATATTTTTAAGTATTAAATACAATTTTTCCGTAAAAGTTATACTTGAAGTGAAAATTGCGAAATTCTAATTACAATTTTGCAAATTTTCTGAGATCCTGTCATTCGATCTTTTTAAAATTTTAGATTTCGATAGAAACAATTTATTTAAACATTTTTGTTTTTCTGAACTTATTTTGAGAGAAAAAAGGTTCGCAGATTTTTTGGGGCCATTGAAGTACTAAAAAATACAATTTTTTTTTTAAATATTGAAAAAATAACATACAAGAGAGATGCACAAAAAAGGTACAATTTTGCACAGGCGCCGCAAATCACATTTTTTTTTTGACTCACCCTGTATTTCTTCCCTAAAGCCCACCTTATAACACCTCCTTCTTCTTAACACTTGCCTTCTTCCCTGAACACCCCATTTATCCCTGAACACTCCATTCATCCCTGAACACTCCATTCATCCCTGAACACTCGACCTTGATCCCAAAACACTCGACCTTGATCCCAAAACACTCGACCTTGATCCCTAAACACTCGACCTTGATCCCTAAACACTCGACCTTGATCCCTAAACACTCGACCTTGATCCCTAAACACTCAAACACTCGACCTTGATCCCTAAACACTCGACCTTGATCCCTAAACACTCGACCTTGATCCCTAAACACTCGACCTTGATCCCTAAACACTCAACCTTAATCCCTAAAAACTCCCTTCATCCCTAAACACTCCCTTCACCCCTAAACACTCCCTTCATCCCTAAACACTCCCTTCATCCCTACACTCCCTTCATCCCTAAACACTCCCTTCATCCCTAAACACTTCCTTCATCCCTAAACACTTCCTTCATCCCTAAACACTCCCTTCATCCCTAAACACTCCCTTCATCCCTTAACACTTCTTTAATCTCTAAACACTCCCTTCATCCCTAAACACTCCCTTCATCCCTAAACACTCCCTTCATCCTTAAACACTCCCTTCATCACTTAACACTCCCTAGCACTCACTCCTTCCTTCATATTCTACACCTTGACACTACATCCTTCTTATTTTAACTTTGACATTCCATCCTTCAAATTCTGCACCATGACATTACTTCCTTCATATTTGGCACCTTAAAACTCCATCCTTCATATTATGCACCTTAACATTCCGTCCTTCTTATCTTACACCTTGACACTCCATCCTACATATTCTGCACCAATTGACACTCAATCCTTCATACTCTGCACCTTGACACTCCATCCTTCATATTCTGCACCTTGACATTCCATCTTTCATATTATGCACCTTGACACTCCATCCTTCATTATCTGCACCTTGACACCACTCCATCCTTCATATTCTGCACCTTGACATTCCATCCTTCTTCTGCACCTTGACATTCCATCCTTCATATTCTGCACCTTGACACTCCGTCCGTATTATTATGCTCATTTTGCACATTAACATTCCATCCTTCATATTTTACAGTTTGACACTACATCCTTAATATTCTGCACCAATTGACATTCCATCCTTTATATTCTACACCTTGACATTCCATCCTACATATTCTACACCTCGACATTCCATTCTTCAAAATATGCACCTTTACACTACATCCTTCATACTCTGCACCTAGTGACTGCAATCCTTCATATTCTGCACCTTGACATTCCATTTTTCATATTCTTCACCCGGACATTCCGTCATTCATATTTTACACCTTGACATTCCATCCTTCATATTCTACACCTCGACATTCCATTCTTCATAATATGCCTCTTTCCACTACATCCTTCATACTCTGCACCTAGTGACTGCAATCCTTCATATTCTGCACCTAGTGACATTCAATCCTTTATATTCTGCTCCTAGTGACTGCAATCCTTCATATTCTACACCTTGACATTCCATCCTTCATATTCTACACCTTGACATACAATCCTTTAAATTCTACACCTTGACATACAATCCTTTAAATTCTACACTTTGACATTCCTTCTTTATATCCTTCACCTTGAGATTTCACTTCATTTTCTTTGGATAAATTATACAACTTGTGATTCCATCCCTCATGCGTTACAACTTGACACTACATCCATCATATTATACCCTTAAATACTCTCATCCTGCATATTCTGTACCATTAAATTCCTTTCTTTGTATTTTGTACGGACATTAATTTCACATTACCAATATAATTTTATTCCATGAACTTCCACTAATTCTAAATTATTACTGCTAATCCCTTCCACGTTGTGATAGACGTCTATTTACTATTGGTACTTAATTTGCTACGATTCAGCAATAGGCTTATTGATCTTTAAAATCTCTCAACGAAAGGAATTGAGCTATTGGCACAAACTCAAATTTTCTAATCTTCATTATCTGTTTTACATCCTAACGGTGTAAACCTTTCATATTTCAAACTTCTATTAGATTTAACAGAGTTCATAGTATTAGATAATTGAAGTTTATGATATCGAGACGCAAAGATATAGGAAATAAGAATTTGTGGCAGAAACTAATTTCCTTAATTGTTTTAAAATCGAATATCATATTTTGAGAAAAACCTTGGTTATTGTAAACCAGTTTAACAGATTGTAATACCTTACTGTCGGATAGAATATCTCCTCCAGTGTGGTGATATAATTCAGCTCACAACATACATTAAGCTTTACATTTTACTATGGACAGAGTGATCAGCTGGTGTTAAACACTAGCTTTACAGATCTATTAAATCACAATTCTGCTTTAAATCTAACAAAGATTTATTCATAGAAATAATCATATTTAAATCCTTCAATCGATGGATTGAAATCATCGTACGACGGAAAAAATAGCAACTAAACATGTTAAAATAAGTGCATGAATACTTTTTAATTTTGTTTTAAAAAAATATTTTTTACTTTAACTAAGGGCATAACAGCTCATGCACTGTCTACATATATATACAGAATCCTCTTGTTCATATTTAGCTTGAAAAGTTCAAGGAAAACATCTTAAATGATAAAGCTGTGATAGAACACAGTATTTTTAACATTAACACTGCAATAAAGAGCATTGATAAGAATGAAGAGCGTGTGAAACAGGACGGACAAGTGAGATCTCTCAGGGTCCTGATGAGAGCACAGAACGCGATGGATGAATCGACTTCTCAGGGTCCATCTGTTGGTGCTGAGCGCAGAAGACGGGTTAGTTTTCTTTAGGTGCAGATCCAGATGAATACCTCACGATCCAGGGATGTTTTAGAACCTAGCAACAAATTTAAATAAGTTAAAAATATCAACAATCTACAAACATAAGGATTAAATGTAGAAATAAAAAACTCCAGACCACTCAGCAAAAATATTTTATTGAAAACTACTCCCCCATCCTTCTTGAAACATCATTTTTCCAAAAAAATTTAGGGAAGCTGACGAGCAGCGGCAACATTAATTAAGGGGAAGGAAAATAAATGAATTCTTGAATAAAAAGGTGTCAAAATGGGTTGAAAACTTTGCCAGTTCATGTCACTATATTGTTCAATTGATTCCCCCAAATTATTGAAGATTGTTTCTACACAATGAATATCCCCTCAAGAAGATATTTATACCTCTACAAGTGGAATTCTTTCCTCTGGGTTCTTCACCAACAGTTTCCTGATCAAATCACGTGCCTCTGTAATATAATTTATGAGTTAGAATGGAATATTTTGTACGAGTCTTTAAGGAATATTTAGTACGAGTTATTATAAGGAAAAGGTCAGTAGTTGCATTCCTACTGCCTAGGATAACAATGTTCTGATAGAAAGCTCTCTGCACTTTTTGCAGTGGACGCAGAGAAAAGAGTCGGCACATATGGAGGGAGCGAAGGCCAAGCAGCCCTGAACTCTATGCTCAATAAGCTAGTCTCCAACTAAACTACAGTACCTGCAGTACCCACGGCCGGGATACTAAGTCAAGAAATAGGAATAATAAAGAGCGGATATGTCTAATACTAATCCGGTGTTTTATCCACTCCACTTAGCGATCGGAGCCCTTTCTGGAAGGGTCCTGTCCCTGCTCCCTCTGCAGTGCTGATAAAAGAGGACTCTGCATTCTGCATGCAGCGGTGCACACTAAATGCGATGCATCCTATGGAATTCCGCTGGACTAAGAAACCGTATAACATGTAGGACAAATGGAGTGATTTAAACGAAACATTCCTAATACGCCACTCCTACAAACCCTTATCCTCATCTCCAAATAAAGTAAAAATGTGCGGTTCAAAGCAAAAAGAAACTAACTTGAATTGCAGGAGATGGGTACATGGACATTGGACATCTATACAATGAAAGGGTGATCGTGCACTGTGTTATAATGGTGCAAAGACAGAGACTAGTAATCATTCCTTCAAAAGCAGCGCCATAAATGGACGATTAAAGGGAGGCAAGGAAAAGAGAAACTGCGGACGTGCAGTCGGATTAAAGGAGAAAAAAGGACAGTTGAAATTATTAACTATGCCTCGTACTATTTTATTTTCCAAAAATTATAAAAATTAAATTGTAAGAACATTGTTAAAAAAAATAAAGAAAAGGTTGATGAATTCATTTGTTGAAATACAAACTTAAAAATATTATAAAATCTAAACTAATTAAATAGGAAACTCTACAAATACAAACTATGCACTGTGCAGTGTGCAGCTGCATAGCCTACAATAATAATATATATTTCACTATTTTAATTGAAAATCGTAAGAATTATCATCGAGCAACCTATGTTGTCTGGATCACCCTGTATAAAGTACGAACCTGCAGAAACATGATCAGGGAATTGAACTTGTCCAACACCCTGTATAATCCTCCTGTATGTGGCGGCGTTATCGGCAGCCTTAAGATTAAAAAAGTGTTAATGAAAATTTAAAAATAATCTGTTCAACTTAATATTTAATGGAATTTTATCACCCCTAGTCCGGGATACATGCTTGAATTTCTAATCTTTCTAGTGAGTATGAATCTGTCTAGTGAGTATAAAATCTATCTAGAAAGTATGAATCGGTCTAGTGAGTATTAATCCGTCTAGAATGGATCTGTCTAGTGAGGATGGATCTGACTAGTAAATATGGATCTGTCTAGTGAGTATGGATCTGTCTAGTGAGTATGAATCTGTCTAGTGAATATGAATCTGTCTAGTGAGTATTGATCTGTCTAGTTGGTATGGATCTGTCTAGTTGGTATGAATCTGTCTAGTGAGTATGGATCTGTCTAGTGAGTATGAATGTCTAGTGAGTATGGATCTGTCTAGTGAGTATTGATCTGTCTAGTAAGTATTAATCTGTCTAGTGAGTATGAATCTGTCTATAAGTATGGATCTGTCTACTGAGTATGGATCTGTCTAGAAAATATGGATCTGTCTAGTGAGTATGAATCAGTCTAGTGAGTATGAATCAGTCTAATGAGTATGAATCAGTCTAGTGAGTATGAATCTGTCTAATGAGTATGAATCGGTCTAGTGAGTATTAATCCGTCTAGAATGGATCTGTCTAGTGAGTATGAATCTGTCTAGTGAGTATGGATCTGTCTAGTGAGTATGGATCTGTCTAGTGAGTATGAATCCGTCTAGCAAATATGGATCTGTCTAGTGAGTATGGATCTGTCTAGTGAGTATGGATCTATCTAGTGAGTATGGATCTGTCTAGTGAGTATGAATCTGTCTAGTAAGTATGAATCTGTCTAGTGAGTATGAATCTGTCTAGTGAGTACGAATCTGTCAAATGAATATGAATCTGTCAAGTGAGTATGAATCTGTCTAGTGAGTATGAATCTGTCTAGTGAGTGTGTATCTGTCTAGTGAGTATGGATCTGTCTAGTGAGTATGGATCTGTCTAGTTAGTATGAATCTGTTTGGATTATCCTACCTCGAATGGTGGTTTACCGACCAGGAACTCATATGTAAGGATGCCCAAGGACCAGATGTCCACCTTCTCGTCGTGCATCTTTCCCTCGATCATCTCTAAATATCGTTGAACAATGTCAGAAAAAAGAGAGTTATCTTGAGCAGGATTTATATTCCTAACCCACCATAATTAGGTCTCAAATAACATTGGCAATATGTGGGTGGAGCGCTATGAATATTTTGGATTTCCCCGTCGAATCTAATCTTTTATGGAAAGTTAAATAAATATTGGTAAGAATGGTATAAGAAAAAAATATGAAAAATCTTAAGCAAAAAAAAACTATTTTGGTGGTTAATTAATGGGGAACGGATAATGGATATTAAATAGAAGCCCCATGAAAAACTGGCAAGGCCTCCCCCCCCCCCATCCCAATGATTTTCGAGGCTTTAAGCAAAAAATCGAACTTTATTATCAGGGTTTTTAAACACTAAAGTGATAGCTTTTCTCAAAAGTAAAACTTCAAAGACATAACTATGGGGAAAAGTTGCGGACAGACGCCAAACTTCCAAAAATATTCTAGGATACCGCTGTATTCGAGGATACCGCTGTATTCGAGGATACCGCTGTATTTTTTAAAAAAGAGGGGGGGCTGATTCGAGGATACCGCTGTATTTTTTAAAAAAGAGGGTGGGGGGCTGATTCGAGGATACCGCTGTATTTTTTAAAAAAGAGGGGGGGGGGTGCTGATTCGAGGATACCGCTGTTTTTTTTAAAAAAGAGGGGGGGGGCTGATTAGAGGATACCGGTGTATTTTTTAAAAAAAAGGGGGGGGGGTGCTGATTCGAGGATACCGCTGTTTTTTTTAAAAAAGAGGGGGGGGGCTGATTAGAGGATACCGGTGTATTTTTTAAAAAAAAGGGGGGGGGCTGATTAAATATCTATATTTACCTGGGGGCAGATAATCTAGGGTTCCACACATAGTTCCTCGTCTTGAGCTGGGTGCGTGAACAGACCATCCAAAATCAGCGATCTTCAGATCACCTAATGTCAAATAATTATTTTAAAAGATCGGGTAGAGTATCATGTGGGAGAACAAAGCAATAAGTTAAACTTAGAACGGAGAAAAGAAGGTTTAACATATTCTTAACCATTCCAGTCTAGCTCTGAAAAATACACGAGGGACAAGTATTAATAATTTAATTTTTTTATTTGCCCGATCCTATTAAAATTATTAATTTTGTTGAAACTGAACCAATGACTGGACTATTTTAAAAAGTAAAAGTGCCCCCCCTTCTCCCTCCAAACCGCCTTTTCCTTAATCTTTTAGTTGGAACTAACCTTTGATATCTAGAAGAAGGTTCTCGGGCTTTATATCTCTGTGTATAACCTGAAAACAAATGTTTCTCTATTGAACATAAAAAAAATTCGCTGAAGGATCAAAACTAGGCATTAGGGTGAAAGACACAGTGGTAGGCGATTATATCAATACAACGAAGATGACTTTCGATTTCAATTTTGATTTATATGAAGCTGTTAAACAGCATGGATACACATAAACAAAGAAGTCAAGAGAAGCTTTCAATTAAAAAAGCTTCTTTTAAACTTTTAATTCGAAAAAAGCTTATTAACAATTAAAATTTAAATAAAAAAGTTGTCTTCATTGTATTGATATAATTGCCTACCACTGTACTAAAATAAGAATTCAGGGTGATTTAGTCCATTTTTTCATTTTTGTTTGACAAATCTGAATATTGAATATGAAACTCTCCCAGTTTCTTACTGTCTGCCATTTAATAATTCCTGAAGAAACAGTTGTAATAACTTTAAAGGACACTAAATACACGAGATCTTGTAAGAGTACGATTCCTGCTTCTAAAATATTAAACTCGTCCTCAGTGTGATGTAAATATCGGGGACCTTTAAATTAATGACCTTGAGAGCGGGGATGGGTGGGAGGGCAAGGGCCTCAAATTTCCTGTTAAATTTTTTTTCTTACCTTTTTAGCATGACAGTAGATGAGAGCATCGGTCATCTGTCGAATATATTTACAAGACAACCTCTCGTCAAAATGTCCATCATGTTGCTTCTAAAAAAATCAATACGTCGTTAAATAGACAGTAGAGATAATTTCATTTCAGATTCACAACGGTATAATTTAATGCTTAACCCCAAATTAAGTTCCTTTTATAAAGAAACCGCATATATAATTACCAATTTTCAGAGAGAGATGCAAGTATTTCATCTAATATTGATCAGACAACGGTATAAAAGGTACCTTAGTAAATAGGACTGGATGGACACTTAAAAACTACGTTCACAGTCCCTTTAAAGGATCATGTGTGAACCACAATTTAAGTTTCATGAACAAACAATTGCAACCTTTAAATCAAATAGTTTAAATCTGAAAGGGAATACAACTCAAAGGAACGTTGCTTTCCTTTTTCCGATCAAATCTTAATAATCAGCATCCTCGGATCAAGAAGTTAGAGAGATTTGTCATCCAAGAATGGACGAGGGATCAAAATTAATGAATTGGAGAGGTCGCTCATCTACCTTTTTACACCCGGTTCAAACCATCACCAATATAAATCATTATAAATCACTGTGGATCGGCGATTCAAGATTTGAACCAGCAGTAGGTAATTCAGCGACCTTTCTCCAATTGATTAAATTCGACCCCAAGAATATATTAAGGATCCAGTGCTTAGGATCCGGATCCAGATCCGTTGGATCCGGAAGATTTTGGCCTCCTGGATCAACCAAAAACTGCAAAAAAAAAATTTACTCCTAAAACCAAAATCTGAACCTTTGAAAAAAAAGAGAGACTATAAAACCTTCCTCATTACTGAACGGTTCATCGAGTTTTTATGCGAAAAAAAAGAAAACAAAAAATTTGAAAATTATTTGTTGTTAAAAAAATTCAGTAAATCTTTAAGAATCCGGATCCGCATCAAAATTAAATGGATCCTAAGCACTGAAAGGATCGATTGGTTTAAATAAGTTTCAGAAGTTTTAAGGATTTGTATTTTGTTTTACCAAATATGATTCTATGCTTAAAACAAAAGTTTTGGGAAATCTAAGGAGTAGATGAATTATTTACAAATAAAAACATTTTTTTAGGGAAATTTACACTCTGTCGTATATTAATGTTATAAGATGTTTTAAGAGAAGAGATCTGAAAGAAGCCCCAGCTTAGGTAACCCAGACCGCCGCAGGTAGCGTCCTATCCCTAAAGATAAGATCAATCCTGTTTAAGATGTATAAGATTCTAACCCCCATGTAAAATATTTTTTTGCTGACATTTTTATAAAAATTGAATTCCTTGAGATTTTCTCACACCCGTCTAGAGTCTAGTAAAATGTATTTTTCAAGGGTATTTTAATTCCATTCCAGGCATAATTTTTCACTTTGAAATCAGAAGCTGACACCATAACAGAATTTAAAAGGCAAACATTTGACATCACACGATTACAAATGACACAAGCTACCTATTTGATATTTAACTTCCCTAGTATCAAGATTTCTCACCTAAGAATATTGTTGTGCCGAAGATGGGACTGGATTTCAATTTCACGCCTGCAAATAAATTAGATAAATACAATATAAAGGTAAATGGAATTAGCAGTCCCCTACAGAGAAATACAAAGTCGTTGAAATTGCACTGAAGAGGACTATAAATACAGTGAAAACAGGAGAGTGTTTAACAACTTAATCTCTGGTGTGAAATAGATTAATTTAAGACTTGAAATACAATTGTTATTTCAAATGCATATCAACGATTATATACGAAGTAAAATTCTGAAAATGGCCAGGTCTGGCAACCTGCTATTGGGAAATCTCGTGAAAAATAAGTACGGGGTAACAGTGGAAAATGTGCCCAGTTTGCTGTGCTAACGGACAGGACGTTGGGCCCAATGATGTACAGAGCGTCTCATATCATATTAGATTATCTCCAATCTTTAACACCAAAATAGACACTTAATACTCGAAAAACTTATCATTTTCCGCAAGAAAATATTTATGTAAGCCTTATGTTATTTTTCAAAATGGTTCATTCTAATAAAATTTTCTAATTAGTCCCGAAAATCGTAATTTAGACCCGATCTCGGTCTAATATGATGTGGGACACCCTGTATGAAATATATTAAAATAAATAGCATGTGGGTAAATTTAGCTGAACCCAAATAATTTATGTCAGACCAAAAAGTAATTGAGAATGCCATTGTTGGTTTTACAAAGGTCATAAACCACCCTCTGAACTGGGCCTATGTCCCAACTGGGGGTGGGTGGGTTGGTGGATGTCAACCTAAGGGCTCGGCATACTCAGGTTCCCGATAATCCCAGCACCCGGTACGCTTACATCCAGGGTTCAATAATAGAACATGCCCAAAGCTGGTTTTACAAGGGAATTAGACGATTAAGCATCATTAAGCTGCTACTGTAGAAATCCACGAGACCTTCTAAAGACAGTTACCAGTCGTGGTTTCAAACATTTTCATGTGGATAGTAAAGTGGTGAATCATTAACGGTAACCTAAAAGTTAAAATGCGCAACCTTGTGCATATGGGGGCAGGCGCGGCGCTATAAATACCATCCACCCAATCCCTCCTCACGGTATCTATAAGTGAACAGATGATATTTACCTGAGTTGATGTTCAACCTGGGCCTTCTGCAACTGGGACTTAAAGAGAACCTTTAAGGCGACGATGTATTTGCTCGCCTTCTCTCTCGCTAAATACACGTTCCCAAACTTTCCTTTGCCCAGAGGACGACCAATATCGAAATCAGACAACTTCCATTTTACCAGGATCCCTGAATAATGTACTGAATACAGATAAACTAGTTATTAAGCTTCAGCTAAAAAGGTAGTTTTTTTAATGTATCATTACGATTTAGAAGACAATCTTGTTTGATTTACAGGGTCTGTCTTGAGAGCTCCCCCCCCCCCACTCCTCCTCAAGTCAGCATCCTATCAATGTATACATGACCTGATATAAACTACATTTGACACGGAATTAACATAATTTATCTTCAGTTGCTTCAGAGTTAGAATCGGCTAGCGGGCCAAGCACTGCGGCCAATCCAAACTTCGACCAATTGGTAATACGTATGAGATTCATGGACAAATTAATTGATATTGATATAGAGGGGGGGGGGGGACAGTGACGTGGGTGTATGTCCAAAAAGCGTTCTCATAACCCCTTCGGCCTTCTTAAATGAATGAAAACTGCTTAAACTACTTCACATAAAAAACATCGGATCCGTCCTTGTTTACGATTTTTGGACCCCCCCCCCTCCTATCAATTTTATACATGGATCTTAATTGTATCACATGGTTATATTTATAGGTAATTCTTATCTTAGAGATAGGTTTGGTTAAGACGATTTCTGGGCCGAGCACTGCGGCTAGGGCAGGCTAGGGGTCGGGCGCTGCGGCCATATGACCAATAATATTTATGTGATACATACATATGAGATCCATGTACAAAAATTAATAGGAAGGGGAAGGTACTAAGAAATTACAAAAACATCTTTAAGCACGCAAATTAGAATAAGAATTCTTTCAAGTTTTAACCTTTCGGGTAATCAGGTCCGTAGGGATTTGTCTTCTTGGCCTCAACCTGCCCTTGGCCACCCTGCTCCTTGGTCGACCCAAGCACATTCTCTGTTGCCTTCAGAGGAACTCGATCTGCCATTCTTAACTATTCAGTCTGAAAACTGTTCCAAGAACGTTCGTATTAAACATAACAAATCTAAAATATACGATTTCTAAAATAAAAAGTGAACTCTCCCAGGAACCAGTAATTTCAATTAAAACATATTCTGACAATAATTTCATCTTGGTAATGGTCTATCTTTTTCAATAATTAATCGCTTTAATTAATTAAGTGCAGATTTCTACAAAGTGCATTCCTTATGAAAAAAGCATTATAATTAGCGTTGAATAATCCATATTAGAATCTCAAATTCTAAAATATGAGCGGCCGCGTGATTAAAAAATATCAATAATAACTTTCAATTCAGTCATATTCTGGTGACGAAATTAACGGAAAACAATAATCAAATTATGTGCACTGCATTCACTTCTATCAAAAATATCATGAGCTGATTACGTTAATTATGAAATTCGCATCTGATTCTTGATAAAGGAAAAAACCTTAAAATCCAGAATGGGAATGAGATGCCTCGAGTTTTTACACCGTGGAGGGTGAGGTTTGATCGGAATAGAGTGGATTTGAATTTTGCTCTCTGTCCGCGGGTATACAGAACAGGTTTTCCTTCCACTTCTGAATACGCTAGGGTGCACCTTATTTTAACTTCAAAACTTTAAAGTTATTTGTTATCGATAATATTTTTTAAAAATTTTAGTTTAAAAAATATATAAATTTGGAGAATTTGGGACAGGGTCACAGGAAGTTCGCTTTTTAATTTTTGTCAAAGGGCTTTGTATGATTTTTTCAGGTGAAAATAAATCTTTCACTGTTACATATTTCCGATTTTTTTAAAATTAAATTTATTGAAAAATATTCAAAAAATACCCTTTTTTGGTCGATTAAAAAAATGTTAAAATTCATTGTTTCATGTCACCCTGAGGAATTACTGGTATTCTGTCACACAAAACCCTCAGTCTGCCTACTCTACTCGTCTTTGTAGTGTACTCTAATGACGTCTTAGGAAGTTAGGATTGTTAGTAACAGCTGGTACATGACACAAATTCTAGTGCTCAGTGTTCACGAAAAACATGAAAGAATGAATAGATATTTGTCTGTTATTATTGTTATTATAAGCTCAAAAAACTTAAGTTTGCTGGTTTTAACCCTGTGAGACCAAAATTTTGTCAATATTTTAAGTTTATGTGTTGTATTGTTCACTTATCATAACGATCTTTTTCTCTCAAATCATGATTTAAGTATTTTTCAGATCGGTATAAACAAAGATGTCTTACGCTTACCTATTCAAATACATTATTATCGGAGATACAGGTATTTAAATACATTTTGATTATATACATTATTTACATTAGAGTATTGCACATATGTTTTGATAAATGTATGTTTATGTACAGCAAAACAGGCAAAATTTCATTTAGACCATTTTTGGTTAATTTAAACTCTTTGTGTTCATTTGAAGTAGTAGTCGCAGCGCTCGGCCCCAAGCCTGCCCTAGACGCAGCGCTCGGCCAGAAATGTCCTAGCCTAATTTAACCCTGAAATAATTCATACTGATTACTCGCCACAAACTGTAATCAGGTTTCAATGATATAAATATTAAAAAATTTAAGATTCATGTTCATTTGAACTACTAGCCGTAGTGCTCGGCCCTCTTGCCTGTCCTAGCCGCAGCGCTCCGTCCTCAAATTGTCTTAACTTAGCCTAACTCTGAAATAATACCTCGTGTGACTTTAGGGAAGGTTTATGCATGATGAATTTTCAAAAATTTGCGTCCATCAAAATTCTGTTTTTGAAAATTTTGAAAATCCACGATTTTTTTTTAATCTGCAAAATATTTTTTTGTTTTTGTTATAGAATGTACTCAAAGAGAACATATTCACAATTGAAATAGAAAATGGTTGCGAAGCGCCCCAATAGCTTAGTATGTTTAAAAAAAAGTATCTTCTTTTGCAAAATTTATTAGAGTGCTTAGCTTTTTCAATATTTAAACTCTAAAATGTGATGGAAAAGGGCTTGACTAATATATATATGCCCTATGGTTGAGTTTCTCTATGTCAATGTTGGAAAATCCGGCCTCCTTCTCCAAAATCAGGAGAAACATCTTAGCTATATTAATATATATATATAAAGTCCATGGCCTATGGTTCAACCCCTGTATGTTAACTGTTTTGGTGTTGAAAAATCTTTTTTTCCTGCTCAAATCGGGAGAATATAAAAATATATAGTTCTCTACAGTTGAGTTTCTTTATCTGTTCGGTTCCATAGTAGTTAACCTTTCGTGTAAGAATTGCCATTATTTCACAGTTTAGTAGGAACAATTTTAGTATTTTTCGCTTCCTAGCGTTTAAGAAAGCTTATTCTTACACTGTGGGTGAAGAATTTTCATTCTTTAACACTCAGATCGTGTAAGAATGGAAATTATTACATTGTCAGAGCGTGAAAGAATGTATGTATATTCTTACACGCTCCGAGCATTAAAGAATGGAAATTAGTTGAAGAATATCCATTCTCACAGACTCCTTTTATTGATCTTTTAAAGGAAAACATACTTACTTACCTTTTTCGTTTTTGAAGTATTGACATACCTTAACTCAGTAATTTCCATTTAAATCTTAACCCTAGTCCTGACAAAAGAGTAACATTTCTGACCTTACCTTAAAAAGATAAACAATGTACTATAAGCTTTCCATTGGATATTTTCATCAAACTACCAAGTCTCAAAGCATACTGCCTGATTGCCTACTTTATTCAACTCTTTTTTTAGTTTTTCTTCATTGCAAACCAAGTTTGGTGAGATTTTGCAAATCTTTGCATATTTGTAATAGTACGGTCAGAGCTTGTTAAAATGTAAAGGTTTGTCATGTCTTCACAAAAAGTTTTAAGTACCTCAGCCTGAGTCAGCAGTCACCATATCTCGCATAGCTCGAGATGATGAAGTAAAACCACAATCAAAAGTAACAAATTTTAGTTTATAAAAACTTATCATTGAAACACTAGTGTCACCAACTTAGATAACCTGCTTTTCTCTCCTCTTTTTGGAAGATTTCGGATCTAATATCCAGCAAATGGTTTCTTCTGTAAATGATTTCACGCTTTTGTTCAGTAGATTGAGACAACCCACTACTATTCTCTAACTTCTCTCCATGTAAAAAACTCTGGGCACATTCAACATGCCAAATCTAAATATAGCATCAACTTAAATAAACAAACAAGCGAATGCATTATAAATTAGTAAACAACAAACTAAGAAAACAATCACACCACATGCATTATTTACTAATAAAGAAACTATTTTTACTTACAAAAGTGTTTTTAACATTGTTGTAACATTAGAAAAATTAAAAAATTACTAGTAAGGACAAGGGCATTGTAAAAACTTATTTGCAACCCTTCATAATGTCAATTATTTCAACTTGATAAACTCGTATTTCACACGAATTTATAACTTCTTGGGTATTTGCTCATGGAACCTCACAAATATTATATAATATTAATCTTATGAGGATAAAAATGTAATAATGAAAATTCTTAAACGCAATGAAATAATCTTGATGTATTCTTTAACGAAGGCCGCAGAATTTCAATCATTACTTTTTTTTCCTCATAAGATTATCGTAATATTAATAAATACATGTGGCTGTATATGGTTGAGCTTCTGCATTTTTAGGTGGCGGAAAATCCTGTCTCCAATAAAACAGATTTATGAATATATACCAGCACTATGATTGAGCTTCTGTATGTTTAGGTGTTGGCAAATCCTGTCTTCTTCTCCAGTTTACAGATAAGAGGTTCCAACCTGTTCATGATCTAACTATCGGAGTCGAGTTCGGAGCCAGGATGATCAATATCGAGGGGAAACAGATCAAACTTCAGATCTGGGATACGGTATGCAACTTGATCTAACTTTACTCAATTTATAATTTTTCCCCCGCCCCCTAAAAATTAAAGGGTTTTTTATGAACGTAGAACGTAAAGTAATTTTGGGTAAAGCGAATCAAAAAGGGTTGGAACCTTGCCATTTTTTATTCAATTTCTTCAAACCATAAACCTTTCAGTGATAAATTCATTATATTCTTCATTTTTTTCATAACTTCTACAAGCATAATAATCTCAAAATAAACTTCTTATTATGATAAATTTTTCATCACTAATAGGATGAGGCAGGATTATATCATTAGAATTTAGATCTTACATTTGAATTTGATATCTTTATTTCTCAAAATAATCCAGTGTAAATATACGAATAAAATCATAACATAAGGAGGGAGGGTAATTTCTATTCAACTGCAGGGTTACCCACAAAGGATGAGAAAACGAATACTAAATGGTTGACTCTAATTTCATACATGTTCAAAGTTCCCTGCAGCGTTGAAATTGCCTTATAATTTATAATGCCTAAAATTAAATATATTCAAGGCAGAACACTGAAGCAAACCTTCTGAAAGTCAGTTTTTGGTCTTCACTGAAGTCTCATTCTTAGCGTATAACATTGTATATGAAACCCTAAGCAGTCCTTCTCCTTATTCAATTTCCACCCTCCGGAAACCATACTTTCTAGGCTTCTTAGTTTATTGTCTAGCTCTGACTCACAGCTACATGTTCCATTTTTCACACAAACTTGCGACCCCCCACCCCCCTCTCCTTCTCCGTATTACTCAACTTTCTGAATATTAAAACATCGTTAAAATTTCAGGCAGGACAAGAAGCGTTCCGTTCCATCACCAGATCCTACTACAGAGGTGCAGCAGGGGCTCTACTAGTTTACGATATTACACGCAGGTAGGTTCAGGGACCCTACTAGTTTACGATATTACACGCAGGTAGGTTCAGGGACCCTACTAGTTTACGATATTACACGCAGGTAGGTTCAGGGACCTTACTTCTTTACGATTTTACAAGCAAGTGGGTTCAGGGGGCCATACTGAATGTTGTCCAGAGTGTATAAAACTAAGGATAAAAATTATAAGCAGTTTAAAATATTGAGATGATACGTAACTCTACTATAGGCTTCTGTGCAAATTATTCTTCTCATAAAATAAAATCATATCAAAACCATATCATCTAAAAAAAATTACCAGATTAAATCAAACGTAAACAAACACTAATTAGATAAAATCAAATTGATATTTAATTGAACAGTAAATAAAACTATCTGGTCATAATAATTAATTTATTTTTCCAGAAAGCTGGGGAAGTGCGCTATATAAAGAACCTTTACAAAGCTCAGAATTTAATGGGAAGAGATTTTTATGAATTCAGACATAAAAAACTTTGAAAACTTGAAGAACTTGAACAAAAGAACTTTGGCTTGTATGGACAGTAGAGAAAAAGTAACATAACATCTGAGGAACAAAAATAATTTTTAAGATGTTATGGAATGATTTTTGAAGAAGAAAATATACACCCCTGAATGTTTGTAAAATGCAATTTGTTTCAGAGACACATTTAACCACCTGACCACGTGGTTGGAGGATGCCCGGCAGCACAGCAACAGTAACATGGTCATCATGCTCATCGGTAACAAGAGGTAAAACACTAACACAGAATTATTTTTGAGCGTTTATTGAGAGAAGAACGGAAGATATTAGGGAAGGTGTTGTTTACAGCTAAAATCAGAGTTAAGATGATTTATGTCTCATTTCTCAAGGATAAGATGGTTCATGTCTCAAGACTATTTTAATTTAAGATGATTAATGTCTCATGTCTCAAGGTTAATATGGTTTGTTTTAAGGTTATTGTTTAGTGTAAGATGATTAATGTCTCATTTTAAAGTTTAAGATGGTTCATGTCTCAAGACTATTTTAATTTAAGATGATTTATGTCTCATGTCTCAAGGTTAATATGGTTTATGTTTCAAGATTATTGTTTAGTGTAAGATGATTAATGTCTCATGTTTGAAGTTTAAGATGGTTCATGTCTCAAGACTATTTTAATTTAAGATGATTTATGTCTCATGTCTCAAGGTTAATATGGTTTATGTTTCAAGATTATTGTTTAGTGTAAGATGATTAATGTCTCATGTTTGAAGTTTAAGATGGTTTATGTCTCAAGACTATTGTTTAATTTAAGTTTAATTTAAGATGTTTTTTGGTCTCATGTCTCATGGTTAATATGTCTTATGTCTTAAAGATTATTGTTTAGTGTAAGAATATCAATGTCTCATGTTTGAAGTTTAAGATGGTTCATGTCACAGGACTATTGTTTAATTTAAGATGATTTATGTGTTATCTCGTGAAGTTTACGATGGTTCATGTCACAGGACTACTGTTTTTAATGTAAGATGTTAATGTCTCATGTTTGAAGTTTAAAAGGGTTCAAGATTTTTGTTAAGTTTAAAGATGATTTATGTCTCATGTCTCAAGTTAAATATGGTTCATGTCTCAAGATGTTTGTTAAGTTTAAGTAAGTATAAGATGATTTATGTCTCATGTTTGAAATTAAATATGGTTCATGACTCTTGATTGTTGTTTCAATTTCATCACCCCTCCATCATCACAAACATTAAGTTTCCGCTGATCCCACTCAAGATTGTTTGTAAAATAAAAAGATTAAGTTTAATCTAATAAAGAGCTGGATTCGTAGAATTTTTAATCTTTGAAATTCGATCTTGGTAATAATTTGATAATAAACATCTAAAATTTCCAAATTTTAATATTTATCTCTATTTAAGCTGTTGTTTTAATAATAAACTTTCTTTTCTGAAACCACCAGTATTAAGGTTGAAAAAAAGGAAAACAAATTTTATAAACTTCGTGGCCATTTTTTATGTTTTTAAAATTTTTCAGTGATCTCGAGGCGCGCCGTGACGTGAAGAGAGAGGAGGGAGAAGCATTTGCCAGGGAGCACGGTCTTATCTTCATGGAGACATCGGCCAAGACGGCCGCTAACGTCGAGGAGGCGTTTATCAATACTGCTAGGTGCGTTTCTCACAGAGATCCACATAGATATGAAAATTATATATAATCAATTTAGATTTGTTTGACCTTACCTGCCTTTTTATGTTTTGCAGGAGTAATTGGCAAAATCCTTCATTGATTTGCACTGTTTTTGAGAAAAATAACAAAATTTACCAACTAAATCTAAATCTTGAAAATTATAACTGGAAGTGTTTTGTTTAAATTATTATTAGCAAATTAGTTAATTTTTTGTAGAAAGAAATTTTTAATATTTATTAACAAAGTATTAAATATTTAATGTTCTTTTTCAGGGAAATTTATGACAAGATCCAGGAGGGTGTCTTTGACATTAACAACGAGGCGAACGGGATAAAGATAGGTCCTCAGCACGCTGGTAGCGGTTCAAACCAACCGGCCGGCGGTCAGAACGCCGGAGCTTCAGGAGGATGCTGCTAAATAAAGGAAGGGAACGAATATAATTTGACTCTAAAAGGAATTTGTTGCTTTACTTAAATGTTTATTATTATATTTTCTTAAAAATTTAAACTCGTAAGATTCGTTTTTATCAGAAAGATTCTGCTTATCTTGCATTTCCATCCCATTCCTAACCTGGCTATTGCACTGAGAACTGTACTGAACATAGAACAGATGATCAGGCACCACGTGCTCTAAACAGCAGCTGACTAAACTGTACTTATGTTAAGTGTATCAGCTGTTCTAGGAAAATTCATCGGATTTTGAGTTCCTTATGTTCGTTCCCTAATTAGTTTAAAGGCATTAACAAAAGTTTTCTTTAAAAAAATATAAGGAGATCAAGAAATGCCAAAAATCCAATGCGAAGATGATCTACAACTATGTACTATTAAGCACCCCATTTGCACGGAAATGTGTAAACTATTCTGATTTACATGAATCAGTATCAAGTACTTTTCCCTATATCCGCCATCAGTGCTCTCTTTCTGTAACAGTAAGCTAAATATTTCAAACAAAGACCAGGACTTCCCCCCCCCCATCCCCATGTACCAGTTTTTTTTCTACAAATCGATGATTGATAAATTTTAATAGATATACAATTATTTAGCTTTGTTATTTTTAGTTTGTTCCAAGTTTAGCTTATTTAATGCTATCACTGATTTACCCGAATGTTGAAGAAAAAATTTGTAGCAAGATATTAAAATTACACAGAAACTATTTTAGACCAAACCTACTTTTTATTTCAATTTTTTAACCAGTAATTGTACTATGTCTGTATAAGGTTATTAAATGCTAGTCTTTGCATCATGAATGGATGTAAATGTGTGCGTAAAAATACGCTTGTATAGTTTAAATTTGCGTAAGTATGTCGGGAGTTTATTGTTGCACAATCGTTATTTCATCAAATATATCAAATTTACTCGTTTTTTTTTAACTAGAATAGAAATCTTTTTTAAATTTCCCCGTTAACCTTTGTATGCGCTAATTAAAAAAAATTTAATATAGTAGATAAAAAAATCGGGGAAAAGTTCTCAAATGGATGATTTTTATTAAACCAATTTTCAGGATTCACATAAAAAATTGATAGTTTTAAAAATTCTCAATGTCCGATTTTTTTACTATCTATTAAAATCTACCCTGGCCACTTCTATAAAATTATGGCCGGCGCGTTTGGTTATGTAAATTCACAAGGAACAATTTGTTCTAAATCTCTCCCCGCCTTTCGTTCTTTTCATCATAAATTAAAGAATAAAATTATTTTGTTTAATAAATTGAAACCATTTTGGAAACCTTTAAATATGAAAAACTAACGAAAACTGAATCCTTTAATGAGTTTTGTCGAAAAAAGGTTGCCCATCACTGTTTACTTTGATTCGATTCGATTCGATTCGATTCAATTCGATTCGATTCGATTCGATTCGATTCGATTCGATTCGATTCGATTCGATTCAATTCGATTATATGTTTATCTGTTCCCCTGAACCCTGATATTTATTAGTTAGAAGTAGTTCAATCAAATCATGGACAGTTAATATACGATTTTTTTTTTGAGAAAGGATTTAAGCTTGTTTTTTTTTCGTATTTCATATAATGATTGAAATGAGTTTGTTTTTATTCAACAAAGGTTTCTTATCTTTTCAAATTGTTGTACATTTAACTGTACATCAAACTAAGTACATATTTTTACTACTAATGAGCATGGTTTTTTTATTTAGTCAAATTTTTGGTACATACATTCGGGTGACATGTTTGATGTACAGGGATTGGGTACAAAACTTCAATTTTAATTGTAAATACAGATGATCTGTACCTTTGTGATCTTGTGATTGTATTTGATGTAAAAAAAATATATTATTTAGTTGTCAGTTTTGTAAACAAGTAAACAAACTTTTACCAAGATTTCAGAAGAAAATGGAGCTGGTTATAATTTTCAGAGAAACGCATAAAAAGTTGCAGTACTTTCATTGCTTTTCATTATCTTTTTTCTTAATCTTTTTGTATATTCCTTTCTCATTTCTTCAAGTTCACAAACCTTAGAGTAAACACCGACCCACCGTTTTCCATTCTCTACCCTACCCTATGCATAAAAAAAAAAATTAGCAAATTTGTTCACAACTATGATGTTGAAAAGCTAACAAGTTTTAGCGTTCTGAAGGCTTTTAAGTTATTCAGAATAAACCATTGCGTGCACTAAAAGTGCACCCCCCCCCCCCTACATAAATACTCTCGAAGGCCCAAAGAATGAGACTAATATTGATTCCCCGGAACTCTTAAATAATAACCGTACAGTTGAATCTGGGTTTGTACGACTTGAAGCATTTAAGACCTAAAACTCTAAAGCTAAGGCTACAGGTTAAATTTGCTCTAATTCTTGAATAAAATTTAAAAATGGTATTTTAATGATTATTCAAAGACAGAAACTAGTTCCCAATTGCAAAGAAACATTGACACAAGAAAAAAGAATTAAATCCGTGCAGTATTGTCTGACGTTTCATCTTTTGTGGGCCTACAAAATAATTATACCAGTTGTAATGGCAAACTAAATGATTTGGCAACGAAAGGAGCAAGTTCACAATCGTATGTAAATGTAAAAAGACGAGTAATTGTATTTTTATGGTCTCAGAACTGGGATATCTTAAAGGATAAGAATTCGAAGACAGTTGACTTAATTCAGTAAATTTTCTTTAATTCATGGTCTCCTGTATTGGCCGACTTTCAAAATCATCTTCTAATCATTCGCATACAGGCTGTTACCCAAAAAAGATGAGACTTAGAGGCCACTGTCCTGTTCTCCCTAGAACCAGAATTAAGCTTTTTTACTAAAGATATCATTTAGTAGATCATTTAAAGGCCTAGCTTAAAACAAATGACCAAATTCAACCCTTAGATCATTTTTAAAAAGAATTTTTGGTCGTCATTTAAGTTTCTTTCTTTGTTGGTAACGCTGTACTTAAGGCAGGATTCAAAGTTAAACCTTATTTGAGCTTGGGTGCTTTACCACCGAACGCTGCTGTTCAAATCCTTAATCACCGATTCAAAGCTAAAGATTCATGAGGATTGTTAAAAGGCAGTTCAGTGACCATTCTTAAATCAGTATATTCGGTCCTTGGTCAAGTCACGTTGTCTCTGATAATAAATTTGAAATGTTTTTAGATTTGAATCGATCTCAAATTATTCAGAACAATGTTTGATGTGTTATATGCAATTTGAATACGTAACATCATAAAATATCATTAAAAATGATCTTATTTGTCAACCTCCAACAATTTCATGTCTTTGACGGCACAATATTAAAAATTTAGATACAATCAGATTAAAATTTATTGTATGATAATTTTGAAACTTTTTAATCAACTACTTAATCTTTATAAATCTGTAAATGTGACTCGTGTCGTTTTTGAAATGTACAAGGTTTATCTCGTTAAGACTTGAAAGATTTAATCATATTAGAGCTGATCAGAGTTAGAACAAAGTTCCATTGCTAGGTGATTCTCCTAGGAGTTCCTCTTTATCTGTAGCATTTGTAGAACCCAAAGCAAGCCCGTTCTCTGTAACTTCGGTGTTACAAGATCGTTTGTGTAACATTTGCTGATGCTTGGTTTCCCACCACAGTTTGGTTTTCCGGGGTAGTTGTAGATTTATTGATCATCAGACTGCTTGGATCAATAATATCAGGACTACCTACAGATTTATTGATCAGTAGACTGCCCTGATCAATGTTATCCGGGCTACTCGGATCACTAATATCCGGGCTAGTTGGATTACTGATATCCAGGCTAGTTTCGGAGTTATTGATAAGTAGCCTGCTTGGATCAATAACATCAAGGCTGCCTACAGACTTATTGATCAGTAGACTGCTCGGATCAATGATATCAGGGCTTGCTACAGATTTATTGATCAGTAGCCTGCTTGGATCAATAACATCAAGGCTGCCTACAGACTTATTGATCAGTAGACTGCTCGGATCAATGATATCAGGGCTTGCTGCAGATTTATTGATCAGTAGACTGCTCGGATCAATGATACCAGTGTTATCGTTCATTAGCCTGCTTGGATCAATAATATCAGGGCTACCTACCGACTTATTGATCAGTAGACTGCTCGGATCAATGATACCAGGGGTACCTGCAGAGTTATTGATCAGTAGACTGGTCGGATCAATATCATGGCTACCTGCAGAGTTATTGATCAGTAGACTGCTCGGATCAATAATACCAGGGCTAGCTGCAGATTTATTGATCAGTAGACTGCTCGGATCAATGATATCATGGCTACCTGCAGAGTTATTGATCAGAACACCACTCGGATCACTGATATCCGGGCTAGTTGTAGAGTTATTGATCAGTAGCCTGCTTGGATCAATGATATCATGGCTACCTGCAGAGTTATTGATCAGTAGACTGCTCGGATCAATAACATCAGTGCTAGTTGGGGAGTTATTGATCTGTAAACTGGTGGTATTAACGACATCAGGTCTAGCTAGTACAGAGTCTTTCATCAATAGACTGCTCGGATTAATGATATTAGGGCTGCCTTCGGAGTTATTGATCTTTATTCCATTTTCATCACTAGATTCCACCTTAAATGTGTTGGCTAAAGCTTCTAAAGAAGGTGTTGTATTATTTGATGGAGTTATTGGATTAAATATTTGGGGATTGCTGGTAACAGTTAAGTCCTCTTCCTCTTCAGCATCTACTGGTTCTGAATAATTATCGTTGGAACTCTCCAGTAATTTTTCTATTATTGTTAAATTTTGGAACAATTTTGGCGCAGTTTCTGTTAAATTGTGCAATAATATTGCACTGTCTGTGATATTTTGAGACAAGGTTTCGAAAGCTTGGAGATTTTGCAACAGGGCCTCATTTGCTGAAGAAGCAGAATCTTTAGAATATGTAGACTCCAAGTGTTTTTCCTTTGGTAGTGAGATTGGGACAGAACTTATAAAATTACCCGCGGCATATCCTAGATTAGGAACAGGTACTGATAGCACAGGATCTGATAAATCATTTCCTGGGTTACTTAGCGCTTCAGAATGGGGCAGTTTCTCTGGTAACAAAGCTCCTCCTGGTTCTTCAGTAGATGGTGATAAATCTGCAGGGTTGGGTTGGGTTTGCTCTTGCACTGGCTCCAGGGGCTCCGGGTTGAGTCTGAGTCTTGCTGGAGGGACTGTAATATCTGGATACGCAGTAACTTTTACAGAAGGGACTGAATTCAAATAAGTGGGAGAAGAGATTGTGTTTATTTGAGTAACAACTTGATTAACCGGAGTAGGTATTGTGTTTATTGAAGGAGGGCCCAGGTTTTCTTGAGTTTGGATCGGGCTCGGTTGAGATAGAATAGGGTTCATACGAGTAGAAATCGTGCTCATTTGTGCGAAAATTGGGTTGATAGGAGTAGGGATTGGGTTCATCAGAGTAGGGATCATGCTCATTTGTGCGGGGATTGGGTTCATGGGAGCAGGGATTGTATTAATTGGTGTCATTGGATTAGGAGTTGGATTAATTGGTGTAGGGATTGGGTTCATCGTTAATGAAGATGGGTTGTTCGCTGTAAGGATTATGTTCATTGGAGTTTGGTAACTAGGTGCAGGGATTGTGCTCATTGTAGTAAGGATCGGATTTGTTTGACTGGGGATTGGATTCACTTCAGTTACGAACGAATTGATCAAGGTTTGGTTTGGGTTCTGCAAAAGTGGGATCATTGTTGATCCTTGATTTAAAGTTTCTCCTTGAACTCTGAAAGTCTGCGGGAACTCGACATGTTCATTGTACTCATGAACCCTGGTGTGTGGGGGCCAGGAGAGGGTTTTCTCCTGCTGAACCCTGGCAGAGTCCGGGAAGTTGATGGGCTCCTCCTGGGTGCGGGAAGAGCTGGGGAGCTCAGCTATGATCTCAGGTTTTTCAGTGCCTGAGGCTAGACTCTGATCATCTATCATACTCCTAGTCTGGGTCTAAACTTCAGAGAAACTTCAAACAAAAATGAGTTTGAGAAGAAATAATCATGATCCAACAATTTAGGGAGGTTTTAAAAGAAACAAGGGGTCTCCACTGTAAGTCGGTGAATAGTTTTTCAATTATTACTTCCCAGACTCGAAGAAAATTGATTTAAAACAGGGTGTCCCAGAATACCTTTAATCGCAAGAAAAAGAAATGACAAAAATCATCCATATGTTGGTTTCTTTAAAATTCAGAAGCTATCAACCATGTCATATAGTTATCTTGGGACACCCTGGCTAGAAAATGATGCAGTCGGTAGCTTCATTCATTTTATTCAACCAGATATGGCAGATTTTACAAATAAATCATTCCATAGAATCAATAGATATTGTGGGACAACTTGTGCATTCATGATTTATTTCATTTAATGTACTCGTTTCTCTGCAGCCATTTCCCTCTGTGATTCAAGATCTGAAAAATAATTCAAAATTTTCGTAATTTTCAAGAAAAATATAAGATTTTTTTGTATTTTATATTTACCAGATAATATTTCTTTTGTAAGCTTCTGAGAATTAATTTCTGAATGACAGAGTTCCAGAGCAGTTTTCTGCTGGGATACTAACTAAAGTTGCATAAAATAAAATAAAATTTTTAATGCTAATTTTAAGTTTTAGTTGTAAAATTATGAAACCAGCTAAATATAAATATTTTATTGATAAATATTAATATGATTTGTATATTTGCTAACAAAACTAATTGTTCAACTAAATATTTTATAGATAAATATTAATATGATTTGTATATTTATTGATAAATATTGATATGATTTGTATATTTGCTAACAAAACTAATTGTTCTACTAAATATTTTATAGATAAATATTAATATGATTTGTATATTTGCTAACAAAACTAATTGTTCTACTAAATATTTTATTGATAAATATTAATATGATTTGTATATTTGCTAACAAAACTAATTGTTCTACTAAATATTTTATTGACAAATATTAATATGATTTGTATATTTGCTAACAAAACTAATTGTTCTCCTAAATATTTTATAGATAAATATTAATATGATTTGTATATTTATTGATAAATATTAATATGATTTGTATATTTATTGATAAATATTAATATGATTTGTATATTTGCTACAAAACTAATTGTTCTACTAAATATTCTGCAGAAGTGAGTCTTATATTTGAATGTTCCAGAAAGAATATGGTAAATTAATGGTCAATTACTCAGAAAATTGAGCTGAAATGCAAAATAAATTAACACACCAGAATGATGATGCAAATGATGATGATGATGATGATAATGATAATAATGATAATGATAATAATGATAATTATAGTGATAATGATAATGATGATAATAATGATGATGACAATGTTAATTATGAAAAGAATAAACAATGAACACTATTTAGGTAACCCAACTATCGAACAATTACCTGATTAAGACCATCGAAGAGTTCCTGTTGTTTATTCTCTCTGGTGAGGCTGACGGTAGCCTGGAGACTCCTCTGCAGCTTGGCCACCATATCCTCGAGAGGTCGGTGCGCCATTGCCATTGCAGAGAGTTCATCTCGCAGTCCGTGGACAGCTCGGTCTCTACATGGAAAAATTATAGTGATAACTAATAAAATACTAATGAATACAAAAAATATCGATGAATATGATGAATTCTTAAGAGATCAACGAATATGATGAACACGTAATATATCTATAAATATTGTGAATATTATAGATATCGATGAATGTGATGAATTCTAAAATATCAAGAAAGTGCATCTGGAAAGTTTCGAATGCAGAATTGCAGATTCTGAATAAGTTTCCAACTTGAAACTTTAAGATGATTTAACAGCAAGATAGCACAAAGATGGAGGAACAAGTTCATCAGAAATTGTTTTAAAGTTTTAAAAAGCAATTCATAAAACTCTTCGTCTATACATATATATATATATATATCTTTATGTTAGCGATTTCTGGTCGAACCTTTTTGGGGGTGATAATTGCAAAAGAAAAATTTAAAAATTAGTTTTTTTAAATTCAAGGGCAACGCCAGCAGTCCAGCTAGTTTTCTATACAAGGTGTCCCACGAAACATGACAGTATGCAGGCCGACTTGAATGTCGTCTTGATTTTTGATATAATTTGCTGCGTTTATTTGTCAATCTAATTTTAGAAGTAAATTTCTAGAGATAATAATCACAAAATTTCCCTTGTTCTGCCATTTCCAAAATGTGGTCTGCCTTTTTTGTGCTTTCAATATTGCCCGAGATATGAAGAATTTCGTTCAGATTTCGACAATTTTGCTTTTATTTAACAAAATTGAAATCTGAACCAAACTCTTTATATCTCCGGTAATATTGAAAGCACAAAAAACCTCGACCACTTTTTGGAAATGCCAGGGCTAGGAGAATTATGTGATAATTGTTTCAAGAATCATACATGTTAAAGTAGATAGAAGACTAAATGTCACAAATAAATTCAAATACCAAAGACGACTTCCAAATCGACTTACAATTGTCATGTTTCGTGGGACACCCTGTATAAGAAAGCTCTTCGTATGCTAGTTTTCTATATAAGAAAGCTCTTCGTATACATATATATATTTATTTGTTAGATATAGCTGGCCAAACGGCTGAAACAAATTGGCTGAATTTTATTTTAGGGTAACCTGGGGGTTAAGTTAAAATAATTACAAATTTTTTATATTCCACGGACAGCGCCGGGGACTTCAGCTAGTTATTCTAGGAAAATCCCAAATATTTTTATTCAATTGTTCTAAGTGTTCTCTGTCTGAAAAAAATGCACAATTCAAGTCGGAAATATATTTCGGTGCGTTTTTGCATCCTCGTCAGACCTAGGACAGATTTTACCAACAAGGTTATAGCGTATAGAGTGATGATGTACGCTAATCCTTTACTAACTGTATAGGCCATAAATTATACCGAGAGCGTACTGCATATTTGTTTATTATAAGGAGGTTCTGGCCTAACCTATAGTATATCAATATTAGTGAACAGTTGTAAGTGTTATACATTACAACTAACTGAGCACACAGGTAGAGAACTATCATCCCCTCTGGATTTTACCAATATGAATAGTGTGAACAGGCAGTTATTGCAAAATATTTAAATCTTTAACATAAATAACGAAATTCAACTTTTAACAGAGAAAAATGGATTTGTAAGCACAACCAATCATTGTTTTAGATACTTGTTAATAATCTGTCAATAACATGGGATAGAATTAGAGCACAACTTAACTAAATGGTTCGGAAATTACTCTTTTGGAAAATTTTCTGACGCTGCCTAGACGAAAATTGACGAGAATTCAATCAGACAAGTGTTGTGGGTATTTTAAGTTTGTAATTTGTATTGAACTCATTGAACAGTGATCTTAGAAAGTTTTAGTGAAAAACTTATTATGATCCGGAGTATTTAGTTCTGTTTGATAATTTGAAGTTCAATACTACACTTCCGCGGTATAAAACAGAACTGAACCTCCAAGTATTTCTGATTTTAAAAGAGCAGTGCGGTCTTGTGGGATTGTTTGTGTTGGTGTACAGAAGTAAGTTCAGCGTATGTTTATCCAATCAGTAAGGTCATTTCACGCACTGAGCTTCCTCATATAGAGATAAAATGTCCTGCCTTTATTTTAATCAGAAATTCTTCTGGGCCACAGAAAGATGGTGCTCACGGTTTTCAGGGGTCTGTAGACGTGATTTTCCATGTTAATGTTGACTGTCAGAATTATACTTGTCCGGTATCCACTGTGGGACATGGCCTGCCTAACATTGTTGCAGAAAACGCGCTGGGTCAACTTCATGGAAATAATAGACGGGCTGGTACAAGCAAACACTAGACCGGTATCCTTGTATTGCAGCTTGGATCATGCAACAATAAATAGTACCCGGGCATATATACCCGCATATCCTATGTCTGAGCAGACATATTACAGTTATCCCTGTTTTCTAACTAAAAGTTGATTATTTTTATTTTTGCCATTCATAAATATGGATGGCGTTTGCAATTACGTGGACGAACCTTTCAGGTTAATTTTGGAAATAACAATTGTTAGAATGAAAATAACGCCAAAATACTTACTTGCAAGTTGAAATTTTGTCCACCATTTCATAAACTGTATTCTGCAGAATTTTTAGTGCCGTATCACGGGCCTGTAAAATAAACAGAATAAAAATTAAAATTCTAAACCTTTTTTGTTTAAATTAATTTTAAGGTTCCACGCATTGCACCAAATTGTGGCCCTTTTGTAATCTCTAAAAATTATTTTTAAAGGTAATTCTTGAAATTTCCTTCTTTCAAGTACCCTTATTCCTAGGTTTTTTTTTGCTTTTGTCACTCATATTTATACTTATTTAAAATAATTATCTATATTTTGATCGAATTTTCTATTTATATTTACATATTGTGAAGTTAAATATAAGTTCGTTCTTAGTTAATCTAAATCATCTTGTTCTATACCTATAATCCACCCTAACCTAAAACAGAGCTCAGAATTGGATAAATGTTTTAAGTGTTGTTAGGCTATTAAAGGAAACAGAAAATTAACTTTTTATTTAAAGTTTAATACTGCAATTCGGTCGAAGTAATTTTTAATTTATCTTTTAGGAATTTGTTTTTTAAATGGTTAAAATACGTTTTATTTGTCTTTTTTGGTTACCTTTTCATATCTATTCTGTTTTCCTGTCCATATATATTCTGTTTTCCTGTCTATATATATTCTGTTTACCTGTCTATATATATTCTGTTTACCTTTTATATCTATTCTGTTTTCCTGTCCATATATATTTTGTTTTCCTGTCCATATATATTCTGTTTTCCTGTCCATGTATATTCTGTTTTCTTGTCCATATATATTCTGTTTTCCTGTCTATATATATTCTGTTTACCTGTCTATATCTATTCTGTTTACCTGTCTATATCTATTCTGTTTACCTGTCTATATATATATATATATATTCTATTTACCTGTCTATATCTTTTCTTTTTACCTGTATATATCTATTCTGTTTACCTGTCTATATATATTCTGTTTTCCTGTCTATAGCTATTCTATTTACCTGTCTATATATATATTCTGTTTACCTGTCTATATATATTCTGTTTACCTGTCCATATATATTCTGTTTACCTGTCCATATCTATTCTGTTTACCTGTCTACTCTATATATCTATTCTGTTTACCTGTCTTTATCTATTCTGTTTACCTGTCTATATATATTCTGTTACCTGTCCATATCTATCCTGGCAGAATGAAAGGGATTTCAAATTAGCGAGTGCTTCATATTGTGCTTTTATTAGTTTCTCCTTTGCTACACAGCCCTGAAGTAAAATACAATATTTATTTATAGGAATTGATAAATATTTTTTCCTGTCCTATCCACTTCCACATTCGGCCAGAGAGCTAGTCTTAGTTTTAAGTCACTAAAATATGTTTATATATTCTATATATAACCGGGGTAAAAGTTATTCCTTTAAAATGTCATCTTCAAATCATCCAACAAAGAATATTCATTTGAGAAAATGTTTTGCTTGTTTTTACAACCAAAATGCGCAATTATAAATAGCGGCAAGTGTCATAAATTTTTTTTATGTCTAAAATTGCAATGAAATGGTTAAAATACTAGGGTGGATGAACTAAATCAAGACACCCGCCATGATCAATACCTTTTTGAGAACCTGTAATTTTTTTAAAAAAACTTTTCGAAAAAAATTCGAAATTACTAACATTTTGTTTGAAAGTACGAACAGAGTGTTTAGGATATCTAATTTGTCATTCCGATCAAAATTTAAAACAAAATGTTCCTAATTTCGAAATAAATTTGATCATTCAAATGTGTTCCTCTCAATGTACATTGTACAAGCTGCAAGTAAGAAAAAGAGAAATCCTAGAGAATCTAATTGACTCGTTGACATTGTGCAGTTCTAGATTGTTTTCAGTAAAAACAGAATGTGCTAAAAGTTTGACCACATTTTGATAAAAATTGCTTTTAATTACATTTAAAAACGTTTGTGTGTTAATAACCAAAGAAAATTATTGCTATACATGCAAATTGTATTTTGATAACTGTTATACCATTGTTTGAATCTGGCGAAGATATCCAGCTACAGATCAATTTTTGCGCGTTTATATCAACAAAATGAATACGATTTTCCTATATAACTTTTGATTTCTTACAAGCTTTTTTTAATTACAAATTTAAGAAAACAAAGATAGGCTGTTAATTTATAGATTCTCTTTGTTTGAAAGCTTTGTATAGAATAAAATCAAATTGAAAGTCGTCTTCATTGTATTGATATGTACTACGACGACTGTATTAGTATTGCGCATATTGCTAATGGAAGTCCTATCAACTAAAGACGAGAGAAGTAAACATGTTCTGAGAAAATAATACAAAGATTAATTGCTGAAACCATAAAAATTTGAGAAAAGTTTTACTCAGAAAGAAATGCACAAATATAATTTTCTTGATGTGTGAATAACTAATCTTGTTTTAGTGTAATTCAAAGTGTTCCACCACCGTCATAACACAATTTACTTAAAATACATTTAATTAATTTTATGATAAGATTTAATTACTCCTTAATCATTATTAGTAATCAAGTCGAAGATAAGAAAGGAAAATAAAACTTGATCACTCCAGGTTTATATATATATATATATATATAAGTACTATAAGAGATCTATTAGCTTTGTCTGTAAATTTGGAACCTAATTTTTCTCTGTAAAGTTGCACACCTACTCAGTTTAGAATATTCAAACCAAGTTAAAAACATTTCTATCCCCAATTAAAAATGTAAGCACATTGGTGAATGGATTTTTAAGTTTTTATTGGACATACAAACAGAGATTTCAAGGCGTCAAACCCCATAGAAATCCAACGTATGGACCCGCTGCATATAGCAACATGGCGTATTTTCCGGGAGAACATTTTTTATATTTTTGAAAAATTAAATTATCAGTGTAAAGTAAATATAATTTTCATAAAATCCTTTTATTTAAATGGTAAAACGAAATTTTATGAAATCATATTAGCAGTACTGGAGAACTTTTTTTATACTTTTAAGAATTTTTTTCCAAACCTAAAATGTATGTATTAAACTATTTTGCTCCTTTAATGTCTAGGTTATGTTAAAAAAAATAGAAATTATGATAATGATAATGATAAGCTATAATAGTTTACAAAATCGTTTAATTTTTCAAAAATATAAAAAATGTTTTCCCGGAAAATACGCCATGTTGCTATACGTAGCGGGTCCATACGTTGGATTTCTGTAAGGTTTGACGCCGATTTCAACTTTACACTAGATAATAAATTTTTTACTGGCAACTGAACTCCTGAACTTTTCCTTTTTTTCGGAAACTAAAAAAATTTACCATAACTGCTGTAGTCTCATGGTCCAAGAACTCTTTGACAAGATTCTATTCAAAATCATAGTTAAACAATTTTTCTTGTTTTAAACTATACTGCCACCTTAATTTATTTATATTGTTTTATATCCTAGCTTGAGGACTCAGCGCTACCATGGTTACTCATATAGTTACTCCCGTCGTTTAACGATTTTTACCGCGAAACTAACTTTTCGCTATTAATGTTGACCCACTTAATTTAGTCTCAAAACCAAGTTAAGAACATTCCCATGAGTCTTCCGAGTTCCCCAATATACTAAGTATACAAAGTGTATTTCGATGATTTAAACATTAAGCAGTGACTTGAGTTTCAAAAGTTAATGCATCCTCAATTACTTGCAAAGGAATTGAGTCTATGCCACAAACTCTGATTTTCTATTTCTTTCTAATTTTGTTAGATCAAAAAATAAATTTATAATATCAAAAGCCGGTTTGCACGGTCATGTTGCAAAGATGCGGGAATTGAAATTTTCAGTTTGTGGCAAAAACTCAGTTCCTTTTCCCAAACCCCTAAATATCTGTTTCACTAAAGTTTGATGAGGTTAATATTGGGCCTTTTCCTTTTACAATTTAAAAATAAATAATTTTTTAGGAATTTTTTAGGAAATAAAAAGTAATACAACGTTTAACTTTCCTGAAGTCGAATTATCATCTCATCTTTCTGTAGAATTATTCCGTTCAGAAACCTGGTTGTTCTAAACATATATCTATTTATTTATTGTATCATCTGACCAAGGATTGTTAAGCTAGGGAGAATAAAATATTAGTAATCCTTTTTATTGTAACTCCCTGACACACTGGTTTAGGTGTTGGAAAATTTGAACAATAAAACATAATTTTTTTTTTCTCTCTTTTTTTACTCTTTTTTCAGTGAAGGCGTTTTGAATGAAAACATATAGAACAAGATCACATATAAAAGTTTAAAGATTGTTGAATAATAGACCAAAATTGGATTGAATTTAATTTATAGAAATCAAACACATCTATCCCTGGCAACTTCCCAAAGGAACTGAGTCTTTGCTACAAATCAAATATTCGAATGCCTTTATCTTTGCAACCTGACTGTGTAAACCTTTGAAGTTTCAAATTAAATTATTTAATGTAACAGAAGTCATACTATCAAATATCTAAGGCCTACACCATTGGATTGCTCAGATATAGGGATTATAAAATCAGAGTTTGTGGCAAGGACTTAATTCCTTTGCAATTTAAAAATATGAATCTTTTGTTTCTCAACAGCTATCAATGTCAACATGGACGAAAGCTTGTAAGCTATCAATGCCAAACACGGGCAGGATCTCGTCAGCTATCAATGTCAACGTGGACGAAAGCTTGTAAGCTATCAATGCCAAACACGGGCATAATCTTGTCAGCTATCAATGTCAACACAGACACAAGCTGTAAGCTATCAATGCCAAACACGGGCAGGATCTCGTCAGCTATCAATGTCAACGTGGACGAAAGCTTGTAAGCTATCAATGCCAAACACGGGCATAATCTTGTCAGCTATCAATGTCAACACAGACACAAGCTTCAAACCATTAATGCCAAACACGGGCACAATCTTGTCAGCTATTAATGTCAACACGGACACAAGCTTGTAAACTATCAATGCCAAACGGGCACAATCTTGTTAGCTATCAATGTTAACACGGATACAAGCTTGTAAACTGTCAATGTCAACATGGACACAAGCTTTCAACTATTAATGCCAAACACGGACACGATCTTGTCAGCTATCAATGTCAACACGGACACAAGCTTGTAAACTATCAATGCCAAACACGGACACGATCTTGTCAGCTGTCAATGTCAACACGGACACAAGCTTGTAAACTATCAATGCCAAACACTGACACGATCTTGTCAGCTATCAATGTCAACACGGACACAAGCTTGTAAACTATCAATGCCAAACACGGACACGATCTTATCAGCTATCAATGTCAACATGGACACAAGCTTGTAAACTATCAATCTCAAACTCGACACGATATCATCAATTCTTTCGCTAAACAAGGAACGATTTTCTCTCTCACTGTATGTAATCTAAGTGATGTCTATTCCAACTAATATGTATTTAGATATATCTATGCTACAGGTTAGGTTAATATACATATTTACAAGATCTGCGCAGATATATTTATATATATAAGCGTAGTTAAGCTAATCAAAATAACTAGTTAGGCTAATCACATTACAAGTTTTGCATGATAGTTAAGTATAAGTGCATTTAGATTTAGAGACAATGTACAATGTAATTTATCTAGGTATGTTCAAATGTATAACTATGGAATTTGGTACGCTATTTATTACATCAGAACAAAATCATTAAACAATATATTGTCTTTTGGCTCAAATTAAAACTTTTTTCTGTTTTGTTTTAGCAGAACCATCATACATTATTATTTTGTATTTTGTGTTTGAAAATAAATACTTTACTCTAAAAAGTTGGCAGTTTCCCAAATGTACAATTTTAAAAGTGCATGACTTCTCAAAGTTGTGATTTCATTAATGGCAACTTCCCAAACGTATAATTTTGAACATTGCAATATCCCTCATGTTCTTTCATTTTCCTTGAGAAGCAGTTATTTGACAAAAAAAATGTTTAAAAAGAAAAACTTTGCATTGATTTTTCAGATTGCATATCTTATTAAAGTTTTGTGATGAAATATTGATGAACTGTGTTTAAACTAACAAAGAAAATGAGATATGTAAAATCAATTTCAGAACTTTCACCAATACTTAAATACTTTAGGAGTCGAGATATGGAGAAACTTTTAAGCAGAGATACTCCAGACCTCTCATATATTATTTAATTTTATACCTAGAGAAGAAAATATATGGGGGCTGCAGAACATTTTCATTGGGAAATAACCTGAATTGGTTTGATTCTGGTTCAGACGTTTCAGAGTTATCAAAACAAACCTTGTGTAGCACTTCCCAAAAATTTGTTATCTTTGCAACCTGATGTTGTAGACCTATGTATGACATGGTAGTTGAGCTGAAAGTGCAGTATTGTAGAGAATTTTTTAAGGATTCATTTGAGACCTATCAGACGTTCTTACTGTGCATATTTGTTCATCAAGAGCGCAAATTCAATCTTTAAATCCTTCAAGATTGTCTATTCTGCAGGGATAATTTTGAAAATTGATTTTTTAAAAATTATTTTAACTAGTTGTTTAAGATTATATTTCTCAATAGAAATTTGTGAAGAAATCTATAATATTTCTATATTATTATTATTTGGAAGTATAAGGTGCAAGTATTTAAAACTGTTACGAATTTTCATATGCTTTATGCGCAACAACTAGTTAGTGAGTTTTATTTAGCCATTCTTTAAAAAGTATCAAACATATTTAATCCCAATGTAATTAGTAATAGCTAAAAATTTTGTTAGTAACGGTATCTGATAATATGTATTAACATTATCTTTTTCAGAAGAGGATGCAGTTAATAATTATAATTATTAATAACAATAAGCAAACATGCATATTTGCATCTTTTAACTTTTTATAAAAGGAGTTGCAAAGTTGTTTAAAGTATGATGATGTATGATGAATTACTAAATAAGTAATGATATATTTTAATCGTGGAAAAAGTCTGAAGATCATTTCTTCCTCCCCAGGGGGGATTCTACCTTAAGGATTTTTTAAATATAAATATATAAACCTTATTTTAGTAACCCTATCCTGGTTCAGCTGTTTTGTCTAATATAGGCACCATTTTGCCTTTAGAATTAAGATAGGTAGTGTGATACATGTTTTTATTCCAACTGTTCATTAAAAAATTAAACCTCTAACTTTAATGGTTAGGGTGCAAGATTCAAGGTTCAAAAAGTACGTCGGTAAAATGTTTATAAATTTGTTATTTTTATATACATCTATAACTGTTAGCCTTGTAGCTTAATTATTAAAAAAAGTTATTAAGCATTTCTATTCATCTATCTACACCTATTATTAATCTATCTACATCTATCTACACCTATTCATTATCTATCTTCATCTATGGCTCTATCTATTGATCTATCTACATATATGGATCTATCTATGCATGTGTCTACACATGTTCAACTATCTACATCTATTTATCTATCTATTCATCTATCTATCATATCTATCTATCTACTTATCATTAGGTTGCTCCTTGTTATTTTGCTTGATAAATACGGAGTTTTACCCTCATTACCTTACTCATAAGAGTATTCAGATAAAAAGATAATATTTTTTTCAAACAATTGTCAAAATTTTCAACTACCACTATAAAAATTGTCAAAATTGTCTAATACCGATATAAACAATTGTCAAAATTATCATATAACGCTATAAACAATTGTCAAAATTGTCAACTACCGCTATAAGAAAAATTGTCAAAATTGTCTAATACCGATATAAACAATTGTCAAAATTTTCAACTACCGCTATAAACAATTGTCAAAATTGTCAACTACTGCTATAAACAACTTTTAAAATGTCATCTACTGCTAAAAACAACTGTCAAAAGAATTAAAATGTAAAGATAGTTATTTCAGAGGTGTACGCATCTTTTGTACTGCAGTGTACTGTCTCTGGGCTGTAAAGTAAACACAAGACTGACATGGGATCCATCATTCACATAAAAAATCAATGAAATATTCCGGTAATAGGAAACTATTATTGTTGTCGGATAGCAGGAAGATTCTCAATAATGAACAGATAGACAACGGAATAACCCTCAAATCAAAACCGATAATGCAGAAAACTCTTTATTTCCTAAAAAAATGAAATGGATAATAACATACATGTGAATTGTTACAAAGTTTTATAATTTTATAATGAAAAGATTCTTACGATCTAATGATTGATAAGACGGTTAAAACTGTTGAGGAGTCCTAAGACGTTTTATACATTAAACTTCTGAAAAGAATGACAATTAATTGTTAACGAAAGTCACTAATTCTTTATATGAAAATATTTTGTTCACAATAATAAAAATGTTAAGACTCCGTTACCGGAGAACAAAGAAAATGGGGCTAAAAATTATTTGGTTTGGTGTCTCGAGAGGGGATTTTAAGTTAAAGATGACATTACATGGATGGGCGGGGGGGCCTTGTAGTTAATGGTTGACACTGGCCCCAGGCAGGGTTCGAGGATGTTAGGTTAACATACGAGAATCAAAGGAAAACCATTAACAATATACTGAAACATGTAGTTTGAATGATTGATAGGTACTAGATTGGTTGATTGAAATAAACAGAAGTAATATTACGAGGTACATTAATTAATACTGTATTCAACAGGTAAATAATTGATGAGATTAAAACAGTGAAGTAAAATTGAAATCGTGTCGCACATTCTCCTGTGCTTATTTGTCAAAATGATTTAAAGTAAGAATAAAAAAAATAAAATTAATATGTAAACTGAGAATAAATCTTGAACATAAATGAAGGAATTAATTAAACTAGAAAAGATGATTATTTAATTTAATATAGAAATGCGAGTGACTGTGTCAACTTCAAGAATCGTAAATTTTAAGGTTCTTTTTTTTGTATTTTTTAGGGAAAATTTAAGTAAGTTGAATTGAAACGTTTTTCCTGGTTGTGTTCCCAAAAAAATAAATTAAAATGTTTAAATGATTAATTCCTGTGTTGGTTTGCAAATATTTGGCTTCATTCACAAATAAAAGTAACAGTTTGTTGTGATCTCCTTGTTGTCTGATGAGAGC